AAACATTCTAAAAGATCCATATAATATTGTTCTCTTTTTGTTAGCTCTTTAAATTAAAAACTAAATGGTATTACAGTAATAAAGAAAGAAATAATACCACTAGTAAACATTCGGTGACAAGTGCTTGTGATATAGCGTAGTTGGCCTGTAGCACGAAGAACAGTAAGTTAAAACGCGTCTTTGCTGTATGATGTGACGAACAGCTAAATTCCTGAAATCAATGTGATAAGCCTTGAAATCGGCGTTGCCAAATTCGGGCTGGAGTGGAAACCCTACTGTCCCCATGCCAATGAGAGATGCGTTGAAGGTAGGCGCGACGATTAGGACGGCTGTTTGCGCATCATCTTGGGCAGGAGGTGCTAGTAGCCAGCAAAAGTTATAGGGCACAAGTCGGGAATAGAATATCGAACGCACGTTCCGTAACAAATTGGTCGTCCCAGATTGTGACCAGATTGATAGTTGGAAGTACATACTGACCGAGCAAAGTAACGGGGCCTTTCCTTGTGACGTTGACCAATCCTTTATACATGCCCGGTGCAATGAGGATTATCGAATGGCTGAGATCATCCGGGCTGTTGTTATCGAGTGGTGAACTAACGACAACGCATCTGCCAGGGCAATTGGACATACAAGGATTCCACGGCAGACTGTACGTTTGTGAAAGCGGCAGCACCATCGTTCTGAGATACATAGATTGTTCCCTCTGGACATCCATCGGTTTGCCGGTGACCAGGGGGCTTGACCCTTTGACAAGCATCGTACTTGTTCCAAGAGCCCGAGCTGGTGGCAACTGCTGCAAGAACGAGAAGTAAAAGACCGAGAACCATCCCTTGCAAAGTGAAATAGGGTGACAGTTGGGTAGTTCACGCCCTTTAATAGCTTTTGGAAGAGCTCCTTGACCGACATTGGCGTTCAAACCTCGTAAGCGGGGTACGAAGATGAGAAGCGACTCCAGATGCCGAAAGACCACCATGATCCAACGTGCGGACCGTCACGGTCCGCCGCTGCGACGACAATGATTGGACCGCATTCAAAAGGAAGTTGTGTCGATGAGCACAAATAGGAATCGCCGTGACAAAGATAGACCGACCGGAGAGTGGATGAGAAAGGGCAACAGGGAGAGTTGAGGGTTCCAAGGGTGAGGGCGACACAGCCATTGATATTGTTAATCCAAAGACGTGATGTATAAGGAGCATACAGAGAGTAATTAGTGATTGACGTTGTACAGCCGTGAGTCAAACTGGACTTGCTGATGTGCTACAGTGCCAAGAAATGGAAGCAAGGATGGCGTGAACGTGCCTCTATCACAGATAGAGCAGAATAGGTCCATCCTCCCCGTGCGGCACCCAAGCACCTTTGTTGTCCTCGCCCGCAGAGGCGTCCCATTCTGACGTGTGAGCATATTGACATGTTGGGCACACCCAATCCCAAGTGATCTTGTCTTCGGCACGCTTCCGCTTCTTTCCCCTCGGCTTCGTCTTCGCCCCAGGCCGTGAAGCTCTTGCTCTCCCTTTCCGTGGGGGCGGCTCAACGTCGAGGACAGGAATGTTCTCTGTCTGAGGATAGATACCGCGCGGTGGCGTTGAGAGCTTGGTGACACATTTCCCGTCCAGTAGATGACCACAACGCAGAGCATAGACCCGTCGATTGGCATCCGGGGCAGCGAGATAGAGGTTATCTTGGCAATTGGTGCACTGAAAGTTTATAGAAGCCGGTGGTGGGTTGACAGATTTGCCTTTGCGATCGGGAGTGACAGGTGCAGCAGGAAACGAATGGCTGAAGCGATTTTGCTTGGCGCTGGGATGTGTGTACTCAGGACTGTACGCAGGAATGGCGGGCAGCGCGGCCCGAGCCATGAGTTCCGCGTTATCTCCGAATGTCATCATTGGAATATGCGCAAGGAAACGATTTACGCGTTCGCCGAGATTGAAGTTGATCCGCACACCATCCTGAACCAATACAGCACCTCCCAGGCCTATGTGTCTCCTGTTTGGTGCATTGGCGACAGGGGGAGGAGTTGGCGAAAATATACGGTTGTCCGCCGGGACTGAAAACAAGCGCAAGTCAGTCTTGCGGTCATCATCCAGGACAGAAAAGCAGACTCGCCATATTCGCCACCGTCTTCATCATCGTCAGGCAAAACTGCAAATTCAACATCTCCTGCATCTATGGCTGCTTGCATCCGGTTGCGATGCGCTAGCGCCTCGCCCACCTGCTGTCTTCGCCTCATCTCCTCGAATCGAGTCCTTCCGTCTCTAGGAGGAGGACCAGGTCGATCTCCATTTCTTCTCCTACGGTGCACTTGCCGGGGGACTTCAACTACAGGCTCGTTATCGTCGTCGCTGTCATCGATTGTGATAACTTCGCGACCGCCTATGATCTGACGAGTGATCTGGATTTCAGGCGAAACCACTCTTTGACGGGTTGCAGGACGACGGTCGATATCAGCAGACATAAAGGGTATGCGTAATGAAATGATGGTATACACAGAGTAGACGACGCTCTCCAGTGCAAGTGGGGTGCTGTCGAGAGTAAGGACGGCGAATGGTGACCGTTGGTGGAAGAAGAGTTCCTTGCTGCTTCAGGGCTTGGCCGTTTGGCGCGGTCACAGGCGGATTGCTCCCGTTGAGTTACTTCCGTAATATTTGACATGACTAAGCGCTTCTTTCATTTGTTCTTCAGGTCCGACCTCGCAATAATACCCCAATAAACACATGTACATCCGTCATATCCGTGTGTATACCTCGATACTACGGTATGAGCTCATTGCTTGGAATACCCACTGGGTCGAGCATCTTCTCAGCTTGCTTCAAGCCTGTCACGGGGAGTGGAAAGGTTTTTCCCGCGAGACCAGCCGCATCAAAGTCTGCCGGGAAAGCAAGTTGAGGGGGAAGAAGGCCGATTTGAACCAGCACAGAAGCTTGATCCCTGCAGTGATCCTTGGCTTATTTACATTGCGGCAAGTGCAATGAGACGACTCACCAGTATATGTGTTCATGGTAGAGCTTGTCACCGCGAACATTCACGACACCCACAAGCGGTATGCGGACTGCCTTCCCTGTTGGTAGAATTCCAGGCAACCTAGATCCTGTCAAAGAAACTCTCAGTGCCCAATTTGAGGGTGCGTACATCCAATCAATGACACGGTCATGAATAAAGTCGATAATCAGCTCGTCTACGATGCGATCCGGCCCAATCGTCCGACTGACGAGTTTGAGCGCGAACGAATCGGGATTGGAGAAGATGAAGTGATTGGCGTAGAACTCGGTCAGGGCAGTTCGACCGATTCCGCCGGTCAACTCCATAACAGCATGTTGAATTACAGATCACAACCCAGAAGCAATACAATACTCACCGTGGGGACATGGTTCACGTATGGCTCTTGCTGCCTGTCAGGTCGGCTTCAAAGCATACAAACACAATCATCGAGTGACGTACCACCATGGTCTGGGCTCATCATTCAGTCGCAGCTCAACATTTGTAATAATACGCACAGCCATAGTCTTCTCAACCGCACGTTCCCCGAATTCATAGAGCGTGTGTTCTTCCCAAATCTTTTCCAAATCAAAATAAGGGCCGTCGAAGAATCTTCGCAAAAAGACGAGGCTTCTTTGATGAGCTAATGTTGCTGAAGCTTTATCATACGCCGGCTGTCCAGGAATAACAAAATATTCGTTGGCAACATCGTAGGTATAGATTCCGGGAGATGAGATTGGGGCGCCAGCACAATGAATCAGAGATAAGAAATGAGTCGATTGTTTCATATCAAAAACGGACTTGGAATATCCAATCACGGCTCCGATTGATGAGAAGCTTGGTACGGAAATGATCGCCTGGTTCAACAGTGCAGTGCCATAAACTGTGCGGAGAAGCATATATGAACTGAATGTTTACAGGAGGGGATGGGAACAGTGTGCTTGCCTATTAACCCAAACTTATTACTAGCGGAAAGAGTAGGCATATTGGACAGCTGATCAACGGCAGCCTTCAACGCCGAGTCGAATTCGTGGCTGGCTTCTGGTGACAGAGAAATACATGCCGTACAAAAGCCCTCCTCAGCCCATTTCTGGGAAGGCAACGGGTCCAGTAAGAAACCGATATCTGATAATTTCGGATCAGGTGAGTCAGGAACAACCAGAATGAGACCTGGTCCAGTTGAGCGATGCGTCAGCGGCGCTTGGAGCTTAATTGCGAAGGACATGATGAGGGACAAGAGAGACGAATTCCTTGAAGATAAGGCGCGTAGATACATAACAGGGCACGGAGGCTAATCAATTATGACCTCGACAGCGCAAAATACACAGGCGTACGACTCGCAAAAATCGTTCATACGATCAGAGAGAAAAGTTATTCCGTCGATGAGTCTTCTTCCCCTGCGTCCCTCTTCCTTGCAGCCCATGACTGCGTCGAACAACAATCAGCAGTGGAACTTGGTCGGTGCCACTCGGCCTACCTCAAAGAAATGTCGACGATCGTAAATGCGAACACCTCGGCAGCCCGTGAGATCAAGTTCTTGTAGGTCTTTGCATGCGTCAACAATGCGGTCAACTCCTTCCGCTACGTCCTGTGAACGGCTATTGGCGAGATGCTGAGGAAAACGCACACGATAATCCAGTTCCACCCAGGCTGAGCATTCGCAAATGCCTACAAGCAGATATATAGAGCGCCGCCCTATCATCCAAGCCAGTATTGGTCAACACAAGCTGCCTTAGGGGTGGCGGCTCCAGCAACGCTTTGAGAGGTTCAAGATCGTACCACCGCATGCGAGAAATGCCCGACAAGTTTAAGACCTGAAACAGTGGTCAGCCGAGGTGCTCATTGCAAAAAGGTCGGATTACCTCGAGCCTACTTCCCATAATAGCGAGCAAGGCCGATGCGCCTCCGGAACCGTTCAATCCGAGGGAATTGTTGAGGGCAAGGTTCAAATCGACAAGTCGCTCGCATGCGTTCAGTGCTGGGAGCAAGAGCTTCAGACCGTCATCAGACAAACTCGCAACGTCGCCGCCAAGATACGCCAGGGATAGCTTGCGCAGCTTTTTCAGCGGTGTTAACAGTCGAAGAAGCGGGGCTGCAAGGATCGGGGTTGCCGTCAAGGAAAGTTTTTCCAAATTAGGCGGAAGTTCGGTGAGTACCATTGAAGTAAATGATATGTCCAGGGCAACCGCGTTAGCACTCAAAGCATTACTAATAACAGCGGCTGAGGTTTGGGTTAAGTCAGTTTGGCGCACTTTGAGCTGACGAAGTCGCCCTGAGACGTCGCTGAGTATCTGAGAGAAATGGGTATCGGTCTCGAAGACATGAGATACTCTGCAAACTTTGATTGAATGGTGGCTCACTATATCTCTCAGTCCTGCGACCTTAATGCTGTGCAGTTTCTTGCACGAGTTGACAAGTTTTCGAATAGCAGCATGTCGCGTCACTGTATAATTCAAGTTGATCATTTCAAGATCATGGCATGTTTCGGCTACTGCTTCCACGCTCCGCGAACCAACTTGGGTACATCCACTATCTGGGTTTTAGAGGTTTCGATGTGTGGAGGGAAGTACTGACCGAAGCACAAGACTGATCAAGGCCGGCAGATGTCGAAGCGTAGCAGCCACCACATTATCTTTCAGATCCGTTTGACCACGTAGCTCAAGCGTTTTTAGGCTGGTTGCAAAACCTGGTGCACTGGCGAATGATTTGACTGTCCCGTTGAGAACTCCGGTCATGTCGTTAGAGAAAACAAGATGATCTCCTCGAAGAAAGTACTGTAATTTTCATGTCAGCAGATGTATGTGAAGAAACCAATTCTGAGACCTTGGTAATGAATTCCCCGCTGAGACGAGTCGGACAATAATGTCTTAGGAACTCAAAAAGAGGTTGAACCAGGTGAGTGGGAAGATCGGCAAGCCTCTTCATCGCCCGATTTTGAGTAAACTCGTCCTGACTGAGTCTGACAACATGCTGAGCGAACCGCGCCATTGACATCCGAAGGAGGGATGGAACGACTGAGGGTTGATGTCAAAACCAAGGGAACATTGTTCGACATGGACACTCACCATATGGACCGGTCTGTCGAGTAGACGTGGATGACGATGAAGGCTGTTGGGCGCTTCTTTGGGCATCGTTTAGTGTGTCATCTTCGTTACGCTGCCCTATTCTGACGAACAAAGTTTTTTGTCGCTTAGCTATCTTGTTATGAGACTGAGGTAGTCGACGTTTCGGTGGCATTGCATTGCAGATTGTTGACAGTGCAAGAGGCGGGAGTCAGGAGCATACTCTCTCAATGACTTGCTCCTAGGAACGTGATTGTGGGGGCGGTTACGTAACAAGGGACGCGTGCCCCTCTTAATGTCCAGTTCAACGTCCTACTTCTCCCAACCACCTTTCAATCTACTTCGCAATGTCTGGTCTCGACATCCACAAAGCTGCCTTAGATGGTACACATTTTGATATCTTCATTTGGTATTGTTCATGACCCAATGCTCAGGGCAGAGATCACTGGTCGCCTCTCTTCTGACTTCAGAGCCGGCACTTATAAACAGGAGGGATCTCGTATGAGACTGAAAATTATATCTTTCACGTATTCTAATCTCATATAGGACGGTCGCACGCCGCTTCACTGGGCTGCAACACGACACAAAGACGTTGTCGAGTTGCTCCTGTCACAGAGCCCGCCTTCCGACGTTGACGCAAAAGACTCGCAGGGATGGACACCGTTGATGATCGCCGGTGCGTATCAGAACTTTCATCCATTATACCTTTTGCTGAACCTCGGAAGCTTCTGCTGGTCAGGATGACATTGTTGGTCTCCTCATTGGCGCGGGTGCGAATGTCAAGATCGTCAACGACAAAGGAATAACCGCTCTGTGCGTCATCGATGGGCAGTGTTGAACTACATGTTCACTTTGTGTTTGGTAGTCATTATGCTGCGTCCAAAGGCAGATACGAGGTGCGTGTCCACTTTTCCCTCCTGCGGATTATCTAAACATGAACTAGATCGGGAAGCTACTGGTTGCGGCGGGTGCGGACGTAAGCATGTTCGAAGCCTCGATCACACTTTTAGTGATCGTGTCGCCAATAGATCAATGCAAAGGACAAGGCATTGCAGCTACCACTGTCCGTACTTTATATAATTTTACTTATGACCCATCTGACTTGGACTGAAGTCATCGAGCTGCTACCACTGGCTCCATCGCCTTCATCAATGTGCTCCTCCGTGCTCCGCCAGGATCCGCCAAACCCCGGCTGAATACTGGTGACCGCATGGGTAAGTCACACCGCTCCATGGACAACATGTGATTCACTGAAAATTAGGGAACACACCTCTGCACCTGGCGATGGAGTCCGCCCATGCTGAAGCTGCGGTCACACTAATCGAAGCGGGTGCGGATCGAAGTCGAGTAGGTGTATCCCCTCCAACGCCTAAGCGTTGTCCTGAATGCTCTGTAGATAAATCTCGACGGACAAACACCTGAGCACCTGGAGGGCGTAGGCGGACAAGAGCAGAAACGAGCGCGAGAATATGTTGTCTCCCGGGTAGGTCCTGCGGATGACTGATGGGGAGGGCTACAGAGCAGAATTACCAGCAATGTTGTACTATACGTACTGTGGACATAAAAAGACCCCATAAGAAGGCGCGGTGATTCTAAACGTTTCTCACGTCGTCGCACTTCTTTTTCATGTAAGGCGCGTCTTCGGTGCCGCAGCCGTCGAAGAGGACGATCACACCAGGGGAAGGGAGGATGGGTATTCCTCAACACAATCACCATCTCAGCTCACTCGAATACGACAAGTCTGTCATTGAAGTATTCTGTCAACAATGCGTCCTCTGACGCGCTCGCTATTCAGGTGAGAATTGGGGTCTTCGATGCACAAGTCTGTTACGGTATATGTTTCATACTCTGCAGGAGCGCACGGCTACCTCCTCGCTCTCCGGCCGCCTCGGCCGGAGTATTTCGTCAATACTCGCACATTCAGCATCCCAACCACGCAGCCACGCCAGATGAATGGCTCATCTACTTCGAGCAACGCGACGCGCAATTTGAGAGAACAGAGCGGGAAGTTATTGAGCTTAGAGAGAAACTCAGTAGGATGGAGACTGCGCAGGCTCAGAGCGAGGTATGCGTTCGCTCTGTTTGAAGGGGAAGATTTGGAGAGCTGATGCAGGGGAAATACAGGCACAGCTCGAGAACTTGAGAGCCCAGCTCCTGAAGCGAAAGACAGACTATAACCTTCTCACTGCAGCTGGTAAGAAGCCGACTCGTCTGAGGAGGATGCGCACTTATAACTCGCTTCGCAGAGCTCGTAGTCGAGGCCGCCTACCGCAACGGCACCATCACCACGAGCGCTGACAATACCCCGCAAGTGATCGTCTGTGCGCTGACGGAGCTCAAGAAAGACCCGCTGCTGACGTCGCTCGTGGAGGACGCGTGTTTGAAACTTGGCATGAGACCCGAGGAGGCGTGGGAGCAATTACCGACGTTGTATGACAGGCTGGCGAAGAAGGCGGGCTTGATGGACGCACTCCAGATGAGCAGCGGCTACGATTTGATGCATTGAATATGTCCGATGAGGCAGGATGGTATATTGACAAATCGTGTGTTCGTGCGTTTACGATCGAACCGATCCCCGTGGACACGCACGGCTAAGTCCGTAGATCTGTCTTGGATAGCACTTTAATTGCTGAAACGGTAACAGGACAAGTCCAGATGACACAACACGATCTGTGAGATACAACACGATAAGATAACCAATAACTTTCCCAAGAAATCAAGTTGAAACTTTACGACAACGAGTATGCCGGCTGCTGCGGGGGCCACTCCGCCTTGAGCCCCTCGCCCACATACTCCTCTGGCACAGGCCGATACACCCACACCCGTCCCTCTGTGAACCGGCTCATATCGTATCTCTTCCTCTGCGGTGCTTTCCCCCGTGTCTGCTCAATCACCTCCAGCCAGCCTAGCTCGTAGGGCATGATTGACGCGCCGTCCGTAGCGTTCGGAATAGGCTCATCAGGTACGAGGACGATAATGGCGGTGTGCTCCGGGTCGCCGAGTGTCATCTGCTGGCCCGATGTAGTGTTGATCTTCACACGATTCCATTCGACAATATCGCCTCTCATGACTCTATCGTCCCCCCCTCTCCAGCGGCCAGCCTGACCTGCCGTATTAGGCGACCCAGAGCCGGCAAAGATGAGGTGGCCGTGCGTGCGACTGATGGACTGTACAGGCTTGGGGAAGTGCGAGAGAGCGGGATTATCCACGATGCTCTTCAGCCCGAGATGGGCCATATCCCAGCACTCGCCTCGTCCGACAGGCTGTCCCGAAGCTTCGGCAGCCTCGGCGAACGCAACGAGTTCTTCGCCGTATAGCTCTGTCGCCCATCGGAGGAGATCGCCCGCCCATGGCTGAGGAGGAGGGCGGTATGAGGCCTCGCGTTGCACGCTGTTGGGATCGCGTTGGCGGGAATCCCATTGGACGCGATACCACAGGACGCTAAGATCGGCAAAGAGGACATAGCCGATGCGCGTCATCGCGTCGCCGTAGGAGGACCACATGCCTTGTCCGGAGACATCCTTGGAACCAACTACCGGAGGAGGAAGAGAACTTTGCTTATCGTCGTACCATGCTGACGGCCAGTGGGTAGAAGGAAGGAAGAATTCGCAGACTGTAGCTGCCGTCGTCGACGTAGGTGGCGTGTCCATAGAGAAATGCTGGGAGTCGAGGGCTACACCAGCATGAGAACACGGACTCTCGGGGAAATTGGGGGACATACCTGCTTTGCTATGCATCTGAGATGGTGAAGGACTCAATACTGCACGCTGATGAGCATGAGGTCCGTCATACTCGCGTGATTCAATATCGCTCACCGCTGGGTTGCCCGCTGTACCCGGTTCAGGGGCATCTTGCAGTCCGCGTCTGGCAAAGTATTCGTCAAGGAGGCCAAAGAATGCCTGCTTGTCCTCCTCAGATAGGTTCGCCCAGTCAATTCCTGTAGCAGTGGCAGCATGTGAAGGTAAAGATGAATGCGATCTGCTTGGTAGGGAGGGCGCTGAAGCGCGCGGGGGCATCATCGGAGGCGGTGAGAATGGAGCCCCCGTGCTACCAGGGCTCCTGACAGGGGGAGAAAGCGGACCCCCGGAGCGTACCGGCGGTGGGAGCGGGGGCTTATTTCCGATAGGGGAAGTGATACTTGAGCTTGAGCGGTAGTGTGATGCGCTAGTGTTGGATGTCGATGTCGATGATTGACCCGAGTTTCCGAACCTGCCACGAAGGTTGTTGACTTGGCTGCCTGCCATCGATCCGGCCTTCATGGCCTGCTCCTTTAGTTCGGCAAAAGTGGGCATGGTGCTTCTTCTGGTGTAAGGGACGTGCTAAACTAGATTCAAGATGTGAGTCAGTGATGAGATGAAGCAGGCGATGCGCACGATCAGTGGGGTTACTAGAGACGCTGTCAAGGAGTGATGTCGCGTGAGAGGCTGATATGAATGAGTGATTAGATGGAAGGGGGAATATTACTTTGACTTTTTCGAGGAGGATGTGATACTTCTAGAGTGATTAATAGGATAACTTGGGTGGTGTTTGATCACCAAGGAGGGTAACGGTGTTTCCGGGAAAGGACGAGGATTGATCGGAGGAACGGAAGCAGACGCCCTAGCCACGCTATTGATTGTTCCAGGGTCCAGAAGGAGCGTGACATGTCACACCGCAAGGGGGCGACGACCCGTATTTTGCTGCGTCTCATGCTCCTCCCCTTAGCCCGTCTTTAAAATGCAGACATGTCAGAGATGGATTAACTTGTAGGTATATTGTGAACCATCCAGACAGCGCCTCTTCTCGTGAACGTAAGAGAAGACGGGAGTGAGTCTGTTGAATGGTTGCCATAATGGACAGGAATGGGTAAGAAGCACTGCCGGTCTGCGCCTTGATTGGGTTCTCATAAATTTGGGGCGGGGCAAGACCCACAGGCCAGGACGTCCCTCTCTTCCCCCATTCCCTCTTCCTGCCTAATCCGTGCAGGTTACCCTTTTTATTCCAGAACAACCATCACTACTACACGCATACATCTACCTCGCTACCCACACACACACACACGCATATATACCCACAACCCTTCGCACGCACCGTCGCCTGCTCTTCGCCTTGAAGGCCACCTCCCCCCCCCTCTCCTCCTCCCTTCCATCTCACCCCACCACCTCTCTCCCCTTCACCCACACCACGTAACAAAATGCTATCCATGACAGCTCTCTTGAGGCGCATACATCGTATCCTTGCAAAGGAACACCCGAGACACAAACGAAAGTCAATCCTCCCTTCCACAACGGACAACGACCTACCAGAAATCACCGTCATCCGTCAGCCTTTCGACTTTGGTCCTTTCCAGCGCGCAGAGACTGTGCCTGCTAGCCCTCCTCCAGCGGGATGGAGACGCAGGCTCAGCGCGCGCAAGTCGGACGCCGCCACCGCTCGGCACGCAAGGGACAAGGCCAGCCAAGGCCACTACGTCCTCCGCAGGAGCACCGTCATATTCCCTGTACGCACTACCTCTATATGCATACATCCTTCCCTGACCGCAGTCCAGGATATGTCTAACGAAAAATGGGAAGCACAGTTGTATGCGCACGCCAACCGCTCCCTCAACAACCTCCCCGTCGCCACTGTCCACTTCTCCGCTCAAGTCGTCGACATTCCCCCTATGCCTAAGTCACCGCCCCGCGAGGCGCATGTCTCAGGGGAGACAGTACCCAAGCGTGCACATGCGATGTCCATCCGCCCTAGACGCAAGCCTGTACCGTCGCTATATGCGCTCGATCCGGACGTGGCGCCTTTGCTCATTCCGCTCCCACCATCCCCCTCCCTATCCGCATGCATGGAGCTCGACGACAGCCCGCTCCCGCAACTCGACCCATGACCTGCTGGTATCGTTTGTTTCACCGAGGGTTCTGAAGGACGGAGGCCAGTGTTTCAGGTACATACGACGTTGGACAGTTTCACGGTTTTCCTGTCCGCATATCATGCTTAACGATCCGTTGACGTTCCTTACCTGTATTTTCTATGCCCCACGTTCGCTGATGAATGTCCTTACTATCCATGAGCACTGTATATCCTGCCTTTGGCGCACCAATCAGTACAGTACCAATATCATTTTTTGTCTTTCGTAACCCTCGTGCCTGGTCTTTCGTCCCAATATTGCCAAAGAGAGCCAAGCGGTAGGATCCGATGGGCTTCGATGCCCTTCGCAGACCCTGCCTAAGCGTCGATGTCCGCCGGTGCCGGGCCTACTTGCGTCATTGGCGCAGGGGGGTGGGTTGATAGCTGTGCCAGGCTTGTCCGCGGGTGGCGCTAGGATATTTATTGATGGCAGATAGGTGGGCCGAGCGGAGTGAGTATGAGTGTCCTCACCATGTCTTCGTCGTAGCGCCAGTGCAGTGAAGGACAAAGGACGCCAACAAGAGAAGCGGTGTCGACCCTTGTCCCGAAGAATGTGGAACGCGGGCGCTTGCCCTATTCCACGTGTATGCTAGATGAGGCTCCACCCTTTCCTCCTACTCGTGCTTCCCTCGATTAAAGTGAACAGGGGCTTCAAGATCAACGGAGCGATAACGCTGGTATTCGGGAACAAGGCCGCAACGAGCATCCAACTTGAGCACGCTTTCCATCCGACAAACGCGCTTTTCACCTTATCGACCATCTGCTGGCAACACCACACGAGAGGCAACGTATACCCTGCCGAGCAGCCGCACACGCCCTAACTGCGTAGGATCAGAGCTTGCGCCTCAAGCCTATCGGCAGGTGGGAAAAAGCACCCTTCTTCTACAAGAGCGTAGAATACCGGCCATTGGACGCCGCCGACGTGCTTATGCCTTGAGGACGAGCGGAGCAGGTCTAGGGTGGACGCATACAGATTACCCGGTAGGCTGAAATATTCTGGGAGGATTCGATTCACAGGATCGGGGTTTATGGGTGATCCAGGCAGCATGCCAGTTTTTGGATTCGATATAATTCGTTTCGATAAGAACTGTTTCTGGTATCGGAGCGGCCCGATAACGACCGGTCAGTCGCATGCTCGTCAACAAATCAGCTCCGCTTCAAAAGGCTACATATCCGCTTGCACAACCTTTCATATCATTTCCAACTTCTGGGATCAAGTAACCTTTTGGACTGAATTTGCTTCTTTCGGGGAAACTTAAGGGCGAAGCTCGCTCCTCTCGCATCTCCGCAAGATCGGACGCTCGGGCCGCCTTTCCAGCTGATCGGCAGTCCAACCCCACCTCGAATTTCGGCCCGACCGACGCAATATGAGCCGATCCGATGCGATAGTCCGATGTGTTGAATTCACCGGCGGTGACGAACAGACTGGTCACATAACCCTGGGATCAAGGCAAGGTAGCGTGACGTCAGAAGCACTGTCGGAGCTAGATAATCCAGCTTCTCCATGTTTTCCACGTTTAGGGAAGCGCTCGGATGAACCTCGACCACTATGTCTCCACCCGAGCGCATCATATCTACACATTGGGTTATTTATAAAGCTCAATATGCTGAACGAGCAATGGAGGTCTACCCACGCTCTCTCTCTTTGACCTCTTGCGACCACTCATTTTCTATTAACGATCCACCAGTATCTTAACTTGTGTTTTTTCTGTAATAATGGGTCTGCTTTGGAACGGACACTCGTCTGTACGGGGCAAGGCTCTAGTAGCCGCTATCACATCCGTTTGCTCTTCTGGGTTCTTGCTGTTTGGTTATGACCAAGGTAGGCTGACTGTCGCGCTGAGTCGCTTTGGGCTCGGGATCCCTAGGTGTCATGTCCGGAGTCATCGTGTCCCAGAACTTCCTAGACCTAATGGGGAACCCAAATTCTTCTCTCACTGGAGCCATCTCATCCCTGTATGACGTTGGCGCTATATTCGGCGGACTCGCTTGCGCTGTCTTCGGAGAGAGGATTGGTCGCCGCGGTGTTCTGATGTAGGGAAGTATCGTCACCATCATCGGTGCTATTTTTCAATGTTCGACCTACTCCCTTGCGCAGATGCTTGTTGGTCGCGTTATAACTGTAAGCACGTGTGAGTTCATATCTTCTACCGTGCTTATCAGTCATCCAGGGACTTGGCGTTGGCTTCATATGCTCGATCTGCGCTGTGTACCAAGCTGAGATATCCGTTCCCACCCATCGGGGCTGGCTAACTTGTTGTCAACTGACGACGATGATCTTTGGGTAAGGGCCCACGTAACTTTTCCCACCGGTACTAACATTTTGTTAAGACTCATGGTTGCATACTGGTTGAATTACGGCCTTTCATTCACCGCTTCGACCGCACAATGGCGATTTCCATTGGCATTCCAGATCATCTTCGCGATCTATACCGGTCTTGTGACCGTCTTCCTGCCGGACACACCGCGCTGGCTCATGAGTCATCGGCCAAATTCCGACGAAGGTCTCATTGTGCTTGCGGCCCTCCGAGGCCAGAGTGAAGATCACCCGGCTGTCCAAACGGAGGCACGAGAGATTAGGACTGCCATCGCCGTCGAGGCAGCCGAAGAGGGTGGATCGCTCGACGTTTTCAAGGATGGAGGCGTGAAGGGAAATGCTCGTGTTGCTCTCGCGATGGGCATCCAATTTATGCAGCAGATGACGGGCATCAACATTGTCACGTTGGTCTTCCGCTAGTGTTGTCGTACATCGAGTACTGAACAAGCTGCAGATATTACGCACCCACATTATTCCAGACATCTCTCGGTATGGGCCACTCTTTAGCTCTTCTGCTGGGATGTTTGTTGCAGGTGTGGTATGTGTTCGCCTCATTCCTTACAGTGAGTGTCTTAAAGATCGATTTCTATGCTGAGTCTGACTCAGTGGTACACCATCGATCGCGTTGGACGGTACGGCGTTAACTACATTCCCCTTGTCGAATCTGATGTCTTCCAAAGTCGTCCACTTTTTATCCTCAACGCTATTGGAATGTGTCTGATCCTCGTCGGAGAAGCAATTTGCGTCGCCGTGGGTGGCACTGGCGCGGGTATTGCCGCGGTCGTTTTGATTTTCTTATTTGAAGGTTGCTTCACCTGGGGTTCGCCGAGACAACGGATGAACGTTGACGTTTTCTGACCCTTTTCAGGTTGGATGGCAACCGTGTGGGTATATCCGCCTGAGATCATGCCTTTAAGGACCCGATCAAAGGGCGCTTCTCTTGCAAGTATGTACTTCCCAGGCTGTATTCCGCCGTCACGAAGCTGACATTTGTCTAGCCGCTGCGGACTTTGCCGGGAACTTCCTGGTTGTTGAGGTTACTCCAGTGAGTTTGTTGTCTTCGAATGATCTCTTTTACTAACACATGGAAGGTCATGCTCGCGAATATTGGATAGTACGCTGGTTCCTGAATCTTCCATACGTCACATCCCTGACTGGCAATACAGTCGGAGTTATCTTGTGTGGGCTGTGCTTAACCTTCGCTAACGCCATCATCGTGTTCTTCTGTTACCCAGAAACGGCCAATCTGGCGCTAGAGAGTGTTGATTCTCTCTTTCTCGTTGGTGAGCCTCAGGTTGAAAAGCCGGTATTGACCGAGCAGAACTCGGAAGAAGCTGTCATGGCACCGACGAATGTCTCTGGCTATTCGCTTGGTCTCGACCGCTTCACTTTGCCAGTTGTTCGTCGTGCCAAGGCGATGCAATTAAAGTTGAAGAGGAAGCGGGCCGAAGAGTCCAGTCCCGTCGTGGGCATGGATGATGTTGAGAAGTTAGGAGATATTCGTGTCGAGGAATCCTCTAATTAGGATATCAATTATCGTCTACGATCTAGCGGTCATTGTCTGAACATAAATATGCGTCCAGAATACAATGTGAAAGTGCAGAAATATTACCCTTCCTGAATGTTTGTCAAGATCAATCATATCATATGTGCCTGTCATCGCCAATACCCCATTTCCCAACTTCAATCACAGCGGCTTCGCCACCTTCGGCAATTACCTTATCTTCCAGCACCTCACCGATCATTTTCCAAGGATCTTTCCCTCCTCCCCATCTAAGCACCTTCTCCTTGAACTTCTCTCCCATGGATCTATCAAGGGTTCCTTCCTTTCCACCAAAGACAGTGGTGAAGACTCGCGACGCAATGGCACGATCGAATAGATAGGAGTAATAGGTTGCACCATAGGTGTAGAGATGACCGAATTGCGTTTGCCAAGATGTGCCAGGTGCGTATGGAAGAACGCCCACGGTTTCATGTAGGCGAGCCCATTCTGTGGTGCTGTCTTCATGCTTGCTACTGTGCAATATTTGGTCGAGAGTAGCCAACATAATTTGATGGTGAGAGTCCAATGCCGCGAATTGCTCAAGGCTGGTGATCATTTTCTGCAGTTGCTCGTACGGCAGAGGTGTTCCAGTCCGGTGATGCTGAGCAAACAAAGCGACGCAGGCGGGAGAAGAAAGCAAATGCTCCATCAAGATGGAAGGCAACTCGACGAAGTCTGTTGCGCAGCGGGTTCCTGAAACATTGTGGTAGTCGGTCCGTCCAATCATAGCTGTCCCGCATACAATCAGATGATTGAAAAAGCAAGCGTGAAGATACTCACAATGAATCGCATGGCCCATCTCGTGGAACACTAATTGAACTTCTGGCCACGTCAGGAGGCTCGGAAGTGACCGAGAAGACCCGATATCAAACATCAAGACGATCACAGGTAGCTGATACTTGCCAGCCCTACCCTTCATCTCGACGCTGGGCACCTCCAAAGGCACAACCAAGTCAACAGCGTCGCTCTTGGCAGCGATAGAGTCACCAAGGGGGTCGTCATCATCAACTCGACGCGAGCATCTAACAGTGTAATGGGCAGCTCCTGGCGCCTTGCCTTCTCGGGTCCACGGGTCCAAATATACATAGCCAATGACACCTTCTGTTTCGTCGACAACCTCCAGCTTTCGGACACCCTCATGCCAGACCTCGCCTTGCGCCATTGCCGCAGGTCGAAGTGAAATACCGTACAAGTTTGTGAAGAGGCGTGATACTCCCTGAACAGTTGTGCCCAGGGAGAAATAGGAGGAGATAGGTATAGATGGAGAGTCGTGTGGTAACAGTTGCACATAATAGTCTCGATCCCAGGGTTTCAGAGATGGTAAGAAATCCATTTGCAGTTGGAGCTGCTTTCTGTACGCAATTGATGCGATATTTCTTATCGCAGCGGGTTTGTGGTGTTCGCTGAGGGTGCGCAAAAACTGCAAAACATGTTCTGAATCTTGGGTCAGGATTGGGAGGAAGCGACGCAAACCGGGACGCACCTGGTTGCTTTGCCATACTATTGCCTAGTGCCATTTCGGCATAGCTCGTATACCCGACAAGTTTCGCGAGTTGCGCTCTAGCATCCAAGAGACTCTCCAGTGTAGCGAGCTGATTCGGTGTGCTTGAGTTGACTGCAATGAAGGCTCTTCTCCTAGCCTCTTCGTTTGGTGCGAATCGCGTAATCAAGAAATGGGCACGGCTCTGTGGTGTTACGCGTAGCGTCCTTCGCCATGGTGATCTGCTTGCTGACATGACTTCTCGGCGGTACGAGGGAGGCATGCCATCCAGCAATTCGATTCCTATGTCGTATGGTGGTCGGTCTTGTCCAGAATTGTGAAGAAACTTGGCTCCTAAAGAAATAATCGTATCCGAGAGCTCCACGACTTGACGTCTTTCGTCATCTGGTAAATGGATGCCAGACTTTTCGAAGTCATACATAAATAAACGTGCAACCTGCTGTTCATCCCAGCTGGTGCTAGCAAGGATCTCAGAATCCATTAAATACGCTCTCAGCGCCTGCATAGTGAGTCAGCACTAGAGACACTCGGGAATTCGCGATAAGTCTCACATTATGCAGCTCAATATCAGTGTTCAACATGTTGAGATAAGAGCAGAGGTACTCGTATACATCAGTCGCACTTTTGGAAACTTGAGGATCCGGATGAGCATGTCGAACAAGCTCGCATGTGTCAATGACAATACACAGCATGTCACTCAGCCTATCGATGGTTTTGACCAGTCTCCTGAGTTCCGTTCGAGAACCTAAGGCCTGCTTGGCGCGAGTCACCAGCACTTTTGCTCGAGTAAGTGTCCGTTCTCCAAGTTCCAGGATAGCTGCTGGTGATGACATTTCGGGATAGCCGAACAGACCAGTTGGCCTCAGAGCGAGTGTCGATGAGGGTTTATGAGGCTCGTCGAAGATACGACGAAGATCCGCATCATCGTTGAATAAACGAAATGTTTGGTTTAATACAGGTTGAACAGCTGAAGATGCCGCAAAGCTACGTCGAAGAGCAGGTGGTGGCGTTACAAGGCATCTCTTGAATCCTGGCAGTTGGAGTACTGAGCGAAGTCGCATGTTGACCAAAAATTGCCAGGTGGATTCGGCCCAGCCAGTTTATGTGGGGTTTGATCCCGTCACCAGGGTTTAACCGCAAGTTTTGTCCTCTTCTTTCCTTCTTCCTGTCTCAGACGAGGCCAATGCACGCAATGGTCTCTTCCTTCCCACACGCCTTATTGGTGTGATGGTTGATGGTCCAGCTCTGGGTACGTGACTTCACCTGCACGTCTTGTTCTATCATTTGCATGATGTTTTACTTGTAATTTGCGTTCGATCATCCACCCAATCTAAGGGGCCGAATTCGCCTTCGTGTCCTGGGGATAGGATGCATGAGACAAATATTCTTTTGCTGACACCTTGCGTTCTTTCATGCCATTTGCCATTCTGAACCAGGCGCTGATGTTGATTTCGCAGCGGGGATTGGGTTTGGGTACTTGTGCTTAGCTCTTTACCGTAGCTACCTACAGCAGAAAAAGAACCACAGAGCGAGGCTGTGCATTCTCGATATAAATATATACCGCGTCGTCTGCATCAGTCACTGCCCAGTCTTCCTCTTCACATCCCACAGTGAAAACACAATGGCACCTAAAGTCATGTCCGTATGGCAAGCTGCGTTGCTCGTGTACCTTGAGGTCAGCAGTATCTGTGCTTGTGAACAATCCAACCTGACAGATAACCAGCCAATCGGATTTTCCATCCTTGGGGCAATTCCAGTCGTTATGGACCCAGCCACCTTTCAAGCAGGCCATGCCCCTGCGAACCAGGCCCCAAGCTCTTTGACACTCGCCAATCGCGTCGTGCTGTATCAATATGCAGCCCTGCTCGTTGTTGTAGGCTTGTCCTCGACCCTGGTCATGCATACTGCCCTTCACCTCGACGATCCGACTGGACGATCCCAAAGACGCCTCATTGCCGCCATGCAGGTCGCGTTGATGCTTGGCGATTGGCTCTTCGCTTCTGCATCTATTGTACCTTATTTTGAAGCGGGCTTGATCGACTACCTCAATCCTTTCAAAGTGTTTACCGGGCAGACGCCATACCTCATGGCACCTTTCTTGGGAGTGTGGTTGAGTGCTGCATTGACATGCATGCGTATTGCATGGTTGTCAGGAGTCGGCCAACAGCGCATCACGGAGAAGAAGAATCAGTAGATGCAAACGCGTTGCTTTATGTATTACAATGTTTACGACTCGGCTCTGCGCCGAATGAACTCGCGGACGTTTTCATGACCGTCTTCTCGTACAAACATCTTTCTTTTTTCGCGATTCTCCCACAGTACCACATCCAACTGCTTGGCATAGTTAAGTACTAGGTCAAAGTCGCCTTGCGAATTGAAGTCTTCGTAAAGGTATCCATTCTCGGACTTCAGTCGGTTTTTCTCGAGCTGCCAAAGCCGAATTTGGTCCTGCACTGTGACAGGAAGAACAGGATTCTAGCATAGGAGAATCAGCACAATATCCTAGCAGAACGTCCCAGTGCAATACATTTTTGTGCATCATCGGATGCGCATGAACAGTGAGATAGCTGATTATCTGCGTTCAAGGATCAGCGTCTGCAGGCGGGATCAACACGACGACAATGACCTGATCAGCGGTGATCCCATTTGCCAAGGCCGCTTTGATGCTCTCCCGCGTCAGTCGACCAATAACAAGGTTCTCGAACCGACTGTGTAATGCGACGAAAAGATTGAGGACGGCGATCTGAAGAGGGTTTTCTGGGGGAAGGTCAACAAAGGCAACGCCCTAATTCGATATCAACATACCGGTGTACGCATACACGCGATAGTTTGTCTCCAGAATGATGAAACCTTCCGACGAAGCTGCTTTCTCATGTTTGCTGCTCGTGAACGCAAGACTTGAGGTTGACGTAAGAGTCGTGGCTAGCCTTGTGGGATAGAACCGCGTGTGGTCGTCAGGATTTCGTCGATATATTAAACCATAGTCCAGGAAGTCCTGTAGCATGACGTCCTGCGTCTCCGACAGATTCTCCGTCGAGTATTCTTGACCAAGTTGCATACTGCCGAGCATGAAAAGAAACCCAATGACCTCCACCAGATCGCGTCCTTGGTCCTTCAAAATATGGTTTGTATCATCATACATGCTCAGCTGACAATATGTGCTCACCTCGCTCATAGCTAGATACTGCAACAACAATTCCCACAGCTGCGTGTGCGAGTCTTCTAGAAGGAACTGGAAGCCCTTACTCGTTATTCGAGATTCTGGATGCCGCTCTGCGCCACTGTTGGCCTATCAGCAGGGGAGTTGTACACGATATTCATACACACATCGGAACCATGAGGCCGCTCCTGCGAAGGAGAAATATCACAGCGATCGAGGGCGGTGGAACCCGGCCAGCAGATGATCCCGAAGAAACCATGAAATGCAATATGCTCTTCATAAACCGTCAGTGTCGATAAGGTATCAAAGGATGCAGTTCGCACCTCCCATCTCTCCGATGCGTAGTCATCTAATTGTTCGGTCGCCATCACCTCCTTCCCTCGAGCGCCAGGACAGGGAACACCAAAGCTTCGGTGCTCTCCCCTGCGTGATGTTAAGCCGACCGAGCAGGCAAATCCATACCTGGACATACCCTCCAGTTAATGCTCGACGAAGTCCAGACTGAAAGGCGGGTAACAACAAGATGCGTCCATTGGCCTCTTTCGCAATGTGCAGTCGAACAAGGTCTTGCAGAGCAGCAGCGTAGTGCCTGAACGCAAAGTCAGGCAGAGATCTTCCATGGGGAACAGGCCTTCACTTTCTGGAATCCTCATTCGGTACGACCCAAGCAGTGAGATCCACTCCCGTTTTACTGTCAAGCCATAACAGGCTCATCACGATCTGTCGCGCGACATCATCCAGTAATCTCCAGACCATCAGTCTAGTCGCACGAGGAATGGACATGATGTATTCACCTGAAAACCGCAAGACAGGCGCTGGGTCGTGTATACAGTCTGGAAAGCGCGGTCTGTGGCCTCGTTGTAAGAAATGCATGGATAGGGGACAGTTGAGCGGTATGTTGTTGGTCGGACATGACAATGACGTCGGGGATACTGCTGCCCTCAGGGAAGAACTCTCACAGCCACACATAAATTTCGGAGCCGAATCATGTCCGCACAGGAAGAATGAGCTTGCTAGTATCATCTGGGCCAGGCGATTATTACATACATATATCATTACCTATGTGATTCAAACGACCAGCAATGTCTGGAGAAAGTTTGTCCTTCTTTTCCCAGCTCGTGCCATATGTTTCCTCTATCGGGTGGAAAGCTCACCTTGGGTCGACAAGCAACCGAGTAAGCGTTGGTCCGTATAGATCTGTCATGCCAGAGCGAGCACACCACTGGCCTCTGCAACGCATGATCTGGATGCTCGCAGCCACCTGTCTTCATTGGTCTAGAGGGGTCGCGTGTGTGGTCACGTACGTGCGTGTAACAATATTTTTCCTGCCGCGTTGAAACCGCAGATGAGAATAGACACGTGAGTGCTGTCGTTGCTACGGTGCCACGGCGTGCAAGTCTATAGATGGCAACAAGCAATGGACAAAAACAAACCAAACGCTGAGTCGAGATCGTGCTCTGCCCATGGAAAATGTGCGAAGTGCAGGAAAACGTGCAACATGTTTCGTATTGCCGTAAGGCGTGCCGATGTGTGCCGAACCCCTTTCAAATCGCCCATGTGGCCCACATCTCAGAACATCCGCACATGGAAGTAGGGCGCCAAGTTGCAATGCGACATGCCAGTTCTGTGGATAATATCCGTCCGGGACTGGAAAAGAGTGTAATTTTGGTTGGGATATCTTCGTCGCTTGCGAATAACTGACTTCGAGAGGGAAGGGAATACAAAATCAGAGGCAGGGTACACAGGGTGCTATGACCTCATGTATTCGATTGAATTGAATAGTTAGACCTCGCTGCAGGGAGTGCCCTGCGGCGGCCCTGATATGGGAGGAGAACAAAGAAGAAGGGAATAAGAAAATATCGAATCGGATACAAAACGTGGAAGTAAACATAGTTATCAGGTGCCTGTGTCGGCCCTGGTGAGGGGGTGGATTGGCCAGGCCGGGGGAAACCTCTCGGACCCTGCTGGGCTTCTCACGCTGAAGCTTTCCAAGTCCAGCCTGAACCTTCCACGCTCACCTTCGTGCCTCTTTCCTGCCAAAATCTGTTCGTCTCAACCTTGCCACTTCTCACCACACCTCTCTCCTCCCTTCAACATCCTTATGGACTCCTCATAGTCGAGACCCATCATCAACCATCCTGCCCATTTAAATCCCAGCACCCCGTCTCCTGGAAACGCCACACCGGCTTTTTGACGGGGCTCTGTGCGGTACAATCAACCTCGACGTCGACGACTCACCATGGCATCGACGAGCTCTCCCTCCCGACCTCCTATCCTCCCGATGCATAGGAACACCCCTCCCAAGCCTCGTAGGCGGCTTCAGTTTCAGGAACATGGGAACGAGGATGAGCGACCGGCTTTTCGCCGATTTTTGTCTTACTTTCTGCGCAAGATATCGTCTCCCTCGACGGGCAGCGCATCTGATGGGCTGGGACCGCTCGATCTCAGCGAAAGCTCATCCTCTGCTGGAGGCCAGCGGCCGGGATACGTCAGAAGCACGGGGGATGCTGAAAAGGAAGACAAAGAGGACGCTGATTGGAAGGTGGATGAGGTCGTCGTCACAGGCGAGCTGGACGCCGGCACAACGACACGTGCAGACGGAACTACGACAAGTGATCGACACTCGGATGTTGCGAGTCACCGAGAAGGCGAACTGAGCAACTCTGCTCGCACGGACGAGATACATCATGCTACAGGTCTTTGGGGCTTCTTACGCCATCGCCTGTTCCCGGTCATCGTCGCTTTCTTCAATCCTATGCTCGACAGTCCTGACAAGGAACTCGAGTTCCAGAAACAGAATTGGTACTCGACTAAAAAACCTGCCTTTGCATATGCGATGTATCTTGTCCTAAACTGGGTGCTGTACCTGATCCTGAATCGGAACGTTGGCAGTCAGCCGTTCGAAGATATCACTTACGTACGTTCTATCATCTAAGGTCTCGATATGCGACGCTGATTTTCGATAGTATGGCCCATTTACGCTGTTCACTATCCCGATCCCTGTCCTGATTGCGTTCGATGCACCTCGCAAATGGCCTATCCCGTTCCAGATTTGGTTTTCGTGTGCGATTTGTACGTGTAGTTTCCGTCACTGCCTCGAAAACGTCTCATTCAACGCGTAGGGTACTGTGGGATGACCGAACTCATCCAGATGAAACAGTGTGGCTTCTATGGCGACAATCAATGCAATAACAAAGATTTTCTCGCAATGCTGTCGTGCGTATATGCGCATATATCCGACTTGCACGCTGCTTACACTTCTCTAGTTACAACATGGGTTTTCCAGCCGTGGCGCTTTTCATCTGCGCATCTCGCTTCTTCACTGCCATCTTCCAATGCATCTCCTTCATCCTGATGTGCAGCCTAATCTTGCCCGACCAGGGGATCTTCTCCCGAAGTGAGGCAGCCCGTGCAAGCTCATTCGTCACTCGTCTAACCATTACTGCAGATGTCGTCACCTATGCTCTCTTTTGCATCTTCGTCCAATACCTGTCATACAACTTTGAGATGCGCAATCGCCAGACGTTCATCCTGAACAGTCAGCTCAAGCTGGCTTACCGGAGCCAGCAGAAATCCCAGATTGCAGAGACACATGCGAACAATTCGAAACGGCGGTTCGTGAGCTACATCTTCCATGAGGTGCGCTCAGAGGGCTTCGGGACGGGTATCGGGGCTGACAAATTGACCAGGTTCGTGTGCCGCTGAATACGGCTGCACTTGCTTTCCAGAACCTCAAGTCCGCAGAAGCATTCAAGGAAGACGAGACTGAGACACATGAAACGGAGATCCATGCGTTAGAAGCATCGTTATCGATGATGCAACAAGTCCTGGACGACGTGCTTGACCTGCAGCGTATGGATTCTGGCCGATTTGAGAGCTCTCCCCGCCCTTTCCCCCTGCACCGTGCCATCAATTCGATGCTGGGAAACATCCGTGTCGCTACCACGGCAAAACACATCAACCTGGTTGTGGACTTAGATGAGAGCATCGACCAACTGAGCGATGCTGAGATCGGCGAACGACATCTCTGGATTGTTGGCGATGAGATACGTCTGCGTCAGGTTGTGACAAATCTCGCGTCAAACGCCATCAAGTTCACACCTGAGAACGGCGGCAATATCAAAGTGGTAACGAAGCTCCTACGTGTGGTCAAACCCACACCACCGCCAACACCGATGGGACAGAAGATGCCACACATGCACCCGCTTGCCGAAAAGAGCCCAGCTCAGCTATTGATCGAGCAGCAGCCAAAGGTCGTCTTCCGCTTCGAGGTTCACGACAGCGGCCCTGGTATCAAACCTTCTGATATGGCGTCCTCCCGTCTCTTCACCCCATTCGCACAAACCAAAGTGGGAAAGAATAGTGGAACAAAGGGGAGTGGGCTCGGCTTGGCAATCGTCAAGCAGATTATCACACTGAGCGGCGGGCGCCTTGGCGTACAGAGCCGTAAAGGTCAAGGGTCGTGCTTCTGGTTTGAGCTCGGCTATCGCATCGCTACGCCCCATGAAGTCAAGACAGAAAAGGAGATGGCGACGTCCCCCCTCCCACCGCCACCGCCTTCTTTTTTCGCTCCTCAGAGACCACAACTCGCAGATTTGCCAGAATTGGGCAAGGAATCATATGCATCGTCTCAGTATGAACCAGTCACAGAGGGAGTGGAAGACGATGAAGAAGAGCCCCCAAACTTGTCACCTGAGCTGACGACTTCCGCCGGATATCTCGATGTGCCTGTTCCTCGCATACCAAGTATTCCCCACCAGTCTCCGTCGTGGACTGCCGAGAGGCAGACATCTCATGCATCTTCGACTATGCCTCTATTGCAGCCGACGACAAGTGAAGGTAGAGGACTCGATAAACCGCGACCAGTCGTGACCCTCGGCCAGGACTTGAAGCCACCAACAATCAACCCGTCGCCAACTTCGGAGCTACCTTTATCACCTCTTTCCAGCGTCATCTCACCCGCGGTTCCAGAAGGAACAGATCCCCTGCGTGTCCTTGTCGTCGATGACGATACTCTGACGCGCACTCTCATGACGCGTATGCTAAGCCGCCTGGGTTGCGTCGTCGAGACGGCTGAAGACGGGCAAGAAGCACTCGATGTGCTCCTTGGATCTCCAGAAGCTAACCGACCACCACAGAGGTTCGACATGATCTCTCTGGATAATTCGATGCCTGTTTTATCGGGAGAGGAAGCTGTTAGACGGCTCCGCGCTGCAGGAAGAACGGACCTAGTAGTCGGGTGCACGGGAAATGCCCTCAAAACGGATCAGACTTCTTATTTGAGTGCAGGAGCCGATAGAGTGCTGACAAAACCCATCATGCTCAAGTGAGTGACTGCCTGGCTGATTTCTTGACAAATTGTAATTATATCTCCAGGGACCTGAAAGCGATGTTGCAAATTGCTGCTCAAAGACGCGAAGAGGCTGCTGCCACTGCCGCCAATCCCTCAACAAGTTCATGATCCTCTTTTTTTCAACCTCGTACCATATCATCAGCCGCTGGCGACATGTCTTCTCATGATCATTTCTCAGCATCCATCACATTACGTTACTCCCACGGACTTTCATGCGCTCTTGCATTTGCGTTTGGACTTAATCAACTTCTTAGGGTTTGGAGACGCTTGTATCGACGACAACGCATATTACATTGTAGCACTGTAGGCCGCTATTATAGGCTATGCAATTGTATAATTACTTTGACCTGTTGTTTCGGTGTGGTCCTCGAAGTGGCTGCGTCCAGCACTCCAGCGCGCGTTGCGAACCGGTATGTAGTCGGAGATTTGGAAGCACAAGACAACCCTCTCCAATCCCTGATAGAATGGACGGCTCGCACAACGTCCAAGCGCGACGGGCCAGTTTCGCTGTCACCTCTGAACAACCACGACCATGCACTGGTTCACTTTGACCTCGCTGACGGCTCTGTTGCCTCTTGTCGGTGCAGCTGTCACTTTCCCTGCATCGCACCAAGCTGTGTTTGAGAAGGAGCGTCGGCTGTCTGAACTGTCAGCTCTCGACTTTGTCACGCTGTCACATCCTAGCTACCCCGCCCACTCAGTGAGGATTAAGCGTACTGAAGGTTTCTGTGATACTACTGTGAAGTGAGTCCGTGAACCTTCTGCAGGAGCAGGATCTGACCATCTATCCAGCACCTACACAGGTTATATCGATGTGGACTACGGCGCAAAGCACCTGTGGTTCTACTTCTTCGAGAGCCGACACAATCCAGATAAGGATGATGTGATTATGTGGATCAATGGTGGCCCTGGATGCTCATCGGCGACGGGGTTGTTTATGGAGCTCGGTGCGCTTGTTCCTTGCACGTATCTGATCTCGGCGCTGATTCCCGTCCAGGACCTTGTCTTATCAACCCCGAAGGCACGGGCGAGAATCGGACGAAATACAACCCCTACGGATGGAATGAAGTCGCAAACATATTCTTCTTGGATCAACCAGTCGGTGTTGGTTATTCTTATGCGGACTTCGGTGAGACTGTCTCCACCTCCGAAGATGCGGCGAAGAACGTCCAGGCCTTCATTGTCATCTTCTTCGAGACCTTCAAGCAATTCCAGGGGAGGGCATTCCACATGGCTGGCGAATCTTATGGTGTATGTCTGCCTCAATATCCATAGATGCACTATCACTGACAATGCATTAGGGTCGCTACCTCCCTATCTTTGCCAGTGAAGTCTACGATGCCAACCTTCGGGCTGAATCAGAAGGTTTTACGCCAGTCAACCTGCAGTCGGTCATGATTGGCAATGGCGTCACGGACGGGCCAACCCTGCTGACCTCGTTCTATGATATCCAATGCACCACCGCTTCTCTCAAGCCGTTCCAACCAATTGGACTCTGCACCCAAATGCGCCAGGCGGTGGACAAGTGCGATGAGTGGATGATGCAAGACTGCTTCCACAGGCAGGACGCTATCAGCTGCCAGGCCGCCATGACGTATTGCCGATCTGCGCTGCATGCCCCCATCATCGAAGCTGGCCGCAATCCTTACGACGTAAGCAAGATGTGCGAGGGCGGTATTGGCGACAGCTTGTGTTACCCTGTGACGAAGAAAATTGCAGCCTACTTGAGTGATCCCATCACCAAATCTTTGATTGGTTCTACGGAATTCTCCGGAAACTTCTCGAGCTGCTCCCCCGAAGTTATGAAGGGGTTCGTGGGACACTTTGACTCCTTGCATCTGATCCGATACTACGTTGTCGGTCTTCTCGAAAGGGGAATAAATATGTTATTCTATGCAGGAACATACGACGCCCAGTGGTAAGCGCTTATAACTTACCCCATCATCTCCTCTTCAGCTTACCTGGTATCCAGCAACTGGGTCGCAAATAAGCGCTACACGTCTTTACTGGATTGGCATGGGAAGGAACAATTCAACGCTCTGCCTTCGCGGGGATGGAATGTCGATGGCAAGGAGGCGGGCGTCGCACGCTCTTACAAAGAGCTGACATTTGCCACCATATACGGCGCCGGCCACATGGTACGTCCCACTTTCTGATGCGTAAAAAATGTTCTGAGCTTTCGTTTGCAGGTACCAACGGACAAGCCCGCCGAGGCGCTGGAGATGGTCAAGAGATGGTTGAAAGATAGGAAGCTGTAATATGTCCTGCCAGGGGCCGCCGCGCCCTAAATCTCAGTGTAGATGAGTTCTCTCGTATCATGGATATACAGACACAGGCACCTCATGAAAACTTATTGACATGAGTGGGGGAATGCAGCCCAGAACTGCGCGTAAATTCATTCAACACGTGTGCTACGGAGAGCACCCAGTGCCATTGTCACCTTGAGGCACGCTAATTTGTCACATGATGAGAAATCTCCGGGCGGTGCAATAATTCGCTTTGCTTCCGCTCACCGTACGTCTCTTTTCCGTTCATCGATTCTTGCTCCAGCGACCACCTACAAATCTTTACATTGGTATACTCCTCTTGGTGTTAACCTAGAAGTTTAGAAATTCTTATTGCAATCATGGGTGGGTTTGATTGATGGTGTAAATGTTGTATAGCCTTACTCTTTGTGCAGCTCCTAAAAACAAAAAGACGAAGATGACCTTGTCGGACTTCTTGGCCGACGAAGGTGTGCCTTCTCTAGCACTTCCAAATGAGACGTTGACTGAGATTCTCAAAAGCTACCGGGTCATGGGCTGATGAGATGGATGCACTACCTACAGCGCGTAAGTACACTTGACTAGTTTTACCACGGAGTTGTAGTGAATCATTCAGCAGCCGCTGCAAAAGTCGATAACGACCGGGGCAAGCGCGATGATTTCTCCCGCGACTTTCCTTCTCGAGGTTTGTTTAGACGGTTAATAGACCTGCCTCAGCTGTTTCTAATAACTCCCAGAGTCTCGCTATCCTCCTCGGGAGGAGTTGCCACTGCCAGACAAGCCGCCATACACGGCTTTCCTCGGAAACCTCGCATATGATCTGACTGACGCCGACATCGAGGAGTATTTTTCTCCGCACAAGGTACCGCCTAGTGTTTCCTGTACGATATACGGACGTATCATTGATGATGGGCCAGCTTGTATCTGTCAAGATCATCAAGGAACGAGACGAACGGCCGAAGGGTTTCGGATACGTTGAGTTCGAGGATCTGGAAGGGTTAAAGGCCGGCCTTGAGCGTTCCGGAAGAGTGCGTTCCTTCTTAACCCTTGCATTGCTCTGATTCACAAGCATGATAGTCCCTGAATAATCGCGTCGTCCGTGTGAGTGTTGCTGAAGCCCGTAAGCGTAGATTCAACACGTGCCATTACCTTTTCTCACTTCCACTTAGAGAAGGATCGGACCTTTTCCTCTCGCGGCGGGGGAGGATTTGACGATGACAAATTCGATCGGCAATGGCGCCGTGACGGGCCTCCCCCTGATCTTGGTCATGATCGCAGCGCATCCAGGCCGCGTTCGTCTCGATTCTCTAATGAGCCGACGAACGAGGCCGACGATTGGCGCTCTGCGCCCCGCTCCATGCAACCCCCACTTGAGCACGGCTCTTCGCGTCGCGGCTCTGGCTTCTCCACGCCTTCAGAGCCTGGCAACGAACCATCTGACTGGCGTTCTGCACCTCGAGCCCCACGGCCAGCCGGCCCGGAGCACGACGGACCCCGCTCTCGTTCATATACCCCACGCGAGCCTAGGGAGCCTAGGGAGCCACATGCTGCCGAAGTGGAAGAAAACTGGACGATGGGTTCGAAGTTTAAGAAGTCTTCCCCTACATCCGAGTCTGGCTTCGACCCTTCTAGGCGCGGATCCAGGGACAATGTTCCTCATGAACCGACCGTCGACGAGGGCGTAAGCGACTGGCGGACGGGCCCCAGGAGGGGTCCACTGCCATCTCGAGAAGGACAAGGTCGCTTTGGAGACAGAAAAAGTCGTCAGTGGATACAAATCTAGCCAGTTTGTTGTACTGACAAAGGTGATGATGTAGCCCAGTCTTCCGCACCACCTACCCCGATTTCAAGGCGGAGGCTTGAGCTTATTCCCCGAGGAAACAGTAGCCCCTCTAACCCGAGCTCTCCTCTCACCTCCCCTCCACCCATGAGTGCAACACTCCCTCATGTAAAGCCCAACCCATTTGGTGACGCCAAGTGAGTGGCTCGGCGGACTCGCCATTCGTCATGATCTAACACTTTTGTAGGCCTGTCGATGTGACTGCACGCGAGCGTGAGATTGAGGAAAAGATCGAGCGATACGAGCACGGATCCGGGTCCGGCTCGACCCATACATCTCCCAGGCAAGTACACATACACCCCCCTGGAGACGACGCACCGTATCATCATCATGGGCATCAACCAGCCCCTACTGCCGGACCTCCGGCTCACCCGAGTACAAATCAAGATTCTTGGAGACGTCGCGGCCCACCCTCTGAGCGAGTTACCCCTAGCCATTCTCGCCAGCCTTCATCTGGTACCGGGGGCGCACGCGGTGCTTCACGTAACGACACACCACCCTCCCACCATGCACCCAAGAGTTCCCCACCTCAGGCCGCTGCATCCAATGTTCGGCCAACTTTCAGCTTCGCTGCTGCCGCTGCCAGCATCTCTATCGATGAAGAAGGTCCAGATGAGGGTGGGGCCAACGGACAACCTAATGGAGATGGCCAGATTGACGCTGTGGTTGAAAGGCTTGCGGATCTAAATACCAACAATTCCAGCACGTAAACGACGCCTAGATGAAGAAGATTGTCGATGAGGTCTGAACAACGCGTAACTCATCGCCAAAACTGTCGTCATTCCTATATTTCAAACAAAGGTTGCAAGATAGCTGTTACGAGAGGAGAGAGCCAGTAAACGCACGGACGCTGTGGACGAACGAGAAAAACTGAGTGCTTGCGCATTCATGATATTGGTCACACCCTGCATTCACCTTTCAGCATCCTGGCTACGATTACCCTCAGGCATATTCTATTTTCTTTTTCTAATGATGGGTTGTTCGATGACGGTTTCTCTTCATGTACTTGAGTCTCCTGCATCGCATGCTGCTCTGGTCTTATTCACCAATACTATGCCTTGAAATCAAACACCGTTCATTGTACATATCATCAGTTGCTACTATTACGCGACTGCCGTGAGTAAGACTCCGGGTCACGGTATTTCATAGCTCCGCGGCCTAAAGATGTAAGTATAAGGGGAGACGTCTCGAGGCCGGACATACCTTTGTACCTAACCCCGTCGATTACAACGCCATTGTCTTCCTTATCACGTTTAAGAGCCGCCAGTTCTCGTTTCTTTACCTCCTGGATCCTCTGCTGCTCCTCACGCTCCAGCCGCGCATCGTATTCTTCTTCAGTCTCCTGATGTGGCACCGCATGATCTGGCGGCGCCGTTTCTTTTGCAACTCGCTTTGCACGCTTAGCTTCCCGCTTTTCTCGCCTTTCCTGCTTCCGAGCTCTACGTTCACTTTTTCGACGTTTGCGCTCTTCCTCCTCGGTATCCTCTTCGCTGGATTCATTATCTCGGTGTCGTCGCTTGCCCTTAGGAGGTGGCGACTCGTCTTCCGATTCACTGACAGACTCTTTGCGAACTGTAAGAAGCCGGGTTATTAGTCCAGGTAAACACAATCGCCGCGCATAAACCTAACCTGGTGCAGGCTTTACCGGAGCTCGCCTGAATTCCAGCTCGCCACAGCTCGCAACAACAACCTTCTCCAAGGGCCGATCCTTGCTGTCTGTCTCAACATTGACGATCTTCTCGATAACGTCGTAACCTGGGTCAAGTGACGTGATCAGTTCCGAGAAAAGCGCAGGTTAGGGAACACCCACCTGTCACTACACGGCCGAAGCAGACGTGCTTCCCATTAAGATGGGGACATGGCCGGACCGTGACGAAGAATTGGGAAGAATTTGTATCAGGTCCCCTGTTAGCCATTACAAGGAGCCTGACCATGATCGAAAATGGCCGTCAGATCTTGCTAATCAAAATGCCATATTACATACCCTTCGGAGTCTATGGGACGGTGAAAATCTTCGTCGGGGAAAGGAGCACCATATATGGATTCTCCGCCAGTGCCGTTTCCTTTCGTGAAGTCGCCTCCTTGGATCATGAAATTCTTGATCGCACGATGTATTGTGCATCCTTTGTAGTAGAGGGGTACTTCTGAGATGGGAGACACGCCTTTCTCGCCAGTACATAAGGCTCGGAAGCTGAATGATCAGAAAAACATGTATGAGATCCGCTGATAAGCGAAAGAAGTAGGTAGCAGTGGCTGCGCGTACTTCTCAGCGGTTTTAGGAGCCGTGTCATTGAACAATTCGAATATCACCCTATGGTCCCGTGAGCGCCAACAGAGTTGGGCGGATGACCACAACATACCTTCCCGCTGGTGCATCAGCGATGTTGAAATTCATGAAGACACGTGGCTTGACCATTTTTAGGCAGAAGGATGTGAAGAGTTAAGCAGAGTCGCCTGAAGGGCTGTAGGTCCGATAGACAGAGCCTTGAGCTTTAGCCGTAGATCGGGTTAACACGATCTGTCTTGATCCCTCGGAGAAGCGAAATTAGCTCTCTGATTGACTTTCAGGTTGACAGTATCTCCTAACAGGCGTGAATGAATCTCAGAGGAGGTGGATGAAGTTGAAGCTGCCGCGAGGCCAAGAGAGTCGAAAACCCTGACATACAAACGTGCCGTGAATGAGGCGCGCCCGCTGGCATCACGGCACGGAGTCGCGGGGTGAAAGGCCAGGGGCAGGTCATCACAACTCCTTCAACACGACACCGGTCAATTCCATCAAGGCCTACCATCAGCCTAATACCTGTGCTTGGTCCTTCCTTTCCCCACCTGGAACACACGCGCAGAAGACCGTTAACGCGCATATTCCGAGGTGACTGGGGGGTGCGGGGACACACACACGCGATCCTGATTGCTGTGTGCCGCCCAAACTCATTGTCCAGTTTCCAGATATTTAATAATGCTCTTGCTATCTCAATTGATACCATCGCACCTATCTTTCCCCTGAATCTTAACTGCCCTCGCATGCACATGGAGGTCTCTGAACCTCGTATTGTAGTGCTCGGCGGTACGCGTTAATGCCGATCATTATCTCGGGAATACTAACCGATTTGACAGCTGGCGGCATCGGCAAGTCGTGTCTGAGCATCCGATTCATTAAAGGAACCTACGAAGAGAACTATGATCCCACGCGTGAGTACAAAGGACCAAGCCCGCAGAAGGAGAACTGACCCACCTTAGTTGAGGAAGCGTACGGGAAGACTATTTTTATCAATGGGCGACCGACCCAAGTAAGCGAATAGACCATCGAAGCGAGTGGCTATCGGTTTGACCAGGACCGTTCCTTAGATGCAGGTCAATGATACGGCTGGCACTGAACAGTTTCATAGCGTCATCAGTGATATGTACTTGAAAGTGAGGCAATCTCGTGGTTGAACACGAGGACTTGCTAATTCTGGTACGCAGCCGAACAGCGCGTATTTGCTTGCGTTCGCGTCAGTCCATTCCACAGATAAGCAGATCGGAGTGGCTGACGCAGTTGATCTTCACCAGATTGGATGACTATGAGACTTTGAAATCTCTCGAGCCGTTGTACAAGCAATTGCGCACGTGGGACGCTGCTGAAAGCTCACGCACAGGTCGACGCTTCAGGGTGCGCCCGGATGAAACGAGATCGCGTACCAGCGACTAACAAATGATGATAGTCGCCCGTCTGTTTAGTGGGGACCAAGAGTGACCTCGAAGACACGCGAGCGCTGAAGCGCGAGAAGCTAGAAAAGCAAGCGGCCAGCTGGAAGCTGGCCTACTTCGAGACATCTGCAAAGTTTAACATTCGGGTGGAGGCACCATTTGAGTATCTGACAGAGCAGTTGGTGGCACTGGCTCTAGAACAACAAGCAGATAATCCACCGAAAGTTGACAAGAGAACGAAGAGAGGGTGGAAGAAGTGCTGGAAATGTTCAATCATGTGAGATATCGGTCGGGAAATTGCCTTTCGAGACCTGACAGGGACGGTTCGTTTATGTGGAGATACCCATTGTTTATTCTGTTATGTATGTGCTCGGGACCTTGATAAGCGCAAAATTTAAACGTCGTATGATTCGACTTCGGAGCGGGCGCCTGAGCCATGAGGACCGGACGTATTTGCGAACCATGCGACAATAATATGACCACTGTATTTTCTGTTTCGGGCCGGTTTTTGCCAAGTGACGCACAGATGGAACATATGATTTCGCCGAGGCATCAATAATCTGAACTTGATGAAGAAGATTCTGTGCTGATCTGGCCACGAAGTTCCTGGGCGCCCAACTTTACTCTGTTTGTTTGTACTTGGCACTGATTGCCTCCGGTTACTTTGCCTTCCATTTGGAAAGGAGCCGGTTGCCAGGGCACAGCGGGCGTCTCCAGTGTGGGGGAGGGGATGGACCATCGTTTTCCCACACTGTGGGCGCCGATTACTCTGCGGGACAGTAAAGACAAATTACACACAACTTCCATTTGAAAATTAGCTCTGTACAGAAAGCCCCGATAGCGGGTCGCTGGAAGTGTACAACAGACTCCACAGAGCAAGAAAGTATAACCATCCTAGCCCGACAAGAATTTGTGACAACAGCAAGGAAAGGCGTAAAAGAGGAAACCCAAAGGATGATATAGGCGTGCAACGCGAGAGGGGGTAACAATAGGGCACTCGGCACAACCGAGCAGGTTGTGAGTAGAGCCAGCCTATACCTGCTCTGTGCGCTCCTCCTTGCCACCGTTCATCGCTCCAGAGTTGCCATAGGGGCGGCGGGGGTCGTACATGGCAGCAGGCATGCGCCAGACACGAGCATGACCTTGCGAATGTGCGCTGACAGCGATCTTGAGATTCCAGATGAAGATTGCCATCAGGGTGAAGGCGTTGATGAACGAGAATGCTTGGATGACGTGGAACTTGTTGCAGAAACTGGCATCATAGCTCCAGTAGACACCCTGGTAGAAGTGGAAGAAGGAGGAGCATCCACTTGAATTCGTGGTGCCCAGGGCGGCAGTAGCTGAAACATGTGTCACCTCTTATATTGGGTTGTGAGGAGAAACAAGCCTACCGATCCAAAGAACCCAAAGTAGTCCAGTCCAGAACACTTCCACACCAACCCAGTTAATGACGGCAGGTTCCTCGGACTGCTCCATGAACAGTCTAGGAAATGGGTCAACGAGCGCTCGTCATTAGTGGAGAGAACGACGCACGATACTGCAATTCCAACGGAGGAAAGCACGCCAGTGGCGATTCCAAGCTTGTCCTTGATGCTGGCAGCAATACCTAGCTCGATGATAGAAAGGATGATCACAGCAACTGGTTGACGGCCTTATCAACAACGGTGCACACGACGTAATTACTATACATACTCAGCGCAAAGCGACGGAATGTTGCGAAAGACATTGTTATGAATGATGGGGGGGAAGTAAGGAGTGTATGGTGTTGAAAAGAATGACTGTTGTCTTGGGTAGACGGGGATGAAGGACGACGGCAAGAAAGAGCGACTGCAAATGCGAGCGATGGGTGACGGGGTTGTGAGAGAAGAACAGGGAAGAGCGAAACCCAAGTAACGGGACAGGTCTAGGGAAATGGTAACGCCCGGCCCTAAGCAAGCACCGCCACTGCCAAGTGACCAACAAAGGGGAAATTACCTCCGCTTCGAAATTTGTTCTGGTGAGACCCACGCTCCGGCCATAGCCGACACGGACTCAAACTCAAGGTTTGACGCCCTCTCATCGCTTTTCACCGTCACTCAACGGTTCTTTCTCCAACCACCACCACTATCGCATTCACTCGACGTCGGTAGACACTCAGTCCCGTGCGATTTATAGACTTTTCGTTTCCTACTTCAACTCAAAGTATTTTTTACTACCTAATACCTTGATCAGTCAGCAAAAATGGTACAGGTTCGTTACCCTCCACGTAACCCCAGCGCACCTAACCCCTCCTATCAGTCGTACGGAAACAGCAACGGCTATAGCAACTCTAACGGCTATGGTGGTGGTGGCGGGTCGGGTTATGGGGGGGGGGGAGGAGGCGGACACGGCGGGGGATATGGTGGTGGCGGTGGATACGACTCGTACGGTGGTGATCGCATGAGCAACCTGGGTGGCGGATTGAGGGACATCAACTGGTCCACCCAGAACCTCGAAAAGTTCGAGAAGAACTTCTATGTTGAAGATAAGCGAGTTTCTGCCCGTACCGATCGCGAAGTCGAGGACTTCAGGCGCAAACATGAGATGAAGGTTTGTATATGCGCACACATTGACCACATTAGTCATACTGACAAACTTTTCAGATTCAGGGCCGTGGCGTTCCCAAGCCTATTACTACCTTCGAGGAAGCTGGGTTCCCAGACTATATTCTAACTACTATCAAAGCTCAGGGCTTCGCAGCACCGACCCCCATCCAATGCCAGGCTTGGCCGATGGCCCTATCTGGTCGCGACGTCGTCGCCATCGCACAGACTGGCTCCGGCAAGACCATCGCCTTTGCTCTTCCTGCGATGCTTCACATTAACGCTCAGCCTCTCCTCACTCCTGGTGATGGCCCCATCGCGCTCGTTCTTGCCCCTACTCGTGAGCTGGCTGTACAAATCCAACAGGAGTGTACCAAATTCGGCTCAAACTCCCGCATTCGCAACACCGCTGTTTATGGTGGTGCACCAAAAGGTCAGCAGATCCGCGACCTCCAACGCGGTGTGGAGGTCGTCATCGCTACTCCCGGTCGTCTGATTGACATGCTTGAGTCTGGCAAGACTAACCTTCGCCGCGTGACTTACCTCGTCATGGATGAAGCCGATCGTATGCTTGACATGGGTTTCGAACCCCAGATTCGCAAGATCGTTGGTCAGATTCGTCCCGATCGTCAGACGCTCATGTTCAGCGCCACTTGGCCCAAGGAAGTGCAACGACTTGCTCAGGATTTCCTCAAGGACTTCATCCAAGTCAACATTGGCTCCATGGATCTGAGCGCTAACCCTAACATCGAACAAATCGTCGAAGTTTGCTCTGACTTTGAGAAGCGTGGCAAGCTTCTCAAGCACCTCGACAAGATCAGTAACGAAAATGCGAAGGTGCTCATTTTCGTCGGCACCAAGAGGACCGCCGACGATATCACGAAGTACCTTCGCCAGGATGGCTGGCCGGCCCTTGCCATTCACGGCGACAAGGAACAGTGAGTTTTGTACTCTCTGAGTCAGGGATAGTGCTAATCTTCTTTCCAGGCGTGAGCGTGATTGGGTTCTAAGCGAGTTCAAGGCTTCTCGTTCGCCCATTCTCATTGCTACTGACGTGGCTTCCCGTGGTCTCGGTATGAATTTCCTCCATTTTTCCTTTCTCTCCTGGCTTTCAGCAAGGCGAGCGACATGGAGAAGCTCGGAGTGCCAAGGCTGCGTACGTACGGCAAGCGTGCAAGTATTTGACCCAGACAGAGTGATCCCCATCTCTGCTTGCGGGTAAGCTGAATTGCGGTGGAGACTAAGAATCACACCCCAGATTCACGGTCTCTCAAGATTCACATGGCTTATCCGCTGCTCTGGAAACTGCTTTGCTGTCTCCCGACGCATCACCGCAACACTCTGCGCTCTCTCGCCTGCTTGGATTCTCCTTTTGACGCTGATCTGGTCTGGCGAACTGAACGTAAGGATGCGCATATGCCCCTACCTGTCGGACTCCGCACTCTGTGTTGGTCAACCTCAACACGAGTGATTCGAAAAAGGCGGTGGGCAATTTCGGACGCTGTGAAACAGCCGGCTCCGAGTCTTCCGTAAGGATGCGCGTTCGACTGAAGTTCTGCTCGGAGTAAAGACTCGTCTGGAACGCTTGTTTATCTGTGGAAGATGAACAAGCATGAATCCTTGTCTTCGCTCGTTGGTTCCGTCCTGAATCTGGTATTAACTCCATGAGCGTTGACGTAACCTTCGCTGCTGCACGACCGTGACCTTTGACTATTCTATGAGTAAGAGCTTGAACTGACTATGTTCTTTATGTGTCGATCGCACACAGACGTGAAAGATGTGGGTTATGTTATTGTGAGTGGATGGGTACTCTTTCTTGAAACGATAACGCTGACTGCCACTGTTTAGAACTATGACTTCCCTAACAACATCGAGGACTACATTCACCGTATCGGGCGTACTGGGGTAAGCTCTTTTCACAAGCTTCATCTACTTTTACTGACATTCTTGTAGCGTGCTGGCAACACTGGTGTCTCTTATACTTACTTCACTACGGACAATGCCAAGCAGGCTCGTGAGCTGATTAAGATTCTGCGTGATGCTCAGATGAATGTTCCTCCTCAACTGGAGGAGATGGGTATGATGGGTGGTGGCGGAGGTGGTGGACGTGAGTTGTCTAGCCTTTTTTCCCTTCCACAAATAGCTAACAATCTATCAGGCCGCTACGGTGGTGGTGGCCGTGGCGGGTATGGCGGAGGGGGAGGATACGGCGGCGGAGGATATGGCCAGCGTGATTCTGGCTATGGCAGTCGCAACAACCGTTACTGAGTGTTCGGTGCTGACGACTTTCTGCTCTTTCAGTGTAATACTTTCCCATGCGACCCTTTTCATGTAGTTATTCAGGTACTCTGTCCTAGAGTCGATGGAGAATATAGACATTCTCTCCGAATTATCCGAACACTATTGTTGTAATGTGTGGTCATTGTCAATGCTACAAATCATCAGTCTCCATCCTATCTTCATCCTGCGCTGCTCCTCCTTCCATTTGCCTCGCTAATACCTTTGTTCGCTCTCTCACTACCTTGTCCATCTCTCCTCTCAGAACCTTACCTCCCTCCATAGCCAACTTGAACATCTCCTCGAACCTATCCACATGTAACCTCGTCTCCATGCTCACAAGGGTAACCTTCCCACTCCTGGGCAGTACCGCAACCGTCACACTAGGCAGATCACTCTCCTCGAGATTCGTCAAGTCCAACATAGCGGTCGTATGATACAGTCCCGCCGAGAGGGAAGAGACATAATCCAGCATGGGTATACCAGCATCAACAAGCGCCAGAGTGGTCGCGTTAATCCCTGCTTGGAGGAGACCGCCGTCCAGCTGCAAAACATGTATATGGATATCGATCTCCGACCGCGGGTAGAGCGTCGTCTGGATGACAGGCTCGAACGTCGCCTTGACCGAAGCAGCGAACTCTGCTGTGCGTCTTCACAACGTCAGTTTTCTCCCGCCTCGACCAGGACCGCAAAAGCAACGCACCGGTCACCCTTCGTCCGCTGTCTTCGTACCTCCCCAGCCCAGGGCGCAACCTCGACTTCTATATTAACAAGCGCACGATCATGCATCGTCTGAGCGCGGTTCTTCGCTTCCCTCGGCCCGTAGACACATGCTGTTACCTGGGTGAGCCCGTGGGAGACTGAGGCGGACCCGTCTGCTGAGGGATGGGTAGTTAGCTCTGCGGAGAAGGAACGAAGCTCGAGCGGGCGGCGGCCATCTGACCGCAGGTTTCCTGCGTTGAGGGGCTCGAAGCGGGACTGGGTGTATATGTTAGGATGGTATTACCGGTTAGTGGTTGGAACTGACCATGGAGGAGGAAGAGTGAACTATGGAGGTAAGCCAGACCCTGGCAGTCTAAAATTATTGCGGAGCGCCAACAATTACGGGCGCTTACTACGACAGATTATTCTTCGTCATTTGAACCAACAGGTTATGATATTCTCTATACTAGAGAAAATATTCACAGTAAAAAGTATGCACATGTCCCATTCCCTTAGTCTCCCAAGCCGTACATCTCGAGGCCAGACAGTTTGTCAGAAACGGCGCAATGACCACACATCACGATATTCTCAATCTAGGACATCTCTATCGGCCATGAAGTCGCTCGTAGCGCTTGGCTTGCTCGTATCCGCTGGCTGCACAAAGAACTTGCGAGAGTTCCGCAGTGAGGGCTCGCGGGGTAGCTGCCGCTGGTGGGACGCCAGCCATAGCTTTGTTGTTGTCCAGTTTGCTGGCTGAAAGCGAACACAACCTCTTCGCATCTCATCCTCGTTTGCTCTGCACCTGGATCGTTGGAAGATAAGAGAAATTATATCTTCATTTCATCCACAACGCCATCCTTACATCGTCAGTGTGTACCCCAGGCAAGCGCCGGCTGTGCCCCTGCTTGCGCCAGCTTCTCCATCTCCTTCGGTGTCTTTGTAGACAGAGACAAGGCATGCAGCCCAGCTTCCATCTCCTCAGCCAGCGCAGCATAGATCATACGGTGGCGTGCCATCGTGCTCTAGAACATTATCAGCATCGTAGTGGAAACGACGAAGACACAACCGCACCTTGCCCTCAAACTCGGTCGACACGACTTGTACGTTGAAGTCTAAGCTGCTGTCAGTCCTGATTGGTAAGATGCTACTATTAATGCGTACGTGTCTCCCCGTCCCCACCTCCGATCGCTTTCATAGGTGCATGATGCCTATGCTTCCAGGAGTCGTTCTGTATGTTGAGCGATGTCGGCGAGAGGAGTGTTGTGAGCTGCCCCGACTCATGTCAGCCTTTGAAACTTTCATACTGTATATGAACACTGCGTGCCTTTGTGCGAATCGCTTCTTCGACTGGACCGCCGGTGACTCGTTGTGCTTGTGTGGACATTGTACGCTGGACGGTAAGCCTACCCAAGCGAGCGAACATGACAGGGTGACACAAAGCCGCGGGCAAGTGTCCCTTGCTTTCAAACTGTCGTCCCATGCATGGGAGATACCACAAAGATCTTGCTCTAAGTATATCGACATGATCCATTTGATCTAAAATATATGAAGACAATACAAGCTGTCTAGAACGTCGCCTAGCCTTCTCTGAAGAGAAACACCACGTCCCATCCCAAATTCTTTCTACCGCGTCAAACCACCCCAAACCGTCATGAAGCCAGCCAACTAGCAGACCCTCCAGAACGGGGAAAGATCTCTCTGCACTAGACACCTGCGGGGCGGCTGAGGACTGTGCGAGTGCGTGCAGAGAGCTGCGCGATGTGGAAAGGAGATGGGTGCGGCCTGATCTTTATAGTTTTTTTTAGGATCCGTTTGGTGAAACACTACCTTCACCGCACAAGCTTGATGCTGCATACGAAAGAGTCAAAGGCCGAAAGCCAGAGTGTGAATATTTCAGCCTGTATGTAAAACGTCATACTAAAACGAGTTGTTCAAAGCAACTAGACGGCCAAGTTGTGTGGATGTGGTGAACATACGAGGTATAAAAGGGTAAATTCATAAGGGCGGAGGCAAGAGCCCTGTAGCTAGTCACATCTGAAAAACAGGGTTGCCCCTCGCCACCAAGGTGTCTTGGTGCAGTGGTTAAGGTCACTGGGGTTACAATCTCGTGAACGTACTCATACATTGGGGTCGCTCGTTCGATTTCCATCCGCTCCGAAACGAGATAAAACTATTGTCCCTGTTACTATTATTTTTATTTCGCTCAATTCACATTCAAATCTCATCTGTCAAAATAGAAACAGTTTGTATTTTTATTAGCTCCAACTTTCATTAATAAGAAAATGCGATCTAGAATACTGTTATTATTTGTTGCTTACCTTGGATGGATTCGACAAAAATGTCTCGGAGCCGAGATAAAACTCCGGCCTCAAAGACAAGGCTTGACGTCTCTATTTTCAGAAATCATTCCTTTCATCAAGAAATCTCTGGGGCAGAATCCTGTTTCCGGCATCATCTCGTTGAAATCCAGGTGATCGTGAGGGAGAGATAAGGACACCCGGTCAAGGATGCACGTGTAGGCGCCGTGGAAATCAGTCGCGTCGACGCGTCTCTTCCACCCCTCCTGACATGTCGGAAACATCGGGTGCCTTTCACACGATATAAATCGCCAGAGGTGTGCATAAGCACCGAAAAGGCTCAGAGTTGGTTACATCCAAGTCATAGGTATCATTTTTAAAAACCAGCTTGAGAAACCCAACAACGTTATCCAAAGCACCCCACACTTCACGGCTCACATAAGAAGCACGACTCCTGCCACCAGAGCGGTAAGGACAACCATAGCCACCTTGATATCGACGGTAGGACCTGCAGCCGACCGCCCTGCAGCAGGAGAGCTGTTCGTTGGCGCGTTGGCGATGCTGCTACTGCTACTGTCCGTGCTGAAGGTGCTGCTCTCGCCATTCCCTGCGCTGCCGCTAGGCGTACTGGTGCTGATGGTGGTGCTGACGCTGGTGCTGTACCCTGACGCTGTACCCGACGAGTCCGGTGCTGTAGGTGCTGTTAGTGCTAGTGCTGCTGGTACTGTTGCTGCTGCTCGAGGTAAAGATGCCGCGAGCACCCGTTGGGCTAGACGTGGGCGATGAGGTAGGAGTCACACTCGTGGTGGAAGACGATTGAGCTTGAGAAGGCGTAGCAGACGCGATAGTGGTGGTGGTGGTGCCCAAGTTCAAGGATCCGCACACGCCTTCAAGGTTGGTTATGGTCGCCCCTTCCGCTCCCAGCAAACACGTAACACAGGGCAACGAGAATGCTTCAAGCGTCCCGCAGATACAGGAAGGGGATGCATCGCATGCCTGAGCGAGATATTGATCAGTAACTATTGTCTGAGCTGACAGAGTATGCTTACCACCGTCGAGAGCTGCGCCAAAAGCGCTTGGTCGCTGGAAGACGAGCACTGGCTGGCACATATCGCCCCAGCGGAAGGGAACGGGCCTGCTGCGGTCGCCGGGCTGCTTTGACGCGCTACGAGAGAAGCGCGGGGAACATTTGGCCGGGATATGGCGCCTAAGTGGATAGTGAGCTCTCATCCATCGTAAGAAGAAGTACACATACCCGTAGTGAAGAGCACGATAGCCGTCAAGAGGGCGAGCTTCATCCTAAGAAGCATTAAGGGAATAGAGACAAGGAGAAATACCTTCCAAACCGTCGCGAGCTTTTAGCATCTCGCGCCTTTATATTCTCTGGCCGCACCCTCCGTATCCTCTGCGGTCCAAGCGCCTATCCAACATCCATCTTCCGACAAGTGACAAATATCAAGGGTCCATCTCCGAACCGTCCATGTATGTATGTTTACGTACGGTCCAGGCACGTTGGTCTGATCCGGAATTTGTCTTTGTAGGGTTTCCGACTTCGGGGACGATATTGTGGAGCAAAAGCGCCAGTACACCATTGGGCCGATAAAGAATATTCGGAGTACCGCACAGGTATGCTTTTCAGGTGGAGAGTTCTCGCAAGTATTGAATCATCCAAGATTCAGATAGCAAGGTAAGCGCCCATCGATCCGTTTCAAGCGGAAACGGAAACTCGCTGCCCTGAAGAAGGATGAGGACCTATGCGCGAGGCAGAAGGCGAGTCAGACGAGCCAGTGACCAAGTCTAGAAGCACGGTTCGGGAAATAGAGGATATCCGAGACGTTCATATCATCATACCAGCTAATGACTGACTCTTCTGGGTTTGCGAGCTCGTCGTGTTGAAGCAAGAGACGAACCCTGGGCGGGGCTTGTTAGACGAAAGTAGATCAGACGGTGGAACTGTAAAGAGAGAAGACGAGATTCCCCAACTCGTCAATACCAGCAGAACATAAATCATCAGTCGTATCACATTAACCGCATTCAAGAGTCATACAATCATTTCCGAGCATGAACCAACTCCCATCCCATCTGGATAAGAAGTTGTCCACGCCAAAGTTGAACCCAACGCCATTAGAGAAGGAGCACACTGCCCACAGCCAGGCCGGAGAGGACGACCACAGCCATCCTCAGATCGACATTAGGGAGCGCGGCGGACTGTCCCGAAGCGGGAGAGCTGCTCGCAGGCGCACTGCTCGTACCGGTGCCTGTACTGCTCGAGCTGTTCGTGCTGCTGCCCGTGAGGATCCCACCTCCTCCACCTACGGTATTGGACGCCGGAGCAGAAGTAGGAGCCGAACTAGTCGTGAGGGAGGTATCGCTCCCCTGGGTAGGCGCGGAGGCTGAGCCGGTATCGGTCCCGGATCCGGATCCGGCGGGGAGGCTGGAGCTGAGCGCGCCGCACTCCGCTTCAAGGTCAGCGACGCTGAGCCCTTCGGCGCCTAGGACGCAGGTGACGCAAGCGGAGGAGAGGGACTCAAGCGTGCCACAGACACAGGCTGGGACGGAGTCGCAGGTCTATCATGTGCGGATTCATGCACGGATTAGGATCTATTTGGGACGGAGGGAGAGACCAGGCTCACCCCGGTCGAGAGCTGCGCGAGGAGCCCTTGGTCGCTCGAGGATGAGCATTGGCTTGCGCATATCGCGCCTGCGGAAGGGATGGAGCCTGGGGCGGTATCGGTGCCACTGGCTTGACGGGGAAGGACGTGAGCACGCGGGAGGCTGGGCTTGGAGATCGCGCCTGAGAAGAAGGTCAGCTGTGGTTCGCTCGAGAGGGGGGGACGTACCCGTAGCGAGGAGAGCAAGAGCAGACAGGAAGGTGAGCTTCATCCTGGTGTGGGAAGAGGGACAAGACCAGCAGGGAGTAGGACGACTTCAACCCGTTTCTCTATTTCGTGCTAGTCATGCCTTTATATTCCATCATCACCACTTTGTGCTTCTCAACATTCCGATCGGTAACAGATCAAGGGTTCACTCCCTTCATGTACGCACGGACCAGGCAACGTCTATCAAAACCGGACTTCGTCCGATCTGGAACAGCTGGGGAATAAGGGCAAGGAACCAAAAAAAAATTGGTTGCCATATGGGTTGTTGAAGAATGGAGAAACGGGAGTCTAATTTCAGCACAGCGTTGTTATCGCGAGAGATGTTGGGAAGGAGACCCCAGAGAAGGACAGACGACCAGAATGAGCCAGACCAGACCGCCCAGTCATAGACGATTCTTCAGCACAGCAAATCCGCGTCTTCTTCCATGAGCATACAGATTCCCCGTATTGATTTTCTAGAAATTGAGTTGAAGAGAAGTATGTTCACAGGGCCCATTCATGGTGGCCGTCTGGAAGAGCGTTTGGAACAAGTTCGGATATCCCTGAGCGGGTGTTTTTTTTTCTTCGGTCAACATTCTTTTTTGGGGCCGTATTGAGATTGTAACAATTATCAACTTGGTCTTCAAGTGACTCAAAGTTTACTACAATTTGCTGCTTGAATATTAGGAAAATACTTCTTTTGCTTGGTATCTGAAATGCAACTTCCACGCCGTGTGCCCTGGACGTCTCTTTTCGAGCTAGAGCAAGTCTGCGAATGGATCTACTCACCGTCAAGTACAGCACAAGACCGTCAACGAGCGCAACACCGCGTACGCCGTCTCTCCCTCTCTCACACCTCTTACATCTCACTAGCTTTTCCAGCTCTCAGCATGGGCAACAGCCAGCATCCTCCCATCCTCCCTCTCCAGCACACTCGCACTCCTCACCGCTCTCTCCCTAGACACCCCCACCACCACCCTCCCCACTCTCGCCCTCAGGCAAACATACACCCTCTCCCTGATACGCCTTGTCAACTCCCTCGTAGACCCGCTACAGGGGGGGATGTACGCCCGCCCCATTGCGCATATTGCCAGGCAGCTTGGGATCCCTGCGTGGTGGGTCGAGCTGCGCCATGCAGGGACGCATGAGGATCTCCCGGGCTTAGGAGTACTCCGGGAAGCTGCGAAGGAGGTGTGTTCCCTTCCTACTAACATATGGCTCATTCCTCATACCTTCATTCAGGCCCTGGACTGGCTCTACACACACTACTTCCTCCCGACGCTACACGCATCCACCCCCCTTCCCCCAACGTACAGCTCCCCTCTCCCCCTGCTAAAACAATACAAGTCCCTCTCCAAGTCCCTAGCCAAAGACGCCTCCCTCTTCCACCTGAGGGGGGAGATGGACGCTCTCCTCCGCGCATGGGAACGGTGGGTTGGGGAAGTCAGGGTTGCTCTAGCTGGATGGTGGGGAGAGGGGCAGGGAGACGAGGGGGAGGGGGAGGGAGATCGGGCATGTATGGATGTTCTCGCGGATTCCCTCTTAGCGAAAGGCGGCTTAGTGCCCATCTCGCGCAAGTACGCCTCCCCCCTACTCCCTCACTGGCATAGCACTAACCCTCACCCTTAACCTATGCAGGAAACGGCCAACACTACGAAACCCCACCCTCCTGCCCTCGCTCGCCATCTGGCTCCCCCTACTCAAATCCCTACAAACCCACCACCCGCAGTTCGCTCCTTCCCTCTATAGCGCCCTCCTTGCCCGGATCTCCAGCTCCGAGGACGTATCAGAAGGCACGACATGCCTCGTCTGGGCCAAATGGTGTGTTTCAGCCTGGCCCGGAGCGGTAGGGAAGGAGACAGCCCTGCTGGAAGCATGTCTCTTACTGGGGGAAACCGGGGGGAACGAGCTGCTCAGAACGCTCGTCCGACTCTTAGGGGAGGGAGAGGAGAAAGTGGAAAGGCTGTTGCAGGTCGTGGCTGGTCAGAGGGTCTCCGTATGTCGGCTTTCGCTTTTGTTGGAGGGGGGCTCATGGGTTTAGGCATGGGAGGAAGGGGATGTTCGGATAATGGAAGACCGGCTGGAGAGGCTGCAAGCTGCTGTGCGTACTATACTCTGTCCTTCCGGGCAGGAAGCTCACGCAGAACAGGTCGAGCCTTCCCCGGTTGTCGAGACGCAAGAGAAGGGGGATGCGGGTGGGGATGTGCCCCCCTTGGTGGAGGAGGTAAGGGGTTGGAGGCTGCTTGAAGCTCAGGAGTGGAGTGCGAGACCTATTGGCTGGGTTGCGTGAATGCATACAGGTTCATCCGTTCTTGGTACAATCTCTCTTGTTAATCCATTCCAATCCCTTTCGTCTGACAAACTTCCCTCTGCCAACTCATACATCTGCCTACTCATATCTCTGCCAACCCCCGTCCCTCCAAACCGCTCACCAAACCGCATAAGGCAAGAACTTCCCACTAAACCCAATCAGCACCACCCCACCAAGCCCCAAGCACGAAACAAGAAAACAGCAAACACGTACTCAAAAGTCAAGACCACCCTGTCCCCCTTCGGGTCCTCCTTTTTCTCAACCGACACGCGGCAATCGATCATGCTCATTATCCCGTCCCCGTTGAACTTTTCGTGTATGACCGCCTGTGCGGGGTTGAGTGCTGTCCGTACGGAGGAGCGGGGAGCGGAACCGCGCGGCAGGCGGGAACGAGCGAGTAAAGCGCACCTTGATCGGATGTCCGTAAACCAACACACCCTCATAAAGCCTGTATATCAACGGGTCCGTCGGGATCCCACCCCCCAAGCCACGGTACGGCCACCACTCTTTCCCCAGGCCACCTATGCCTCTGAGCTTGATCAAAGGGACCTGGAGCACAGAGGACAGGGTTTGAAGGTCCTGAGGGGAGGGCTTGGCTTGTCCATAGAAGAGCGCTGCGACCCATATCTCGGCTTTCCCTAGTGCTTCGGCGAGCTCGGCAAAGGTCTTGCCTGTCTTGCTGATGAGTGACTGTGTGAGAGTGGGGGAAGGACGCACGTTGGGCTGCTTTGGCTTCATGTAGGAGCTGCAAGACCGGGGGGAGGTTGGCAAAAGGGCCTGTTGCGCTCTGTGCTTTGAGTGTGAGTTGGCGAACTGGGTAGAGTGGATGAGGTACCTTTGTGTCCATTTGTGCTTTGTGGTAGTGATGATGAAAGCGAGGAGCTGGAGGTGGAAAGCGAAGTGGGAAGTTGGAGTGCTAGCTGATGTCCATGGGATATATATTTCCCCCGGTCACGGTGGGTCAAGTGATACGGAGGTCAATATCCGTCAGTCATCCATATCGTTCCACATTCTTCATTGTCTACACGCTATTTATCATGTTATTAATCCACGTGGTTATCGTCATTGTTGTCGATCATTCTGTGAAATTTCCCATTTTGAGTAATAATACCCGGTCAAAGCACGTGCAGTCAAACGTTCATTCACAGAAAAAGCAGTCAACGATCAACCATCAACATTCTCCTCCTCTCCTCTCATCCACCATGTCCACAGTAGACATAACAATCCTCCCTTCCTCTTCATCCATTCCAACAGCCCGGTCTCTCCCAATAACACTCTCCCTCCCACCCGCATCCTCAATCCGAGTGCTCAAACTCGCGCTCGCTTCCCATTTCCCCAGGCTCATCCCTGTCCGCCAAAGGCTCACTCTTGACGGCGAGAAGAAGCCCTTGGAGGATGAAGACACACTCGACTCTGTTGGGCTGGGAAAGGGAGGGAAGGTGAGGGTCAAAGACCTCGGTCCTCAGATCGGTTGGAGGACGGTGTTCGTTATCGAATACGTGCGTGCCTAACCTCTCTCACCCAACACACGTACGGGCTGACTACTCACTCACGGCAGTTGGGACCGCTCCTCATCCACCCGGTGTTCTACCACTTCCAGTCTATCATATACCGCTATGCATCGCCGTTCGAACACTCCGACCTCCAGCGCACAGTCTACATTCTGACGATGCTCCATTTCCTCAAGCGAGAACTCGAGACGCTCTTGTACGTCCCTCCTCTGTCCATCTCTCTCCCCAACTCAGACTAACCCTCACCCTCCTACTCTTCCTACTTGGATGACACGCACACCAGCCTACACTCCTTTTCGAGATCGACGATGCCCTTCGCCTACGTCTACCGGAACTCGGCACACTACTGGCTCCTCTCCGGCCTCCTGATCGCCCTAGTGCTCTACTCGCCATCGTACGGTCAAGACGCGCTCTTAGAACGCTCCGATCCCGCCCTGTCCCCTACCTGGATCTGGAGTTGGGTCGGTTTGTGGATCGTGAGCCCCCCCTCCTTCCACCCATAGCCTACTGACCCTCGGCGCAGTTCGCCCAGCTCAGTAACTTCCACACGCACTATACCGTCGCCCACCTCCGACCTCCCGGGTCGAAGAAACACTACATTCCAAGGGGGTACGGGTTTGCCCTCGTCTCATTCCCCAACTACTTCTTCGAGATCCTCGCCTGGGGTGCTGTGCTCGGTCTGACCCGGAGCTGGGCTGGTGCGTCCTTTCTCCGTGTCGTGCAGGTGTGTGCTCAGCTGATTACGCGTGACAGTGGTAGTATTTTTGCTTGTTGGAGGAGGGACGATGACCGTTTGGGCGACGCAGAAACATAGGGCGTATAAGCGCGAGTTTGGGGATAAGTACCCTAAGGGGAGGAAGATTATCTTCCCGTTTATTTACTAGCATGCTGGAGGTTGAGCACGCCTGGGGCTGAGCTGAAAAAGGACTGTTTGTCCGTATACCATATACCCTAATCGATTACCTGCCTCAATGGAAGCGAAGCGCAGCCCTACCCACAGTTGTCAAACCCAAACCCAAACACTTAATCCAAGCCCTCAATAGCCGCTGCAGCCCTACCCGGACCCCCGACCCAGCTCTTCTTGAACCCTCCCGCCGCACCGGGCGCAGGACCGCCAAATAGCTGCGCCATCATCTCCTGCATCATGTTCCCCCTAGGTCCTCCAGGGGGCTGGATGTCGAAGTACATCTCTCCCAGCGCGCGGGCGGCCTTCACACCCAACCACACAATAACAAGCATGAGTTAGTCAGTCGTCAGAGTAGGGCAGAGAGATGAACCGGGCGCACCTCCCCCATCTGGTTACTCGTGATCACGTTCAGATACCGCCTCGTCAGCGCACGCCACGCATCCCTCTGCGGCACACCCTCCCCACTGCGCCTACAAGTCGCAACAAGCAACTGCAAGCAATTGACCCCGCTGTCCTTCGTAACCCAAACCACGTCCCCCTGGCCCTCTACGCGCTCTGCTCCGGGGAAGACGGCAGGGATGAAGTGCGCTAGGAAGGCAGTGGCGTTCCTGAAATTCGCTTGGAGGAGGTAGGACAGCACGGGTCGGGCAACGTAGGGGAATGGACTGGACGGGGAAGGGATGAGCGAGGCGTACCATGCTGCTTGCGAGGAGGCGAGGAGGCGGGCGGTGTCGAGCAGTGGGGAAGAAAGGAGGTGGGACTCGGCGAGGTCGTATTTTCCCTCTGGTGCGAGTGGGTGGGTCAGCCAAAGGTAGGAGGGAAGGGAAGGAAGGGGAGAGGGTGAAAAGCACACCTTTGAAATACAGTTCACCGATGTAGTGTTGCAGCATTGGGTCGCCGGCTGGGCAACCGCAGGCGGACGCGGACCAGCTGGCCGTTGTTAGCCAGCGTAGAAGATGTAGAAGACGTACGTACTTAACCGCTTTGATTATCAGGTCTTTCCTCCAAGAACCAGTGTTGTCCGTCAGGGCGATGAGCTGCGTTAGCCGTGCTACGTTGCCTGGCATTACGATAATGTGCATATAGAGCAGCAGAGGACGTACAGCGACTCGACTCGTCCACCTCCGTCCCCGACTTCTCGTAACACTCCAGCAACAGCGCGGCCAAATCCGTCCCGCTCCCCCACTCCCTAACCTTCAGCAGCTCCCTAGCACTGACAAACAGCACCTGGACCGCAGTGTCATAGTCTGGCTCGCGACGCTTGACGAGCCTCGAGTATGTCGTGCGGGCTTTTTGGTGTGCGGAGTAGGGTGAGGTGGGGATGAGTGGGAGGATGTGGGTGAGGAGAGATTGAGCGTCTTGTGTTTGGGGAGGCATGGTGGTGGTGAGGAGGGAAGGAGGAGAGGAGGAGGAGGATAGACGGTGAGCGTCGAGGAGATGGTGAATGCCACGCGTGGACAAGGTCAGCAGTCGGACTCAATTACATGTAGACCGCCGGCAGTTGGCGGTGAACGCAATAGACGACGACCACCGACAAACTGAGTAGATTTTTGTTCTTTCCCACGTATTTCCACATGTTATACATGATAGCTAATGCAATTGATAAAATTATTTGTTGCGATGGATCATTTCACAGAACATGACGAGACTGCCGTCAGCAACATGCCGCCAACCTACAGGACTCGTAATTAATATAAGAACCTTACGTTGACTGAACCTATCCACATAGTTACCCACTCCTCGAGAAGCATGCAGTTTACCATCCGTAGGACTACAATATGCACCACTTTGACTAATAACAGTACCTATGTATTAGGCTCAATGGATCAACAAGGTTATAAGTACATGCTTGCATCGGGTATCGTCTTCTATGGTCGTATGATCCAACGAATATTACAGTACACACCACACCCAAGGCCTCCACTTCACTCATTCACGATATCCCGCATCGATTCCCAGTCAGGGGAAGCGTCCTCACACTCAATCTTGCCCAATTCCCTCAATGCCCACCTAGCCATCCGCTGCGCTCGTTCCCTATTCCCCAAACGTTTCTCAAACTCTGCAAAACGGACAATCACCTCCGCTCGCTCTCCCTGCAGTCCCTCAACTTCCAGCATGTTCAGAATCCGCTGCACGAACGCTTTCGTGCCCCCTCCCCACCGGACGAGGTCCTCGTCTCCCTCCCCGTCCGCGTCAGGTAAGAGGTTGTTGATTGTCGTCCGCACCGTCTCCGACAGTCGGTAGGTAGGTGACTCGGGCTGACAAGCAGGACAGTCGCACGTAAAACCGTAATTGCTCAGAAGGTGCGCTTCTCGATCCAGGTGCGGCAGGAATGGGTCCACATAGGTGATCGTAATTTCCGTTCCTGCACGAATATGCTTCGTCGCCACCAGCCCGACCGCAAACGCTGTTCTGAAACTGGATGAGTCCAGCACTTTCAAATAGTCTCTCACTCACTGATCCCAGTAGTATCGCGCGTTCGGGACGCAGCTATGGTTCACCCTCGACATCCACTCGCACACAGCAAGGTGGTCGTCCCCCTCAGGAGGGAGCGGGATCCCCACCGCATTTGTGGCGACAATGCCGTGCAGCTCGCACATGCCCGGCATCCCTCGTGCCGAGTTGTGCAGTCCTAACAGCGCGTCTCTTCTTGCAGGCCTGAGCGCCGCTAACGGGAGGCTACATGTAGAGTCGAAACGCGTGTCCAGGCAGGCTACCACCACTGGCCGGTCACGAAAAATGAATGCACCTGCCTCGACGTTGTGCGTGGCGACTAGGCCTTGTCCTCTGCCTTCGACATGCTGGATACGGAAGGTTGAAGAATGACCATGAAACACTTCTGCCGTTGAGAGCGGAGCGTACGCATGCCGTTCTAGAACTGCTGCTGTGGGCGGTTTGACGAGGCAAAGTCCCTCTCCTTCTCCAAAAATAATGACGTTCAATGGCCCCACGTCTGGATGCTGAACAAGAGCTGTCGAGTCCATAGCGCTGGGATTGGTGCTGAGAGATCGTGCTTCGCTGACATCCTGCGACTGTCTGATCGACGGTGATCCAGGGTTGGCAGACGTCGGTGTGGGCATTTCATCCTCCTCAATAATCACGGTCGGAAGCTCAATATGTGGTGTTTTTGGCGTCCTATTCGTCTCTCGGGTTCCTGGCGGAGACCGAAGCGGTCCTTCAATTGTTACCTCGGGAACGTTCGAAAGAGCCATCTGCGTCTAGGGGTCGTCTGTATTCGTTGGTTCTTCTTGTCTTTGCTATCCCATTGAGGTGGCATAGGTCAGAGTGTTTTGTGGTGAGACGTGGCCTCCTTGAGGCAAATTCCACTCACAGAGGCCTTCGGTGAGCCCACGGCCGAGCACGGCGCATGTTAGTCAGAAGCGGCTTGCGGCCCTTTCTGGGCATTGCGGCACCTGCTTCTCTGATTCAGGAAACGGGCCAGATGTCTTACTACGAGGGAGGCGCTGCTTCTAGTTACTGTGATTCCAGGGAATATTGCTCGCTCCAGTGCGCTCTTTCTCACGTGGACACCTGAACCCGCGAAAGTTGCATCTGCTTCGTTGAGGTAACAACTGAACTAAGGTAAGCTTCAAGACACAGAGGAGAGGCGTCACCAGCACCTCCAGCAAGAAGACGGCCGCCGCCGTTTCTCTGCTGTTTCTTGCTCGCCAGGGCGGCGATATATGGAAGAAAGAAAAAGATTGTGACAAATGAATGGAAGCGGTGCAGAGGCATTGCCACTGTGTCATTCATAGGGTCTCTTTTAGGGCGGCGTTACTGACAACGAGGAATCCACAAAGCCCCCTCAGAGTTGAGCGAAAGAGTCCGATGTCCGCCGCTAATCGACTGTGGACACGCAGGCCGCCCCAACCTGGTTGTATGGTACGTAATGACAGAGATGATGGTCGACAGAGCGACTTGAGATTGAGTGATGCTTCGACCATGTGTTGGGTTACCAGGATCCTTTAGGGACGGCAAAGGCCGAAGTCAAAATCACGGAGGTTCTTCCCCAGCAAAACTTGACATCCACGTGTCCTACATCGGGCTTGGCTGCCTCAGATACCGACAGGCAGAATCCCCAAATCGAATGACCAAGGGAATAAGCTGCGAGGATTCCAAACGCGAAGGCAAGTCGACCCGTCTTTCTCGATCGTAAACGTTGAACGGGCAGAGCCCAATGGGGGATGTCGGCCTCGTTGATATGTCACACGCGGTGTGATGCCCGACGTCGTACGTTCCCAAGCTCAATCATCGACCTAATTCTTCACTTAGATGGAAATGCCATTAAGAGCCCCAAGTTATCCATGGCTCTGATAGACCATGGTTGAGCTGGAGACATTCACAGTATAATGGGGAGATGGGCACGAACAAGTGACGCAAGAGAGAGAAGAGGAGACAAAAAAACCTCATCAGTTCCCTGACGAGCTGTTTGTGGCAGTGTTCAACTCTTCTTTTCTGTTGATCATCTTCTCCTCTACTCTGCGCATGCACCGGTTCTGCCCGGGCAAAGTGTATCACAAGTTCCGGGCCGGTCAACCACACCAGTCGCATTACCCCGTGGGCACCCCGCTTCCCCGCACTTTATTGGGAAGGGACATATGCCCCTGCTCTGGGGGCTTCTATATTTGTATCCCGGCTATTTCTGTCCTGGTTGCCACGAGAACTACGATAGAAGGCCACAGCAGTCAACTTTTGATATGGCACTGACGCACGGAGCCGGAGAGATTGACCGAACTTACTCCTTACACAGTGCGGGCCTCCACGTTTTCGTGTCGGAGCCCCGCATCCTTTTCGAGGGTTACACCCGGGAAGACCTCGGATTTGTCGAGTGCATCGTGCTATTTCTGGGATTTAATGTCTCAACATCACGCGTGCCTGATCTGTGCTCGTATGAGAGGCGGCGATCGTGGCTCTCAAACCGTACTCTGGCATCTTCTCGGCGCTCTCAATGTGGTGTCTTGTCCCCATTTGTCCCATCACCCGCGTACTCCGGATGCTCCTTCTTGAATTTGGGGGCAGCTGAGAGATAAAAGGCAGCTGGTGTTTTTCTGTCCGAGGTACGGCTTGCGGACATCGCCCGAGATAATTGGTTTCATTACCCCTCCAAGCTGCCCAACATGCCTATGCCTTCAACTGGTATCATTATGCTTTGGCTGCTCTCGGGCATTGCCATCATTAACTCTTGTGTTAATGGTTATGATGGTTCTATGATGAATGTTCGTATTTCTCGCACTGGGGTCTGCTTCTCCAACTTACTTTTTTGGCAGGGGATGCAATCGCTCGCTCAATGGCAAAGCTGTAAGAAATAGTTCCACAGTTTGCTCAGGTTGTAAGCTGACACGAAACATCAGACTTCAACACGCCAGATGGCCCCACCTTAGGTCTACTCAATGCTATTTTTAATGCCGGGGGTACTGTCGGTGTCTTCTTTGCTCCAGTCAGTTGTGTTCATCTCTGTATCCTCGATGATTGTATTCACCAGCTACAACAGTACGTCACAGACAAATTGGGAAGACGGCTTGGTATCGCGATTGGATCCGTTATTATCCTCATTGGCGTCATCTTGCAGTCTGCGGCTCAGAACATCCACCAGTTCATCGGTGGTCGCTTCGTCATTGGTTACGGGCTCGCAATCTCAGGGAATGCGGTAAGCTCGTTCACACTTCCCCAGGTGGAACGCAGTTGCTGAAGGTAGTACAGGCGCCAATCCTTGTCGCTGAACTCGCACATCCCCACTTCCGTGGCACGATCACTGGTCTTTACAACACCCAGTGGGCGCTCGGATCCATCATCGCCGCCTGGGTCACGTTCGGCACTTTCTCCATCAACGGCCAAGCAGCATGGCGCATTCCTTCGGCTGTCCAAGCCGCTCCTTCCGTAATCCTCCTCATCTTCCTTCCATTCATGCCCGAGTCTCCTAGGTGGCTCGTCGATAAGGGCAAGTCCGACAAAGCCCGTGCTATCCTTGGCAAGTTGCATGGTAATGGCAATATCAATGACCCGTTGGTCAACCTTGAGATGGAGGAAATCGAAGAGGCCATCAATTTTGAACGCCAAAATGAGAAAGCCAGCTACCTTGAGCTGGTCGCCACGCCTGGAAACCGCTATCGCATGTTCCTTGGTGTAAGTCACTCCCAGCCTTGCACTGCGTGGTTGTTGCTTACTGGTTGCAGATCACCGTCGGCCTGTTCTCCCAGTGGTCCGGCAACGGTCTTATCAGCTATTACCTTTTCAAAGTGCTGGACAACATCGGCATTACTGATTCCAAGACTCAGCTGCTGATAAACGGCGGACTGTCCATCTACTCCTGGATCTTGGCCAACACTGGCGCTTTCATCACCGACCGCGTGAACCGTCGTCCACAGTTCCTTACCGCAACTATCGGGATGATGGCTTCCTTCGCTGCTCTCACTGCTGCGACTGGTGTGTACAACGAGAACGGCAACAACGCTGCTGGCATTGGTAGGTTATCTGCACAGTATGTTCTTCGCAAAGCTAACAAAAACAATTAACAGCTGTCATTGTCTTGATCTTCGTCTACAGCGCTGCCTACTCGCTCGCCTGGACAGCACTTACGGTACTGTACCCGACCGAGATCATGCCATACAACATTCGTGCGAAAGGCCTCGCTGTCTCATCCCTCGCCGTCAACCTTGCCCTCTTCTTCAACAGCTACGTCAACCCCATCGGCCTGGACAACATCGGTTGGAAGTACTATTTCGTCTACGTGGCTTGGCTGCCAATCGAGGTCGTCACCATCTTCTTCTTCTACAAGGAGACTAAGGGTCGGACGCTCGAGGAGCTCGCTGTCATCTTTGACGGCGAGGTTGCTGCTGTTGCAGGGAATACTGACGCGGTCACACATCCTGACGCAGAGAAGGCGTACATTGAGCAAGCGGAGAAGGTGTCCTCGGAGGAACAGTTCGAGACGTCGTCTACGGCGGCAAAGTAGAGAGACGATCGTCGGGACTCCATCCGATGCTACGTAGCGTGTAGGTTGGAAGGTCGTGGATTGTATGTTATCACAGCTCCCTATCCATCATCGTCTTGAAAAGACAAGAGTCCTTTCTTCTCCTTTTTCGGTTTCTTGCTCGACTTCCCGGGTTTCTCGTCCGCAGTAGGGCCCTCATCGTCTGCACCGATAGTTTTCCGCTTCTTCGCAGCCGCCCCTAAACCTCCTGATGCCTTCTTAGAAGAGGAGAAGTTCATCGTAAGGTTCTCCTTGATAGGTTTGGCCTTCTCAGGTGGAGCAGAAGATCCCAGAGCCAGTTCAGCACGCTGGCTCTTGGGTAGTGGAGGCAGGCCCTTTGCTTCATCTCGCTGTCAGTGCACTCGTGCCATCCTCAACCAGTCATAACATACCAGCTCTATGCTCATTCTCCACCTCTTCTGCACTTAGGTGCTTGCCCTGCTTGAGCACAACAATCTGCGGTGCATCGTCACCCTCTTCATCCTGCTCCTTCCCATCTTCCCGGTCCCTCCCGTTCTCCTCTTCCTTCCCAACTTGGTTACTGCCCCACTTGCCCTCACTGGGCCGTTCCGGGATCCCGGGCCGTCGGGGAATCGCAGGTCGTCCATCACCCGACTCCTCCCATTGCCCACGGTCGTCCTCGTATGCGTAGGACGGTTCATCTTCGTCCACCTGCTGTCCAGAGATGCGTGCTTTGAGTCTTTGGAGAAAGGCGGGAACGTGCTCATCATAAGCTAGTTTGGAGAGCTGGGCACGACTTGGTTCGCGAGCCATTGTGCAGATGCAGACAGAACTCGTATTGGTTCAGATCTAGCAGGACGCCCCTTTTTCAAGTTCATATAATGGAAGATGAAGGGAAGTTGCGGTGGAGAGATTGAAGTACTTTATCAACTTGAGCGTACTGGAACTGCTGCTGATGTTCTTACTAAATTCAATATCGGGAGCAAAGGAAATATCACGTGACAGATATGGACAATGAAATGAAATTATAAATTCCCAGATCAATTCTCATTTGATTGTTATTAACTATTCCCTCTCTCGTCCTATTAATATAGCACAGTATTCCAAGTGCTCAGCGGTGCCCTCCTAGTTCTGTTCATCTGTTCAAAGCTATAAGCGAATGCCCTCCGTAGTGATAAGCCCTCTAGTAGGCCTCAACTCCACGAGTCTTGTCCTTAAGAGAGCCTGAGCGCAGGAGACGTTGTGGAGACAATCACAGCACTTTTGTTCAATCCTCTTGTTTGCTGCACCGGAGAATTTCTATGTGACTCACATCAGTTGTAGGACCCTGACGTTCTTTACCCATTCCTCCCTCTTCCCCATCCCTGATCTTTCTTCATGTCTCCTCGACGTGCCCCGCCTAGGGAGGGAAAATGGTCCAGGATGGAGCGCGAGGCTACGGCGGTAGAGTGGTACGCTTCTGTTCTGAAGGAGGGGATGTGCAACTCGCCTCAAGAGGCAGATAGCGAAGGGAGCTCACAGGAGGCGGAAGGGACGGCGGACGAGTACAATGCAGGCGAACACGCAGACGGTACCTCATGGACCAAAGAAGAACAAGCCATCGTCTTTCCCCTCCTCTCCCGCATCGCCCCTCCCGACCCGTCAACCATATCTCTCCATCTCCAGGCCCGGTCTGCCCCAGATACCGCAGCCTACCTCTCAGCACTGGACGAAGGGGCCAAACATCTCCCCGAGGATTGGAGAAGGGGAGAAGTGCCCCGGGCACGAGAGGTGGGCGAGGAGTGGCCAGTTTGGGAGCAATGGGCTGCTGCAAAGCTTCAGGATCTTGATGAAGAGATGCTGAGGAGGAAGAGAGACGAGAGTGAGCTGGAGCTGGTGGGTCTAGCTACGCGGCACGCAGAGGGGAACATGCAACCAGCTGGCAACATCAGTCATTTCCGTCAGCGGCCAGCGACACGCAAACGTCCTCATTGCCCACCGAACGACACTCTGCAATCTGATGATGACGACCAACGCACCGCCAAACGACGCCGCCTTCTCGCTGAGATGACATACCCACCTGCCGGTTTGCGAGCTCTTCACGCGCTCCTCAACCGACACGCTGACAGTCGCGCTGCTCCCGAACACCCCCAACTAGGCGAGGATCAGTTGCCGTCAGCGGCGTACTTGGACTCTCTGTCTCGTGAGGAACGACAAAGGCTTCTCGCACGATTTCGCCAAAGACGACGTCAGGCGGCGAAGAAGGGTGTCGAACCCGACTTGACTATTCCTACCGTCAAGAAAGGGCCGCGAGGGCCTAGGGAGAGAATAGTGTTGGAAGATGAGGATGAGAATGCAGATAGGAAAAGGCCGCGGACGAGAGGATTACACGACTGGGCCAAGTGGATGGAGAGAGTGGAACGGTGGGGCGTCGAAGCGGACTTGGTGAAAGATCTCGACTTGCTGAGACCGAAGGGGTTTTCAGAGCTCATGGCGTGCGTGTTACTACATCTGCCCTACCCCCTCTTGTTAACATCTTATAGGTTGTATTACAACGCTCTTTGGCCGTCCAAGCCTCTCCCCGATCCTCACATCCAACATTCCCTCCTGATTCTCCTGTCAAGCCAACTTCGCCATTGGCTCATCCAAACCGTCCATCGTATCATCGTTTTGGCCGAACAGCATATCACTCTACGTAGGCGCACGCTAGTGTTTAAGGATAGGGAATGGGATCTTGCGCAGTGGATCAAACCAGAGGATGTGAGGGAGGTCGTGATGATGGCCGGGGACAGACCGGATACGTACTGCTGGTGGGCCGATGTGGGGAAAAGGCTGGGTGTAACGGTGGACGAGGAGAACGTCCCATTCACTGGCAGACAGACGAAACGAGGAATGCGGCACATATCATCAAATACAAACGCAAACCCTCCGCCTCCTTTCCTACCGGTTGCCCTAACTCCCGAACCACCACCGCACGAAGACGTAACCTATCTACGAACTCCTTCTCCTTCCCTCGTCTCCGAAGAGCTGCACTCTGAAGAATCGCTGGATGGGTCTGACATCGCTTCCGACCCAGAAACAGAGCAATATCTTTGGGACGCGATCGGAGGGAAGACAGTGTGGAAGCGGCTCTGGCGACGCAGGACGAAGCAGGGAAGGAGAAGTCTGGCAATGAGTCAAAGGAAAGGCGGAGCTAAGAGCAAGGAGTGGATCGAGGACAACGATGAAGCAGAAAGCGATGTGGACGAAGTGGCCCTATGATACTGCGTTTACCATGCAACTTGCCAACCACGCACGATCCCTGCCAACATCTGCTTGAGTAACCCCATCGTCCTCATCGTCCTCACCCTTCACTCGGCTTCTTCTAGATCCTCATGGCCCTCCTCCTTGTGGGCTCCCCGTCCTCATCCTCATCATCCATACCCTGATCATCCTCTGCTTGCACATCCCCCTCTTCATCATCTTCAGTGTTTTCTTCATCCTTCTCCTCGCCGTCATCGTTTTCCGTGTGTTCTTCATTTCTCTCATCGTCGTCTTGGCCCTCGCTCTCTGTGGCATCATGCATCGTTTCCACCTCATCGTCAACAATAAACCCATCCATTTCTCCCTCCTCTTCATCATCCTCGTTCTCTGAACTGGCTCCATTATCGATAAATGAGAAGCCTCCCTGCCTCGGTTTAGACAGTCCGGTGATCGGTGGTGGGGACGCTGACACTGAACCAGTTTCATTGACGTCTGTGCTAGCCAATGTGGATCGCATCCCCCCATTGCTCATTTCGAAATCTGACCCAGCGTCCGGACTACTCTCTTCTGGTTCGTCACTGCTGTCCTACTCACTATCTCGCAATGAACCCTGTTCTTCCTGCTCCTGTTGTTCCACCTTGTCTGTAGCGTCCTCATCACTGTCTGACGAGTCTTTAACAAGAGATTTGTCCGTGGGGATGATGGATATCATTCGGCCGGCATGCTCTCCGTCATCTGCTTCGCTCTTATAGGAGAACGGAATTCCAGATCAATTCCCATTTGATTGTTATCGTCCAATTCCACTCCTCATTCTACTAATATGGCACAGTATCCCAAGTGCTCAGCGGAGCCCTCCTAGCCCTATTCATCTGCTCAAAGCTATAAGCGATATTCAACAGCTGCCTTTCCCCAAACGGACGGCCCATGAACTCGACCCCTACGGGTATACCGATAGGAGCTGTGGATGTAGGAGGACTGAACCCGCCTGGGACGCCGATAGCTGGATAACCGGCGACGGCGGCCAAGATCCCATTTCGACCAGATTGGGATGCGTTCGGCGCAATTAAAACCGGTAGAATCTGTTGGTGAGGATAGAACAATACGGACACGTCATTATTCTCGAACGTCATTGCGAGCTGGATGCGGAACTGTTCGATCGCAGCGAGCTTTGCTAGATAGGCGGGAGAAAGCGTGTTATACGTCGCCGGGTCCTGTGCCGCGACCCAAGGTGGAACCGCCTCGTTCCCAGGCAACCATAGGCCGATGTCAAAGATCTGCTCAAAGCTGTCATACGGCAGGTAGTCAAACATCCCCGACTGGAGGTAGTCGTCCAGCTCCTGCCGGAACTCCCAGTTCTCTACGTCGTAGTTGTTGAATACTGTGGGCTGGGCGAGGGAGGGGTCGGTGATAGGCACCAGGACGGCGCCGGCTTGCTCGAGTTTGGTGAGTACGGTGTTGAATACGGAGGTAACGAGGGTCGTCTCGTTCGATGTGCTTCCACTGGAACCCATCAGCCATCTGCCCCCTCTAAAACGCACAACCTACTTGTTCCCGATGAGAGCCTCCACTACCCCGATCCTCAAACCCGGCAGCGCCCCTCCGACCAGAGCGTTCTCATAGTTCTTCCCTACGAATGGCGCCCCGAGCGCGGAGACGTTGTCCCCTTTCGAAGGGCCAACCATGACATCCAGCGCGAGAGCAACGTCTTGTACCGTACGTGCTAGAGGCTAGGCTCCGTTAGCGTATCCTCATACGCAAGAGAATGGGAGGGACGTACGCCAATCGCATCCTGCGTATAGCCAAGTGGCATGATCCCCTCCCTAGTGATAAGCCCTCTGGTAGGCCTCAACCCCACGAGCGAGTTCGCACTCGCCGGCGAGCGTATCGAGTTGACCCTATGCACCTCAGCCCCCATTCCTACGCGCACACTCCAAGAGTACAGACGCACGTATCCGACCCCGTACCCCACACGGCAAGACTAGCAGCCACGGCCGCTCCCGTCCCTCCTGAGCTGCCCCCAGGGGTCCGAGTCAAGTCATACGGGTTCCGAACCTGGCCTCCGAGAGAACTGTCCGACAGTCCAGTAAGAGCAAACTCGTTCATGTTCGCTTTGCCCAAAATGATCGCTCCGGCTTCCCGGAGCCTCGAGACGACCGGTGCGTCCGTTTTGGGCTGAGCGCCTTGGAGCGCTAGACAGCCCCCGGTTGTAGGTTGGTCAAAGGTGTTGTAGTTGTCTTTCAAGACTATGGGGACGCAGAACATCGGCCCTGGGGAATATCCGGGCTGGGCAAGCAGAGCATCCAACGCAGAGGCATAATCCTCCGCATTGGGGGAGACGGCGATGAAGCTGTCGAGAGCAGGACCTTGCTGGTCATAAGCGTCTATCCGGGCCAGGAAGGAGCGGACGATGGACAGGCAGCTGGTGTTTTGGTACAGCAGGGCATGGCGGATCGAGGAGATTGTCGCTTCCCGCGGGTCGAATGTTGACCAGCCTAGGGAAGGGGAGGGGCGGAGGGAGAGAGCGAGAAGCAGTATGAGGAGGGTGAACATGCCTAGTACTGTTGGGGAAGCCCATCGGGTGGGCATAAGGCTGTTATAGAACTGCGGTGCAGGACTGCCAAGAATGAGAACCAACTGGCAGACGTCTACAGAAAGTTGTAAAGCGAGAGAACTGAGTTGTCCATGTGCAGTTTTGAGACAGATTATGTTGGGAGCAAGATACGCAGATACAGACTGAAGACTCGGCAATACTGGCAACAGAACGTCGAGATGCAGCCCGAGATGGAAGTGGTTGTCCCGTATGAATCCCTTGTGCGCGGGATCACGCTTCTCCGAGTCAAGAACATTGTTTAACACAATTGACAATTTCAGATAAATACGATTATAATACAGTACAAATGAACATCTAGATCTGCCATGGTGCTCCCGGTCCGGGCTCATCCATCGTCCTCCCTCCAGGACCTCTCTCCAACCCGCCTCTATTCCCAGGCAAGTTCCTATTCCTGCACATATTGGCATAGTGCCCCTTCTCCCCACATTTGAAGCAGACGACGTCGTCCAGGTTCCTGCGCTCGAACGTGCGTCCCCCAGCACCGGCATCTGCTCCTCGTCCACCACCACCACCTCCATACCCGCCACCGCCGTACCCACCCCCAGACTCGCCCATCCCAAACCTCCCAAATCCAGGCGGGGGCGGGCCAAGCTCTCTGGGCTGCTGAGACTCATACTCCTCCTTGGTCGGCAACTCCCATTTTGGATGGGCGAGCGCACACTCCTTCCCAAGCGGGCAGAACCCGGACAGGTAATTCTGGCAAGGGACTCTCCTCGCATGTTTCCTCTCGCATTTCGGGCCCAGCGGGCAGAACCCACGCGCATAATCTGGGCAGTCGATCTTCCTCTCCTTTGGGTGGGTATACAAGCACTCATCCCCGGCTGAACAGTAGCCGTATTTGGCGTACCACCAGCACTCGGGCATCTTGCGCAGGTTGTACTCGTGTAGGAACTCGCAGGACTCGCCTTTTTTGCACAGGCCGCGCAGCCAGTGCTTGCATACTGTGGTGCGGAATCGTGGGTCGGAGGAGTCGCCGCGGGAAGTTGAGGGCTGGAAGTTCAGTTTGGAGGGCATGGTGTGTCTCAGCGGACAATGGAGGGGGCCTAATGGACATCCGGCGGGTGTGAGGTTGAGCCGACAGATCTGTTCGTCTAGAGAAAGTTAGTAATCTGTACAATGAGGTGAAGTGAGATACACACCTTTATCAAGCTTGATCCCGATGACATCTTTGATATCCCGCTCGATGTTGAGGTTGACCTGATGAAAGTCTGGGGAGACGAGATCCAGCAACGTCTGAGGCAGCTGTCGTCTCCTCTTTCTCGATGGCTCTTCCTCTTCCTGCATGCGGTTGAAGTTGTTGTGAACTGCCATTGAATTCTGGTAATGTATAGCGAGCGCCATGGTCGTCTGCGCTGAAGAGTGATGAGGAGAAGATGAACGCAACGACGAGAAATGTCAGGGATGGAGGATGACTAATGCCAGTGGCTGTTCATCACGTGCCAGATAAATGAATTCAGAGTCCGAGGCGGAAGATCGGGCCGGATAAATTATATAAGCGTCACATGCCGTTTCGGGACAAATCGCCGATAAACGCGTTGTGTAAGGTGAGACAAACAAATCGGAGTAATTCTTAACACAGCCGGCAATTCATCACCCCGCATTCCCCGCTCATCCTCCACAGCGCATACATCTCCTCCTCCTCGTCACTCTCCTCTTCACCACCACCACCACCACCAACAATGCTCAACATCCGCCCCCTCCCACGTCAGGCATTGCGAATGCGTGCACATCTACGCAGGTACGCATCAACAAGGATCGACGTCAAGAACCCCGTCGTAGAGCTTGATGGCGACGAGATGACACGCATCATATGGAAGAAGATCAGGGAGGAGCTTATCCTACCATTCGTCAACCTGGACATCAAGTACTACGACTTGGGGATTGAGAACCGGGATGCCGTGAGTGTGCTTTCATCCGACGTGGAGGGGTTTACTTACCCCTGAATAGACGGATGACAAGGTTACGGTGGACAGCGCAGAGGCTATCCTCAAATACAACGTTGGCATCAAGGTGCGTTTGCTGGCCGCGCACTAGCCCCCGCTCACCCTTGTAGTGCGCAACCATCACACCGGACGAAGCCCGCGTGAAGGAGTTCAACCTCAAGCAGATGTGGCGTTCCCCTAACGGCACTGTCAGTCCTCCCCTCCCTTCCCATCGCCTCATTAACCCCTTCTACCCCCTCTCCCCAGATCCGCAACATCCTCGGCGGCACTGTTTTCCGCGAGCCCATAATCCTCGACAAGATCCCCAAGCCCATCCCCGGATGGACCAAACCCATCGTCATCGGCCGCCACGCCTTCGGAGACCAGTACCGCGCGACGGACTTTGTCGCCCCAGGACCGGGGAAGCTGGAGCTGATATATACCCCTACGAAGGGAGAGAAAAGCGTGATGGAGGTATACCAGTTCAAGGGCCCAGGCGTGGCTCTCGCCATGTACAACACGGATGACGTGTGTGTGTTTCCTATCGCGAGAGCGGTTGCTGACCAGTAGACAGTCCATCATCGGCTTCGCACATGCGTCGTTCAAGATGGCCCTGGCGAAGAAGATGGTTTTGGTAATTCAAATCGCTTTCCACTTCCCCTGCTACCCACTCACCGCACCCGCACGCAGTTCATGTGCACCAAGAATACCATCTTGAAAAAGTACGACGGGCGATTCAAAGACATCTTCGAAGAGATCTACGAGCGCGAGTACAAGCCCGCATTCGAGAAGCTCGGGATATACTACGAGCACAGGCTGATCGACGATATGGTCGCCCAGGCGGTGAAGAGCAGTGGGGGGTTCGTATGGGCTTGCAAGAACTATGACGGGGACGTCCAGGTGCGTCTCGGGTTGTGCGCGTGTTGACGGAACGAGGGCTCATTTAAGCGCAGAGTGATATCCTCGCCCAAGGATTTGGGTCGTTGGGGATGATGACTTCCGAGCTTATCACCCCTGACGGGAAGACGATGGAGTCCGAAGCCGCGCACGGTACGGTAACACGACACTACCGGGAGCACCAGAAAGGGCACGAGACGTCCACCAACCCCGTCGCGTCTATCTTTGCCTGGACGCGTGGACTTGCCCACAGAGGGAAGCTAGATGACACCCCTGCGCTGATCAAGTTCGCTCAGGAGCTCGAGACTGCGTGCGTGGACGCGATCGACAAGGACGGGATCATGACCAAGGATTTGGCACTTGCTATACATGGGAAGAACATGAAGCGCGAGGATTGGGTCACTACGACGGTGTATATGGATCATGTGCGCGATAAGCTCAAGGCGAAGCTTGACCAGGCGTGAGCTTGGGGTTGGATCTATTCTCGTCTAGGAGGAGGGGGGGGGGATACAGGGCCGGGCCCATGGTGGGTTTTCTTACATACACTCGTCACGTCCTATCCTTATTCTCGCCTTTCCTCACACACTCACACTCACACGTTCTCGGGATCGGTCGGATTTCTTGTAGACGATACGGTACATACAAACTGCTCAATGTGTCATTTCCTGATAGAGTGCATGGATGGAATAGATGGGATTACAGCGCTTCAAAACAATACAACCACAACTACTACCTTTTCAATACTCATGCCATGACGACGTTCTCCTCCACCGCGACTTGCACAGCAGGCGCCGCCTTACCCTTGTCGGACTTTTCCTTCTCCATTTCCCGACTGCGCGCCGCATACCTATTAGGATGGGACACCGTCTCCGTCGCGCCGTTCGCCCTGCCCAGTCCGTCACCCATCTTCACTCCATACTTGACATGCGTGAGCTCAAACACCCTCGTGCACGCAATATGATAATGCTGGCCCTTGACTGCGGCCATTATCTCCCCTTGGTCGGAGGCTGGGATGCCGTACGTGGCTGATAAGGCGAGCTGCAGGTTTTCGGGGCTGAAATGCCGGAAAGGGCAGCCGTGGGACTCGGTCGGCCCGGGCTGGTTCGTCGTGAGGATCGTTTGGCAGCTGCGGGGTATGAGCGGGGGTGAGGGAGGGGGGGTTGTATGAAGCGTAAGGACGCACCTTTTTGCTGGGTAGTTGGCACGCTTGCCTTCTAACCCGTAAGAATGCCGGATGTTGTACTTGTACTCTTTGTTGAACTTGTCGTCGGTCATCGTCCCCCCGTAAGCTTTTCGCCAGAAGACGACAGCTTCTTCGACCGAGACTCCGAGTCCCTGTGTCTTGATCAGCGAGGGCCGACAGAAGGAAGGGAAGGCACGACCTTGAGGAACAACGTATATTGCAATCTCCCAAAATGCTTCAAATGCCTATCCTTGCGTAACCGATCATGCAAATTCCGCATACACATCGGGAAATGCTTCGCAGCCATATCATCAATCATATCCGCGGTGATCGTTTCCCCGAAATCATCTTCAGGGCCAACGTATTCCGAGGCCACGCCGGCGAGGAAACCGCGCGAGAGATGCTCGAGCACGGGAAGGAGTCGGTCGTCTTCGTCCAGGCGTGGAAGGGCTTTAGCGGTTATCTGGATGAATCAGCTACTATCGGCGGTGCTCTCGTCTCCGGCGTACCTCAAGCGCTTGCTCGAGCCGGTTCTGGAACTCTTGGAAGACGAGCGTGCTCTGCTCACGGGAGGGTACGTACGCCCATCCCTTCCATAGGAACACCCTTCGACGCTCGACAAGTTCCGGTACTTGGGTCCAAGGCGTCTGCTCCACTGTCAGCCATGCGCCAGCCTGACGGACAGAACGCACCTTGTAGAACGTATCTTCTAAGTAATCTTCCCGTTGTCTTTCGTCCCGTTTCAGGTATTCGGCTTGCGCCTGAAGTCCAGCCTTGATATGCGCCTCCCTTCGCTCCTCTTCGTCAACCTACCTCTTCCTCAGTCCAGATCGTTGAAGAACACCTTCAAACGCACCTTTTCCCAATTCAACTTGATCGAATCTAAGAATGCCGCCCGTTCGCGCGTATCATCGTCCGCGAATCGGATCCTGAACAAAGTAGTCTCAGCCTTGACGAACCGTCGTCTGAGTTCCTCCCTGCCAACCCATCAGCGTAAGGTACTCAAGCGGAGCCGGGCACGTACGAACGACAGAACGCGAGTCGGAGCACGAAGTGGCTGATCTGATCCTTTCGCCGTTCGGAGATGAGGTCCTTGGTGGAGGTGTTCGCGCTCAAGGGTAGGTATTTCGCACATTGCGCGACAGTGATAAGTCGTAGCTCTTCGGGAGAGCGGTTACGGATCAAAGAGGATTCGATCTCTGCTAGTACTACAGACACGTTAAACATTGTACCACGTTATAGTAGTGCGCACCTCTTAATCTATCGATAGCGAACGTTTCAAAGTCCTCTACAGTCAGGTCGCCCTGTGGTGGTTTCTCGTAACTATTTCCAGATCAAACGCGTCCTTCCGGTAAGTAACAAACAGCGACTCACAAATTCAGCCTGTGAGGATACTGCCCAAGATCCTTTGTAAGAGGTAATGATAACCCTGCAATTGGCTTTGTATCCCTCGACCTGTGCATGATTGAGGGAGTCACGACGCGACTTTCAGTTGGACGCGACGCGTCGTAGATTGATTGCATTGATGACGTCATCCAGCCCCACGAGGCGACGTCGCCACTCCTCACTGCAGGCTACAGCACTCATGCACGCCGCAACCCATTCATATTCTTGTTCACTGACGACCATCTCATACCTTCATTCTCTCTCCATCATCATCATTTTGTGAGAAGATGTCCTCTACAATGGCTGAAGAACTCGCACGTCGGTACGGCGTCGGCTTGTTCAAGAAACACATCGCGCAGTACGAACCGTCTGACCCGATGTACGAGACCTACGTGGACAAGAAAGGGCGCACGAAGCGCCGGAGGGTGAGCTCTTCTCCGGACGTACGTCGTTGATCTGAATCTGGAATGCGTAGCGCGCCGTCCCACCGGGGTTGTCAGCACGGGATACCAAGATCTTGAAGAGCGTGCAGAGGAGAGCGCATTATCTAGATAAAGGGATGAACCTGTGTGGATTCCGAGTCGGGTGGACATTCTGGATCGGTACGTCCCCACTTCTATCAAAGACTCTCATACCCATACCTCGCAGGCCTTGTACCAGGAGCAGGCGACGTCGCGGACGCAGCGCTCAACTACTTCCTCGTGGTGAAAAAAGCGCGCCAAGCCGAAATCCCAGACTGGCTCGTCACCCGCATGCTGATCAACAACGCCATCTCCGCGGGGATAGGACTCGTCCCTCTTGTGGGGGACATCGCGCTCGCGACGTGGAAGGCGAACTCGAGGAACGCGGCGCTGTTGGAGGAGTTCTTGAGAGTAAGAGGACTGCATTTTATAGAGGAGCAGGCACACTCGGAAGTCCGACCAGGGTAGGCGCTCATCCGCTGCTGCTTCGGCGCGTGCTTATGCGGATGTAGGGCCGGCGTAGCACCAGGGGAAGTAGTAGAAGGGAAAGGCAACTTCTTCTCCTCCCTCCTTGGCCAGCCTAGACACCCAGCAGCCCCAACAACGTCCACTGCCATGGCACCTATCTCTGTGCCCCCAGCTGCGGGGAGCGTGCCCGTCGCACCTGCCGCAGCGGGAAAGGCTGCCGAGCCCGTTCTGCCACCTCGGAAGAACTGAGCCGGCTTAGACACAGCCGATCGCAGGACGCATAAGCTCAGCGGAGGACCATTTCTATTACCAATACAGGCATACCCTACGAACTTGATATCGCTCGCAGACCAGCCGAGTATTGGATAGCACACCCATTCCGTTTTTCTTCACCAGTGCAGTACTGTTCGTTTCCTACACGTACAGCCTTACAGTAGTATGCCCAATCCCAACCCCATAATTGGAGATTGTAAACCTTTACTCACTACTAGTGTTGTCCGGAGGCCGATCCCAGCAGCGCCTCCCCATCCCCACTCAACACCAACCCAACCGCCAACCGCCCACGGCGTGTTCCTCATCCGCTAAATGTAAACCGGCCAGAGCCAGATGTGTTAACCCTCCCACCTACGCCCACGGAGCTCCTGTCACTTACGCTCACCAGTCCCGGAGCTCTGACACAGCTCGGTAACTTACAGTTAACAGCCTTAGAGCTCCCGGCTCCCAGTTCCGCTCGGTATCCTTTCTCCCACTACTGTACGTACTGGACAAGTCGGAGACTATACGTAGTACTGGGAAACAACCCCCGCACCTCCCCCAAGCTCCCAACGCCCTCACATCCGCTGTTATCAATAGCTCTCCCCAGACCTCGGTTCTGGATTCCGGATCCTGGGACCTGGGACCTGGAGCTGGTTCTGGAGCCCCACAACACTTGCCTTTCCCATCTCGTCCCAGCTGTTGGGCATCTGAGTGTGAAAGGTCTTGCTTGCTCTTAGGGGAGAAGTCTTATTTCCGGTTTAGGACCGTATACCTGGGTTACTGGGTTAACGGGCTTGCCGACCCCGACCCCTCTTTTTCCAGTCAATCTGGATCTCACTTCACTTCGGTCCCCAGCGCCCGATCCAGCCGTACCAGCTCCCGCCGGCCACCGGCACTGCAGGTGGGTGACAGATCCCCGCATCGGACTGTGAAAGTTCTCGCTCTAATGTGAAGGGTTAGAGTTCCCATATCTGTAGATCATTGTCCTTAAGATCTGGTTGAGCGCTCGGAAGGACTGAAGATGCGAAGTAATGTAATGAGATGAGATTGAGTGATCGATTGACGTATACACTCCAGACTGCTTAGTGCTACAACACTTCGACTTCAACTTTGACTTCAACTTTGACTTCAACTTTGACTTGAATGACGCGGAGGGAAGATGTGAAAACATTGGTTTTGCCAGAAGTGGGGGTGGGGAATGGAAGAGTTAGGAATGGGAGAGTGGGGAAAGAGAAATACCCCCATACATATGATGGAGGTGGAGAGAGAAAGTGGACGCCCTAGGCGCCCAGCCGACAGGCGGGAGGTCGACTCCCGTGAGCGAACAGGAGCAGGACAGGACAGGACAGAACAAAACAGAACAGCGCAGCTGGAAGGTGTGAATAGACAGAGTGCGGATATGGAGTGGGGTGCTGATGTGGGGTGTGCTGGAGCGCTGGCTCGGTTTGGGTTGGGTTCTCTCGTTCCGTGGAGTTGGGTCGCCTCGCATTGGGGGCCGGCGCGGTGCGGTGGACGAGGTGGGCGCGGTAGTTAGCTCGTGTGTTCGTATGTTCGTATGTTCGTACGGTCATGCGATCGGCTTCAGGGGGTTGATACAGTCGTTATGAGAAAATCAAGCAATAGCAAGAGCAAGACGGAGATCAAGAGCAAGGGGAAGAGCAAGAGATACAAATATAAATAGAAAGTGCAAGGAAATCGGGATGGGACGTGTGAGACGTCTCTAAGATGGATATGATACACTTTCGATTGTCCTCATCACCAGCCGCAACATCATTACCACCTCCAACCGCAAGTTCCCACCGATGTAGACGACATGATCACATGATCACAGACAAGACGAGACCAGAGGATACAGGAACCAGGATACCAGTCGGTCACCTCGTCCCCGTCCTAACCTGCATCATCCCCTGCAACCTCGGCGGCACCGGCCCTTGTGTCTGCAAATTCCCCAACATGGGCTGTCTCCCCGCCTGCTGGGCCACAAGCACCGGACCCCCGCCCCCCTCTCCCCCACCATGTCCCAACCCCGTCCCTCCCAACTCCCACCCTCCACCTCCCCCCCCACCCCCAAGCCAACCTCAAAATACAACGGCACCCCCACCGCCGAGTACGCGCCCTACGAATACCCGCTCAACCCCGCTTCCCAGCCCTCACCTCCCTTCGTTTCTGGACGCGCGGGGGCCGGGTATTTCCCAGAGGGGGGAGAGGGGGGAGAGGGGGTGAGGTGGGAGGTGGGGAGAGACGGGAGGTGAGAGCAGGAGGAGGGTAGGAGGAGGAGGTAGCGTGCGGAAGAGGGAGGACGGTAGAGCGAAGGTATGCTCGACGGGAGTGCAGATGTGAAATATGAGGTCGGAGTCGCTCCACTCCCTTGACAAGATATACGTCGCTGAAGCGTGCTGACTTTGCACGAGTCAGTCAACGCCGCGGCGAAATAGAAAGTGCGAGTAGAGCCGGTTAAAAGTGCCGAGTAGTAAGCAGTAACCGACCGTCGGGGTGTAAGCTGTACTTGGGAAGGCGGTGTGAGTGCAAGCGAGCGAGCCGGACGGGGAGTGGGGGGGGGGGGGGTCAGTACTAGTACTTAGTGGGTAAGTACTGGGTTACGATAGGGCGAGTAATGAGCAGTGAACGATGTGAGAGGGTTATATGCATAACAACCCTCTCCTCTCCGAACTGTTTAGAAGGGAAGCAAAGCCGGGAAAGGAGGGGGTATGACGTGTCATCCCCCCTTCTCTTCTCATCGAGTATCAGCTGTCGGGCGCATCGCCGATTCTTACCTTGTGCACCGGAGTGGCACATGACCCGATCTATCCAGGAACGTAATCCTCCATCTTAACATCCCAGCATCCTCCTTTCGTATCAGATCTTTTCACGCGCAAATAAGCAAGCAAGCGGCTGACAAACCCTCTTCCTCTCTGAATGCCACACACGAGGTTTACGCACCTCGAACTAGGGTGACGTCATCCACTACGCACCTGGATATAGTCAGTCAGTCATGGATGATGACACGACACGTTGTCTCATCGCGGCTTTTGCCCTGAGACTCGTAGGGAAGAAACAAGGATATCATCGTTATATCATCGAATCATCATCGTTGCATCGTTGTATCACTCAATCAACCCTCTAGTACCAGTAGTACTAACTACCCCTCGCGTAACACTGCCAAAAACGCGCAAGCACACGACTGCGCAAAATTAAAGAAACATACACCTTAAACCCCCCCCCCCCCCACCGGCTGCTTCTTACCAATTCCACCAATTCTCATATCAGACGTCCGCGGCCCTCCCGGGCACTCACCTCCTGCCCACCGACCCCTATAACCCCCGGCCGGCCGGCCGGCCGGCTGGCAGGCAAGCTGGCAGGCAGTGTCCCGCCTCCCCCCCCCGAACAGTTGGTCAGAACCTCAACGCCCAACACCTACCGCCTACCGGTCTTGTACCCGTACCCATACCCATACATACCCCTTATTCCGTCTAACCCTCCTACATAGCGTTAGACCTCTCTACCCTAACCTGTACCTGGTAGCTGTGTCTTGATACATGTCTTAATACATCGGATCGGCCCCGGCCTGGCTGTCGGGCTGACGATTAATCTCAGCTTTCCGGTTCAAGTCCAGACCTATGTACTAGGAGACCGGCTGGTCACTGGCTGGACGAGTCGGGAGCGGTGTCGGATCCCCCCTCCCCACCCCCATCCCCATCCCTGTCCAAGTGCTCCTGTAACCACCTCGGCTGACTGGCCACGATCACGATCACGATCTTCAGGGTATACGTCCGATCGCCCGATCCTGCTTGTCTTCCTGGAGATCATTATCTCTCGTAGGAATTGTACTTCGATTCACATTCAGATTCTCATTTGTTTCACATTCTTATTCTCATTTGGATTCACGTTCGTTCACTTACAGCACACCCAATCTGTGCGCCATATACCAATCTGCTACTTCCCCGGTCCCGGTGCATCGTCAAGTACAGTACGCCACAGACTTCCACCCGTCAACCTCCTCACTATCGATCTTCGTTTGTTCGTTCGTTCTTTCTTTCGTCAACTCCATCGCGCTAGAAGACATTATAACTCCTTCGTTCGATCGCTCGTCCACTCCACCGTGCTAGAAGACGTTGTACCCTCTCCCAAGCGGCAGTTCTCTCGCCGGTGGGACACTCGCCAGCACCCCATCCGCATGGACAGCATACGTCTCCGGGTCGACCCTCATCCTCGGCATGGCAGTGTTATGCTTCATATCCATTTTAGTCACTTTCCTGCAGTCCTTTACTGCTGTGAACCGTTTAGATAGGTTGTAGCTCGCGATTATCCCTAGAGCGGGTTAGTTGGCTTGGATGTTGCTGTTGCGAAGGCAGGGGGGGGGGGCGCACCGGATTCAATCGAGATGGACGAGACGAAGGAGACGCTGTTAAGCGCTGCTGCGGCGGGGTAGGAGCCCCACATCGGCCGGGAGAGGAAGGGCTGTACAGTGGGTATGCTAGCGTTCGCATCTCCCATCTATCCGCCAGGCGCAGGCACAAGCGCAGTGGCAGTAGGTCAGCTCCGCGGCCAAGGTGAAAGGAGGGGGGGGAACGAACCTGGGCCCATGCGATCACTCCCGATTTCAGGACCATCTCGGGCTTCGTACCAAAGTTCTCTGGTTTCCACAGCACGAGGTCAGCCAGCGTCCCCACGGCAACCTGGCCTATCATGTGACTCATCCCGTGCGTGATCGCCCTGCGCTCGGTTGGGGATTAGGCGCCCACGTGTGGATGAATACGGCTCCCACTTACGGGTTGATGGTGTACTTTGCAATGTATCGTTTCACGCGCATGTTGTCCTTCTCCTTTGTATCGCCCTCGCTCACCAGCGGGCCTCGAACATCCTTCATCTTCGCCGCGGTGCGCCAGGTGCGACTGACGACTTCGCCCACCCTGCCCATCGCCTGAGAATCAGAACTGATCATCGAGATTGCCCCGATATCATGCATCACATCTTCTGCCGCTACGGTCTCGGCGCGGATGCGCGATTCTGCAAAGGCCAGATCTTCGGGGATCGACTTGTCTAGATGATGACAGACCTAGATTATCGCGCACCGCGTAGGCAGGCGATTAGACCAAGCACAGCCCGGGACGGCGGGATCTTACCATCAGCATCTGTTGGAAAAAGTTAGTTACGCTTAGGGTCTCAGCCGCTCGGGCTCACATCCAGGTGCTCATCCAGGGTGTTGGTCGCATATGGCCGAGTAGGGTTTGTCGACGATGGCAGAACATTCTCTTGCTCACAGACTACAATGATATCAGGCGCATGCCCGCCACCTACATTCACGCTCAGGTGATCGGATCATGCCAAGTAAGAAAACGCACCAGCGCCCTCAGTATGATAGGTATGTATCGTACGATTCCCGAATGCCGCAATCGTGCTCTCAACAAAGCCAGACTCGTTCAGGGTGTCGGTGTGAATGTTGACCTGGGTTCCCGATTATTTCCCGCACCGCTCCCAAGGTTTTCCCACTCACTTGTACGTCATACTTATCCCCTACATCCAGGCAATTCATTATGGCAGATGGGGTTGAGCCCCAATCCTAGGAGACTCCGAATCAGATGATGTTACCCTTATGCACATGCGGATCACGTACTTCGTGCAGCTTCAGACCCGCAGCACCCGCTCTGACCACATCTTCCAGTGCTTCTGGTCCGGAATCATTCCCTTTACCCGTAAAGGCAAAGTTCATGGGAATCGTGTCGGTCGCCGCTAACATCGTCCGAATGTAAAACGGCGAAGGTGTGCAGGTCGTCGCGTTTGTTCCCGCGCTTGGACCAGTCCCTCCACCAATATGGGTCGTCACTCCGCTCGCAATGGCCTGGGAACATGTGTTCAGGCGAGAGAAGGCGTGATACGCAGGGGATGCGCACCTCAGTCCACTGCTGCGGACAGATGTAGTGCACATGGGCGTCAACCGCACCCGCCGTGACAATGAGCTTCTCGCCGGCGATCACCTCGGTGCTCGCACCGACAATGAGGCTGGCCTCTACGCCTTCCATCACATCGGGGTTTCCAGCCTTACCGATGCCGGTGATCTTTCCGTCTTTCACGCCAATATCAGCCTTATAGATACCGCTCCAGTCGATGATCAGCGCATTCGTGATCAGCAGATCCAGCGCAAGCGCAGAGTGTCGACCGGTCGCTTGGCCCATACCTTCCCGAATCACTTTGCCCCCGCCAAACTTGCACTCGTCGCCGTACACAGTCTGCTGATGCGTTAGAGACGAACGATGACGAAAAGGCTGCCACACTCACATAGTCTTCTTCAACTTCGATCCACAGACTTGTGTCCCCTAACCTCACTCGGTCCCCGATTGTGGGACCAAACATCCCTGCATATACCTCCCTGCTCACCTCCTTCACCTCTGCACCGATCCATGCAGTCGGCTCTGGTACATGCGCAAATCCTTTTTGGATAAGGTTCCTTACGATCTCGTCGGTCCTGTCCAAGTCTACTGTGCCGGACGCCAGGCGATTTCCCCCCGTAATGACCTGGTTTCCGGCAATCGGCACAAGCGTCACAGTCTTCACATCTCCGGGTTCGAAACGCACTGCGGTCCCAGCCGGGATATCCAACCTCTTGCCATATGCCTTGGCGCGATCGAAAGACAGTTGCGGGTTCGTCTCGATAAAGTGATAATGGCTGCCGACTTGGATTGGCCGATCCCCATTGTTCGTAACTCGCAATTTGGTTCTTTCACGACCTTTGTTGAGATGAATCGGCTCCCTGCGAACGATCACAGCACCTGGTCCCGCTCTCCGTTCATAAAGCTCGTGCGCGTCCAAGGGGAACTGCTGATTCGAAGGAACGGGAAGGAATGAGCCGTAGAGAGCCGCATTGAGGTCTCCATTGTCCGTGCATATAGGATCGTGAACAGTGACTAAGAACACCCTGGGTTCATTTCAGTCAACTCTCGCACAATATGGTGTGTATATGCGCACCCGTCTGGGAACGTTCCCTCAACCTGGATCTCATGGAGCAAGCTCGGCACAGCCGGTAGCACATGCCGCCTCCCTAGCATCTCCTTGCCCTTTTGCATGAGCTGCGCGACGGAATGGTTACCATCTCTGATCAGCTCTTGTAATTGAGCCGCAATGAGAGCGGTCGCCTCCGACTGATTGAGCTTCAGACCTCGGGCGAGGCGCTTCTGGGCGAGAGAGCCTAGCTGGTCAAGTGTAAGCAGAAGGCCGCAACTCTGGTTGTCCAGGATGCTTACAAGGTGTAGGGTGAGCTTTGCCTCTTCTCTCGGTGAGATACGCATGAGCGAATCTTGAAGAGAGCAGAGTGGCAGGCCATCCCCGCTCTCTCCCCCGCCTCCGATAAGGCGAAGCCTTGTCCTTGGCGCAGGGAAGTTTGATCCCCTGTGTGGTGATTATCTTAGCAACACGTGATGACCATATTTTATTTCACGATATCAAAATATTACAGTCGTACCCGACCTTTCGCATACCGGTGATATCGCATACCCCCAAATTTGGAATGGGTTGAGCGGGTGACGGGCCCCGTCATTAGGGGGCTCACTAGTGAATATGCATAACCCCCTGATTTCGCATTTGCATTACCAGCCTGACAGTATTTTCATATACATATGCGAGTCCGAGGCAGGTCTGGAGTAAGATTTTCATAAAAAAAATAAGGCCATTTCAGCTCGATTTTGGTAATAATGACTTATGTTTGGCGACACAAAGAGCCGACATGCCATTTCCAGGGAGAATAAGGTCAGTATTAGCCAATCATAAGAGCTCTTTCTGGCTCCCCCCCCTTTCGGAGTTTGATTTTAGCTGTTATGTCCAACATGTTTTGCTTCCGAGGACCCCTCCGATCGCATTACCCCCCATTTCGAATGGGTTCCGGTCATGACGAAGGGCTTCCGAGATCTGGGGTACGACTGTATATCCGAGTAAGAGAAATAGTACCGAGGAGAATATAAATAGTATGAACTTTGCATGGGACCAAAAACAAAGAAAAATGAGACTGGATTACACTCCTGCATGAACGAACAGCGCCCAGCGGTACATCGGGATGTTTCTTAATCGAAACTGTCGGAGAGCAAGGTGCAAAGATTCAGCCGTATTGCGGACATCTGGCGCCCTTCCATCTTTCATCAGGTAATCATAAAACATGCGAGTCAGAACTGGCCCGTCCTGGTCCGCCATCGCCCATTGCGTTGCCACAAGGCTGCGGAACCCGGAAACTTGCATTCCGGCTGTGAGATGCATCGACTCATCTGGTAACAGCGAAGTCTGTCGAGCCGTATGGCAAGCAGAAAGGAACGCAAATTGGGCATTCCACATGCGTAGGCGAACGATGCACGAGAGGGTGAGCTTTCCGTCCTTCAAGCAGAAGGCACTGTCCAGCGGATTCGTAGAGTTCCAGGTCGCATGTGAGCAACAGTGAAGCCATTCGTGTTGAGGGAGTTCTTCAGCAAACCGTGACACTGTTGCTTCGGCTTCCGAGAGATAGGTCATGTTCTCTGAGAAAGGCGAATCAAGCAAAGCGTCGATCTCTCGCTCCGCGCCCTGCAAAACAGGAAAGTTATCAACTTTCGGTTGTGCCACAGCAAGCAATCGGTGACGGGTCCCATCCCCAGCGGACGAAGAAGTACAACCGCCACCGCTCCTTGAGAGAATAAGGCATGATAACGTCCCGGTGTATGAGGTGACAAAATCGTACATGCCAAGCTGATCTGATTGGCATGGTCCAGCGCAATGTATCGGCAGAAGGCTGAGCATTCCCGTGGGCATCAGCCAGACTCTAAAAGCGCTCCTGGAGTGACGGGAGTCACGAATTTCCTGCAAAGCTGCTGCAATTTGCGAGAATCCGCCATCCCACAGACGACGGCTGATGCTTTGAAGTACCCGATTCATGTAGATGGAGCCTTCGCGATCTTTGGTGCATTTGAGAGCCTGATGCCAGGTGTACGCCAGACCGCTAATGACCTTGTCAGAGAGGCCCTTTAATGGAATACATCGGATTTGTCCAGGGCCTGTGACAATTAAAGCGTCTGTCCGATATTCGCTGACGTTGATAACCACAATCGGTCCATCTCGAGCCGCCTGGTGCAGAGAGCGGCACCGTGGGGCTTCGAGGAATGTTTCGAATCCCTTGAATTGTCGCACTTGTTCAATCAAATCCTCCCATCTCTCTGCCAACCGTCTACGGCGCTGTGAGCGCTCTTCCTCCAGCTCCTGTGAACCTTCTGGCGCAGCACATTCATCATATTCAAGGGCTTGAGACACTTGTAGCATCTCTGACGCCAAGTTCGGATGAGCAGCTTTGAGTTCTTGCAGATCGGTTCTGAGCTCAAGGATACACTGACGAGCAAAAATAATGACACGTCGCGCAGAAAGGGACCCTCGCCGTTTTTGGTGGGAAATCCCTATCGGAGATAATGCACGCTGTCAATTCACTCCATACACAATGTTGAAGGGAATGACCTCACCGAAAAAAACGCTCATATCTGAATGCTGGTCACCGGAGAAATTGAGTAACAAAAGAAATTTCTGTTATGAACAACATTTTGGAGCAATGGAACCCGGTCAGACGTCACTTTGAGAGCTCTTGCCTATGTAGGGTCCAGAACTGGTCCAAATGCAGGTCACATTTCTCTTTGCCACACAATTCATATGTAGAAGATTTTTATATTAAGTTTTTCCGCAGAGTAGTGTCTCTCTGGGTCAGTTGTCTGGAGAGATATTCTTCCATTAGTTGTTGCGGAATGAGCGAGATGGAATGGGGCATTATCTCCGATAGGGCTTTCCCACCAAAAACGGCGAGGGTCCCTTTCTGCGCGACGTGTCATTATTTTTGCTCGTCACTGTAGATCTCCATATCATCGATCGACCATGTTCAAGTAGTTCAATTGCATGCTGGAGATTGTTGATCTCGATTGAAGCAGCCGCAGCATTACAAGCAAGAGCTCCAGACGCAAAGGTCACTTTTTTCTGTCGGTCGCGAGTGTTCATCCCTACCCATGCCAACCGAGGAAGAAGCGCGACGGCGACGCAGTATCCCTTTGCCGCTGCCCAAACGCATCCCGTAGTGTATGCCAGCATCCCGCCGGCGACTGCAGCCTCAATGCGATCTTTCACAGCAGCACTGAGGTTTGTGGAGGCGATCTCGTACGTATCCAAGGCGGTTAGAAGGTCCCGGCGGGCCCCGAACTTCTTGAACCTGGCTTGATACGCTGCAGCCAATTCCGATAGATAAGGCGTTTTATGGGCAAAGGAGACATTCGAGTATTTCTCCAGCGCCTCAGTGACATAAGTGATTGCACGCTCGATATGCTTCGGCTCAGCCATCGCGTCGAAAAGGCGCCGAAGCGTTCGAGCGTATCGGACCAATATCGCAGGACGTTGATAACCAGTGTTGAATGACTGCTCCAGAGCGGTTTCGGCAGCTGCAGTGCTTTTGATGAGGTCCTCTTGATTTCCGCTCAGCTCGTATCGATAAAGGAGCAGTTCGCCTAGGTACGAGAGATATGCCGCTTTGTGGCTGATCAATGGGCTTGAGTCAACGCATATTTGACCCAACTCAATCGCGCGATCAAGGTCAGCTCGCTCTCTATCTCGCCTGAACTTCTGCCCATAAGCACAGGTGAAGTTACGATAAAGGTCAGGCATCCCGTGCTTTGCCCAAGGGATGGGCCTGTTCTTGGAAGCATCGGAAGCCTGTTCGAGGAACCCGATAGCGTGTTTGAAATCCTTGTCGTCCCCGCTCAGCGAATATCGCAGACGGTAAGACCAGCCGAGAGCGGCGAAAGCGATGGGAATTTCTTCCGCCTGTTCAGGAAAGATTCGCAAAGCTTCGTAGCCAAAAGTAATAGCTTCGTCCGAATGCTTTGGATCTCCACCTTCTTCACACAAGTTGCAAAACGAAATGCAGGCGTTGGTGGCGCACTTGGCATACGGAAACAGGCGGGAGCTAGGATGGACACCGGTCAAAGCCAATCGCTGATAGTTTGCGGCCTCTTGCATGCTGTAGAGGGCGCCATTGACGGCTCGAGTTACTCTGAGGGTGTTTCCAAACTCGTTCAGAAGACGACGGGATGTATTCTTGAGCCACACTTGTTGTACAACAAGAGTAGCGCCTTGGTGGCCAAGGTCGGCGGCTTTGTGAATTATTTGGTGGGAGCGATTTCGCAAATATTGCTCTCTTAGGATGTTGGACAGTGTTGAGAGCACGTATGGGTGACATCGGAGATTATGTGATAATTCCAGGGCTTCTTAGCAGGGCTTCTTAGCAGGGCTTCACGCGCGTAGGTCTCTCCTTTAACCAAGCAACGCTCAGGCCTTTCAGCACTGACACCATACCACTGGCACATGATTTCTGATAGAGCCCACAACGCGTAAATTCCGAGCGCGGTGTTCCGTCCATGATGTTCGACGACCTCTTGTAGAAGACGACAAGCTCGAGGGTATTGACCTGCATCCGACCGTATTGTTGCCAAGGCCCCGAGAGACTTTGCGAAGCAAAATTTGAGTTGACCGATGAAAGGGAGTGATTCTGGGTGTTCATGGTAGATCGCGAGTCCCTTGTCCAGTAACTCATACGCGCTTTCAATATTCTTGGTGACACAGTATGCCTCAAACAGGGTGCCGTGGACTTCGCCCAATCGGAAAAGAACTTCAATCCGCCGTGCTGGTACCAACGGTAGACCACTTATCAAGGACTGTAGACAGTGCTCGGCCGCATTAATGTCGTCCTGACCGCCATCTCGGTCAAAGCGGAGTCGGTGACAGCGAGCTTGCAGGATCGTCCATTCAGGATTAGAGGTTCTTGGCGGTGAGGGAGGACTATCCAACGCTCCCAGACACTCGGAAATCGCGTAATCGAGGTCGGAATCGATTCCGTACCATTCATAAGATGATAGCGCCCGATCAACACGTTCCACAAGAGTATCGACGAGCTCCATGTGTGATTGTTGGCCACTGTCTATTCGAACACTTGAGTGAATAACCTACATTAACGCATATGAATGAGGGGAACACTTACCGTTCTGAGCTGTCTGTCTTGAGGCACGAACTCGAGTATTTGTGTTCTGCTTTCAAAACAGTCTCGATTTTTCGATGTCATGCAGACATTGCTACATGCTACACCCACAGCAGCAATAACTGGACCGAGTTCCCCCCGATGTTATTGAGGAGTTTGCTTCAATGGAATTGACAACTCGCAAACATTCTGCTCCGGACCGTGAGGAAAGGCGATCGAAGATCCATCAACGTCAGAGAGTCAGCACATCACCACAGTCGGATCTCCTCTCCGCCCACGAGACTAAACTTCACAAGCATCATAGCGACCATCGTTCGGACAGAAGCCCGCAGCAAGAAAGTGTATGGGAAAGAGCCGCCCAAGATGCTTACAGCACAAGAACGTGTTGGAGAAAGCTGCCAAATCACACCGCCAATCAAAGAATTCAATTCCGGGCTACTGCGGTCCCTGAATCTCCTTCGCCAGCTCGTTGTTTCTTTCCCACCACCAGCGTCGTTCTCTATTCATTTGGTTCTCCTGTACTTTTGCTTCTTGCTCGAATTTTACGCTCATATTCAAACATGTCCTACTACGGTCCTCCTTCTAGTCCTCCACCAGGGCAATGGGGTCCACCCCCACCTCCGCCACGGAATTATGGGTGAGTATTCAGTTCTCCATCGAGGCATTGCATTACGCGCCCAGTTGCGCAATTATCCGCCCATGCTGGGTTGTGCCCGAATTCTCGGGCAAGTACGTGCTGCGGAGTGTTTCGTGGTACACCGCGATGCGATTGCATTCCGACGTTGCACATGTCTTGGCCACTAGTCTGAACTTGCCAAGACAAAGCACGGACCACTCCCAGCACCGAGTTTCGACCGCCAGCCTCTGTTTTGATGCGTGATAGAAATAGAACATGAAGGCTGACAACTTTCATCTAGATCTTATCAGCCACCGGAAGGTCCGCCGCCTCATGGTCATCATCACCATGGCGGTCACATCCACTCATACGCACCACCTGAAGGTGCCCCCTATGGTTCGTATGGGCCACCAAGCGGCGCTCCTCCAGGATGGAATCAGGGAGGAGGGGGATATCCTGGGCAGCAGTACAGAGAGGAGTATGGTACCCAATCGTACGTCATGCTGGCAGGTCATTCAGACTTGAAACTGATGATAGATACAGGGCATACAACGGAAATGGACAATACGGTGGTGGATATCAACAGTATGCACCCCCTTCTGGACCTCCGCGTATGTGGATTTCGAACTCGAATGATGTCCCCGCTGATGTATGCGCATATATTCAGCTATGCCTCCTTCCCAGATGCAGAGCTATGGTCCAGAGTTTCAACAGAATGGCCAAACTGCGCACCCCTATTTCCAATACTCTCAATGTAATGGGCGAAAGAAAGCACTCTGTGTTGGTGCTGCCAAGTCTTATTGACTTCTTGAGACCTGACGATTACACAGATCGGAATCAACTACTATCGAACGAGCAATGAGCTGAAAGGATGCGTCAATGATGCCAACAATATGCGTAACTTCTTGTGTCGTACGTACCCTATTCCTATTTAAGGTCAAGATTCTGATTTTTACACAGGTCAATTTGGATACCAGATGGACGATATTGTCATGCTCACCGACGATCAGTCAAACCCTCGGTCTATTCCCACTCGTGCGAATATTGTACGTCTGGTGTTAATAGATGATGAGCAGAAATGGGAATTGATATGTTGTATCAGCTACAAGCAATGCAATGGCTTGTGAGAGATGCGCAGCCCAATGACTCGCTTTTCTTCCACTGTGAGCATTTTGCACATTTTTTGCGGCGTTCTCCCCTTCTAATCGATGCTGCAGATTCCGGTCACGGTGGCCAGACCCCTGACCAGGACGGCGATGAAGAAGATGGCTATGACGAAGTCATCTATCCAGTCGACTTCGAACAGACCAGCCATATAGTGGATGATGACATGTTCTTCATTATGGTCAAGCCCTTGCCGCCTGGTTGCCGGTTGACTGCGATCTTCGACTCTTGCCACAGTGGCAGCGCTCTCGATCTTCCTTACATGTATTCTACGGAAGGCAAGATCAAGGGTATGCAGGGTCTCGTCCATCAAGATTGGTCGATGAGTGCTGACGCTTTGCCCAGAACCCAATCTGCTCGCTGAAGCCGGGCAAGGTCTTCTGCAAGCTGGTCTTTCTTACGCTCGCGGCGACATCGGAGGCTTGATGCAAAATGCCATGTCGTTGTTCAAGACAGCTACAGGAAGCGAGGCTAAGGCAAACCGGTATGCTCGACAGACCCGCACTGCACCATGTGACGCTATATCTTTCTCCGGTTGCAAGGACTCTCAGACATCGGCCGACACTGTGGAGGCCGGCCAGGCTACAGGCGCGATGAGCTATGCGTTCATCAGAGCGCTCTCTGAAAACCCGCAACAGAGCTACCAGCAGCTTCTTATATCTGTTCGCCGTATCCTTTCGAACGAATACAGCCAGAAGCCGCAGCTGACAAGCTCCCACCCTATTGACACTAACATTTTATTCATCGCGTGAGATCTGAACAATTCTCTCCCAAGTATCAATGTACCGCCAATTCCCTGTACGGTTATCGAAATGAGAATTGAGAACAACCAGACGATTGTATTTATGTAGAACGCCTTTGATGCAGTTGTAGGTCACACGAACAATCTATACTTTGATTGACGCCCATGAAGAAATGTATTGTTTGTGGCGGTGCCAATGGTATGGCAAGCCTTCTTTCCCTGATCTCCCCAACCATATATATAGCCAGGGTATGGTGCTGGCTGATGACTTGTCCACCTTCCTCATTGATCTCAAGAACAACCTGCTATCCATGAGCACGCGCCAGTTCGCATACGGCGCTGTCGCCGCACTCTGTATCCTCAGCCTTACCTGGTACACCCTCAAGCCAGGCGCTGAATGGACGAAAAGCGTCTCGTTCGCAGATGGAGAAGTGGTACTGGACCCCAGTGGAATTGACTGTATGTTCAACACATTGCTTAACGAGAACGAAGAGGTGACATGCGTTACAGTCTCTGGGAAGGTGGACTTTGGGAAGTACCGATATAGGGACATCATCCCGGTTGAGGAGCTGCATCTCGAGGATCCAACGCGACGGGTCATCATCGTTGGCGATATACATGGGATGTGGAAGCCCTTCCAGTGGGTATACTTATCATCTTTACTTCATCGGATCTAATTATTGTTCAAGAGAGCTGATGAACAAAGTCGACTACAACTCGGAGAAGGATATACTCTTCCATGTCGGCGACGTCATCGCGAAAGGCACCGACTCTGACAAGGTACTCAAGTGGCTCATAGACCATAACATACGAGGTGTCCGGGGTAATCACGACCAGAAAGTGATTGGCTGGCGAATCTGGCAGGATTGGGTGGAAGCCGTGCCTGGGTACGCTCCCCGATTGAGCTTCTACTCATATCAGGCGCAAGGATACTAAGCAGTCACTCCAGGGGCAAACAATGGCTTAAGCGCGTGGAGAAGTTCACCCACTCGGAGTTTACGAGCCAGCAAGTGAAGCACAAAGAGTCCAAAGCGGATAAAATGCACCGTAAACAGTTCGCATTCCCAGACGACCGAGACTGGGTCTGGTCGAGCGAGCACTACGGGATTGCGCGCAAGCTCACGCACGAGCAGTATGAGTACTTGCTTAACCTGCCGTTGACGATCTCGTTCCCTGGGATGAAGACGCACCTCGTACATGCGGGGATATTGCCCCATCAGCTGAAAGAGGAGAAGCCAGACCCATGGAGCTTACTTAACATGCGCTCGGTGCTTTCCTCCGGCGCTGTCTCGAGGAAGTTTGATGGCACTCCGTGGACGGAGCTGTTTAACCACTACCAGCAGAGTGGGGAGGACGCGAAGAAGGAAGACAGGGAAGCAGTCGTCTTTGGACACGCGGCAAAGCTCGGACTGCAGGTGGAAAGGTGGACCTTGGGACTAGACACCGGATGCGTGTATGGAAGGGAGCTCACGGCAGTGGTCATCAACGGAGGAGATGTAGACGCAGTGGATGTGAATGATACTGGTCATGGAAGGAAGGTGCACGTTGGGAATACCACGGGAAGGCTCTGGAACGTCGATTGCAAAGCCCCATAGGCTTACTTACGAACGCAAACACGCATATTGGACGAGTTGACATGTACGTTACGTTAGAGCTTGATTATGCTGTAAAGTATAAGAAATTGGGCAGGCTGCACTTACAGAGTAGGTAGAATAGGCATTGTTGGTATCCGCCTCATAGAGGAGATCCTCGAAGACCGTATGTGTAAGGGGCATTGTGGGCAGTTTCAAACATGGCGATGTCCAGTCGCTCGCGATCATGAGTGAATCTACATAGCAGTCACTACAACCATGACAGTGTCGAATAGTCACCTCTTTCAAGTCGGTTTGTCAGCTGAGTATTACTCACGAGCGGCACACTTAGAGGGGCAACCTAGAAGTAACCAGGGCATACAATCACAGTCAGCATATCATTCTCGGCACTGCGCAACGTCAGTTGTCAGTGTCACACAACACCAGTCGTCAGCAGTTAGCCGTCAGCCACAATAACTTAAGGAAGAACAAACATAGTAAGAACAAGAGGAAACGAAGGATGACGTATTTCTGCACCTCAACCACTTTTTAGCGCGATTCCAGTCTGTCAACAACGGTTGGAGGGATGGAGAGTGATCACGCTGGCGCAGCGGCTTGTTGGTAACCCATAGCAGCATAGTATTGCTGAATTTGTTCTGGCGTCCACTGCTGTTGTTGACCGCCCTCGTAGCCAGCATACCCGGCGTACTGACTCTGGTCGTATCCCTGCTGGCCATCCCCCAGCGCGTTGGAATACAGACCTTGGAAGCCAGCCTGCTGAGGGTAGAACCCGCCTGCCATACGCTGGTTTTGTTGCTGCTGCTGAGGAGTGATCCACATCTCGGGCTTGCGCCATGGTGGGATATTGGAACTGTCGTGTGTGGCATGCCCACCAGAGGCACCACCACCGCTCTCACCCAACTCAGCCATGAGCTGGTCATACTCACTGTCAAAGCCGGTTCTGGGGCCTCCGTTCGTTGGGCCGTTGTTGTGCTGCGGGAACTGCGGGGTTCCACCGCCGTGCGAGAAGTCGCCGTTCGGGTTTCGCTTCTGTGTACAATCACGCGCCATGTGGCCAGCATTGCCGCAGAGACGGCAGACGATGTTGGCCGTGTAGTTGCGTTGCTCGGGGCAGTCGTACTTGCGATGACCAATGTTACCGCAGTTCTGGCAGACTTGATTCTCGTCGTCCCGCAGGGTGCCATTGAGTGCGGCGAGTTCACGGAGCTGGTTGCGCTTATGATCGTTCTCGCCTTCAGGAGTAGACGCAGCCTAGAACGACAGAGTCAGTATGCTGTCAATAGGGCAGTAGAGAAAGAAGGCTTACTGTCTCAATAACCTTGTTGATCAGGTCCACACAAGCAGCCACCTTATCTTCAGAATCAGCCATGACAAGACAGTGCAAGTCCTCGTCTGCATCATCTGCGAATTGGTCTGGCTTGCCCTTTCCCTCTTTCACGCTACCTTTTCCACGAATGGATATCTTAGCGCCGCTCTCTCGCTCCATCTTCTTCAAACTGTTGCCTCGCGGACCGACCAGCAAACCGAAGAAGTTGATCTCGGGGAACTCCTTGACTGGGATGTACACCTTGTCCTGTATCCTGTTCCTGCGCTGCATGTGTTGAAACTCGAGAGGAGGGCGGAAGGTTGCATCGCTCTTCATTGCACGCTCGATGAGGCGGACGCGCTCATCCTCGAGCTTCTTACGGTAGCGAACCTCGCGTGTATTCGACCTCCGACCATGGGCATCGTACGTCGGTGGCGGGGAGGGTGAACGCTCGCGCTCTGGGGGGATATAGTCGTTCAAGCGCAGCTTGCGGTTGATCTCTTCGAGCCGAACCTGGATCGCGTAGTTATCCAGATCCTGTGCAGTCACGCCAGTGGAAGAGACGGCGGTGGGTAAGCCAGGGATGGCAGCTTTGGTAGTTTCGTCACCCCATCGAGAACGGCGCTTCCGGGGAGCACTGGGGTCTTGAGAAGCAGTTGTAATGAGATGAAGAGTGGTTGGGCGTAGTGCTGACTCACCAGGAGGAGGTTCAGGCTTGGACTCTTCCTTAGGACCCCAGCGTCTATTACCAAGAGGCACGTCGTTCGTTCCTGTGATCTGCTTTCCACGCCAGGACATTGTGAGCTTCTTGATATGAGGAAACTAGGGATAACAAGTGAGAGCAGAGCAGTGGTGGTGGTGGTCAGGAGGTAAGAGCGAGAGCAGTGAGGGCGCCAGAGTGGCGAGGCTTAAGCTCTGCGGGTGCCACGTGCGTTGGGATGGGAGCAAATTAGTCAGCGACCACCAAGGTAAAGGGCGGCATTTGTGAGTAGTTGAGAACAAATCATCAGCCTCTGTTTGCTCATCGACGACCATTCACTTGGGACGGCGAAGAGCGCATCGCACACATCTAGACAACATCCAATACTATTGTATACCTCTTAGAGATCCTGCTGATACAATGCCTCCCAAACGGCTAGCGGAAGGTGCCCATCATAATCACTCTCTCATGAGCAGGGCATTGAAACGCAGAGCAGGCTCACCCGCATCCTCTGCTGCAAAGCGGCAACGACGGCTACCAGCACAGTCTGCAGGGCTCGACAACCCTTCGTACGATGTTCCTGGCTCGGACGATGAGCCGCTGGAAGATCTTGACCTCGTCTCGGACGTTGACGATGACGCAGCCTCGTCGGATAATGTCGCTGCTGATTCTCTCATCCCTCGAGGAGCAAAACTCAACCTCTCTGCACTTGCGCGCAAAGCGAAGCAGTACACGAAAGGCGCACGGGCGGACTTGGTTAGTCACATGTTTGGCGACCAGGACTTTGCGTACCTGCAGTTGAAAGGAGACCATATGAGCCGGCCCCTGTGGATCGACCCCGTCGATGGCCATATTATACTCGAGGGCTTTAGTCCAATCGCAGAGCAGGCACAGGACTTCTTGGTTGCTATCAGCGAGCCGGTATCGAGGTGCGTACTGTATCTTCACATAAAGTTAGCACGAGCTGACGTGTTCATAGACCATCATTCATCCATGAATACAAGTTAACCGCCTACTCCCTCTACGCCGCTGTTTCCGTCGGCCTGGAAACTGAGGACATCATCGAAGTCCTAAATCGCCTCTCTAAGGTGCCCATTCCCGACAACGTTCTCCAGTATATCCGGAGCTGCACCATGTCGTACGGCAAAGTGAAGCTCGTGCTCAAGCACAATAAATATTTTGTAGAATCAACCCATCCGGAGATCCTGCAGACGTTACTGCGGGACCAGGAGATCAGAAGTGCAAGGGTCGTACCTGGCGCGGGAGGCACGTACGAAGCAGCGAACGCGCTCGACAATGGAAAGAAGAAGATGGTGCATGGCGCTGAGAACAATTCGGGTAAGGGGAGCAAAGCAGGCACCCCTGCTCCCGGTAGCGGAACAGTGACCCCGGGCAGCAAACCTGGGCAGACTGATGCAGACTTGTTCTCTGCGGTTGTGGGCGTGGATCAGGATGAGATTGAGGAGGATGACGAGAACACAGTCAGTTTCCAGATTATGGATGACAAGATTGATGTGAGTCTGCTCTTATTTGACAACGTGATCGTAAAGCTGAGTAATCTGCAGGATGTGAAGAAGCGCTGTCATGATCTCGATTTTCCCGTGCTCGAAGAGTACGATTTCCGAAATGACACGGTGAACGCAAACTTAGACATCGACCTTAAGCCCATCACCGTCATTCGGCCATACCAAGAAAAGTCGCTTTCCAAGATGTTCGGTAATGGCCGTGCACGGAGCGGGATCATCGTACTCCCTTGTGGGGCTGGCAAGACGCTCGTAGGCATCACAGCCGCGTGCACGATCAAGAAGAGCACCTTGGTTCTGTGCACATCTACAGTGTCGGTCATGCAATGGAAACAGCAGTTCATGCAGTGGTCAAATATCACCGATAGGCAAATCAGCGTTTTCACCGCTGAGCAGAAAGAGAAGTTCTCCGGCGCGGCAGGCATTGTCGTCTCGACCTATTCGATGGTCGCCAACACCCGCAACAGGTCATACGAGTCCCAGAAGATGATGGATTTCCTCACCTCCCGCGAATGGGGATTCATCCTTCTGGACGAGGTGCATGTCGTTCCTGCCCAGATGTTCCGCCGGGTTGTTACGACCATCAAAGCGCATGCCAAGTTGGGTCTTACTGCCACTCTCGTACGCGAGGACAACAAGATCGACGATCTGAATTACATGATCGGGCCTAAGCTGTACGAGGCCAACTGGATGGATCTTGCCGCCAAGGGACATATCGCCAATGTACAATGTGCGGAGGTGTGGTGTCCTATGCCGCCGGAGTTCTATCGCGAGTATCTGAGGGAGAAACCCAGACGAAGGATGTTGCTGTATTGTATGAACCCGAACAAGTTCCAAGCGTGTCAGTTCTTGATCGACTACCATGAGCGGAGGGGAGACAAGATTATCGTCTTCTCAGACAACGTGTTTGCGCTAGAGGTGAGCATCTTTAACGGGACCATGTCGGAGATACTGACTGTCTTCCAGGCGTACGCTAAGAAACTCAGCAAACCCTTCATCCACGGTGCGACCGCCCAAGTGGAGCGTATGCGAGTTCTCCAAAACTTCCAGCACAATCCAGTAGTGAATACCATCTTCCTATCCAAAGTCGGAGACACGTCAATCGACCTACCCGAAGCTACCTGTCTGATCCAGATCTCTTCCCACTTCGGTTCCCGACGACAGGAAGCACAACGGCTCGGGCGCATCTTGCGTGCCAAACGCAGAAACGACGAGGGTTTCAACGCTTTCTTCTACTCGCTCGTCTCGAAGGACACGCAAGAGATGTACTACTCCACCAAGCGCCAACAGTTCCTCATCGACCAGGGCTATGCGTTCAAGGTGATCACCCAGCTCGAAGGCCTGCACACGATGCCAAACCTGGTGTACAAGACCCCAAGCGAGCAAATTGAGCTCCTGCAGAGCGTGTTGATCGCGAACGAGTCGGCTCTCGACTTTTCGGGTTCAGACCTCATGAACCTACAGGGAGATCAAGCGCAAAAAGCACGCAATCGTGCGCAGAAGTATGAAGCAAAGCGTGCGGTTGGCAGCTTATCTGCCCTTTCAGGTGCACAGCATATGAGCTATATCGAACGAAATAAGACTGCGAACAGACAGCTGGCGAGGGAAGCAAACGCAAATCGTCATAAACTGTTCAAGAAGCGTGACGTGCAGAAAAAGCAGGGTGCTAATGGGGCATAAGAGGAGAGGACATTCATCCAAGTGGAAAGGACCTCCGCGTGTATTTATACGTATCGATTACATTGTACTGTAGATTGGCATTAATGGATGTTACATGCGTCTGTCCAAGACGGATCGCAGATGTTTGGATATAGTACAGTGTGCCAAGTGACCCAGCAAGTTACTGATGCTCTTTCTGCCTCTTCGTCTTCTTTTTCTTCTTCTTTCGCGGTCTAGCACTTGTGACACCCTCCTCCGGAGTCTCATCTTCATCCCGAGCTCTTTTGCCCACTTGCTTCTGTTCCAATGCTGTAGCTTTGACAAAACAAGCAACGAAAAAGCCGTTGGTGCGGTCTTCTCCAGGCGTGCAGCGGATTAAGCAGTTCGCGTCGTCTAGGAACCTAGATCAGCCATTAGCATATGTGTTATTCGCCGACATCACCTTCGGATAACCCCGTGCCCTCGCTTAGACCTCGTCTGGACCAGCTAGGCAGCACCTTAGTTCGTGGTCCAAGCACGAACCCGGCTTGGGCGGCTTCCTCCGAAGCGAGCGCGTCTCTGACGACATACTCGTCCTCCTCCTTGTGTATGCTGCAGGTGGAGTACGTTATTCGATTAGCAGATTTGACTGCATTCGGGGTCAGAGCGATGCAGATCGAAAAACAGGAGGAGCTAACGGACTCTTCATCGCGTGCTTGATCATCTTGAGCTGGAAGGAACCGAGTTTGAGAAGACGTGCTTCGTCCACTCCGGGTTCCTCTTCCCCTACCAGAGACGTTAGGACTGTGTGCATCGGTCCACACACCACTCCTCACCAGCTTCGAGCAGATAGTCCATCCGATTGACAATGCCCGAGCCGCTACACGACGGGTCCAGCAGTCTGCGAATATATCAGGAATAATGCGGCTCGGTGTCGCTCCAGACCTCACATATGCGTGACACCTTCAAATACATCGTCCTCTGGATCAACACTAAGGAAGTCCTTGTTGAGAGGCGTAACGTTCTTGCACCTTGCCTTCTTGAGCATGATCTGCAGAGTCTTAAAGCGCTTAGGGTCACGCTCAAATGCGGTTATCTTCACAACCCAGATCAACATTTCTGTCACAGTTTGGGAGCAAGGTACTGACCTCCCCCTGGTTACCCATCAGGGCACTCAACGCACTCGTCTTGTTGCCCGGCGCGGCAGTGGCGTCCACCACTTTGCCTACGTCGGCTCTTGCAGACTTCTGATCCGCTGATACGGGAGAAATGAGGATATATGCTGGAAAGCAGGACGCTTTGTCTTGGAGGATGATCTTGCCTTCTGTAAGCAAAGGGGAGGAGGTGAGGGAGGCAGAAGGGTGGAAGAGGAGGAGATCGGGAATGTGCAGGTCGATGGCGAACTGCTTTCTGAGGATAGATAAAGACATAACCCTGTGGTCAACAGGGAAAGGACTTACGGTTCAGGGAAAGCGTCGGGCAAAGAAGTGAGCGAGAAGCCGGCAGCCTCAAAGTGGGCGATCGCTTCGCCCATCGTCCAAACATTCGCGTTCACCCTCACATATCTCGGTATCTGATCTAAGAGACATCGTAAGCACCATGCTATATTGAGGCAAATCTCATTCACGTACTCGCACGCTCATCGCCCTTCTCTGCTAGCCCCTCATTACCCTCCACCCCTCTTCGGATCTTCAACCTCACCAGCTCAGCCTTCAGTCTCGTCTGGTGCCTCAGTAATGCTTGCTTGATCGGCCCGTCCGAAGCTTGTACGCCTCCACGAGCAAAGAGAAGGTCGTGTACGAGCACCAGAGCGAGGTTGGGAGAGGTGACATGTCGTTTTTCCTCTTTGAGTAGTGGTGTTGCGGAAATAATGCTCTGGATGGCGGATTTGTCTGCGAGACAGCATCAGTACACGCGTGGGAAAAGACAGATATATACGTGCACTTCAAGGTTTCGATAACCAGAGCAGCTGTGCGTTTGCGGTTCTTCTCGGTGACCGCATTGAGGTTGCCTTGGATTGAGCCTTTCTTCGCGTCGAGTTCATCGAGCACCTCTGCTGCTTCTCTGTAGAAATTCATCGGCTCTTATGTTCAGAAATACACATCATGCTCCCATGGGCGACATCTAGAACTGTTCTTCAGTTTTGTGCTTGAGGGTAGGAAGAGGGAAAAGAACAAATTGGATCAGAATGTGCCACAATTGGATATCATTACGCTAGGACAGTACATGTCCGGTAAATCATTTAAATCCCTTATAAGTGTAAATCATCACGCAGCTGTCTACAAAGTTCGGATTGAGGTATGGTAAACCTACAGAGGGTGAACGAAAGTGACGTGAACTATGCAGGAATTAGCATTCATGTCCTCCGATTTCAGGGAGACGAAGAGCGTTTCAGGTTACGACGTTTTCTGTCAATCGAGCAGAGAGCCTTAGCTCAAGCCGTCAGACAATGTAGACAAGTAACAAAACATCATTAAGGTGATAACAAGACTGTTGACTTACTGGATATTCGTCAAGATGATGGTCGTAAAACCAAACGGTTTCTCGAACCCTGGAGACTTTCTCCGACGCGTGTACTATGGCGGAGTCAGACTTGTTCAGGGCCATATTAGAGGGCGATCCTCTACGTTGATTACACTCCATCTCAGTTCGTTGTTAGATCAGTCCATATACCATCCGTGTATTTCCCCAGCCGCATAGATGGCGAGCACAAGCAAGGGCAAGGTTCCGGAGACCGCAGCTCCATCCGTTCCGTCTACTCAACCATCTGCTTCTGCTCCTGCCACTGCGCCAGCACCAGCACCTGTGATCGACTTCAAAGTATGGAACCCTCCTCAAGGGTCGCATATACGTATGCTTTCTATTCTCCTTCTGGTAGCTCTTCTTAAATTTTGCTCTTAAGTTGATCACCCTGATTCGTATTATGAGCCAACGCGAGAAGAATTACAAGCGATGTATGCCACCTCCCAACGGCGACTGCACGCCATGACCGAGGGCCCGCTGCTCACCGCTAAGCTGAGGAACGAGGACGAGAAACGGCGCAAGCAACGGGAGCGATTCCCACGGACGACGATCAGGATCAGGTTCCCCGATCGGACGATGTTGGAGCGCACGTTTAGCAGCGAGGAGAAGATTAGGAGCGTGTATAAGTTTGTGAGGGACTGCTTGACTGAGGAGGCAAAGCCGATCAAATTCATCCTATGTACGCCATCTATTCTATTTGATCATGTGGATGCTGATGATACTGCACAGACCAACCTCCGCGGCAGGAATACAAAGTCTCCGACCCCGAAGTGCGGGATAAGACCCTCTACGACCTGCACTTTTCTCCATCTTCCGTTCTCTTACTCACTTTCACCGACGATTCCCTGAACCGGGACGAGGTTCCTCCTCCCCTTCTTTCGGAGATACTTGCCTTGGCGCAGGACCTCCCTGTGCCGACGGAGGAGCCAGTACCGGAGGTTAAGCCCAAAGTCGGGGGAAGAACGTTAGGTGGTGGTGGCAGCGTGGGAGATGAGAAGGCGGATGCGAAGGTCGGGGACGGGAAAGGAATGAGTGCGCAAGAGAAGAAGGAAAAGCTATCGAGGTTGCTGAAGCTGGGTGGGAGTAAGTCATTCTCCTGACACCGTTCCAGTTCGTGCTGATTGTGTATGCAGAGAAATGAGCTTAGCTGAGCTGGTTGATGAGAACCTGCCTGAAGACTATCGTTACGCCATTGTACTGTATCCATCCATCGTTACCTGAACATGAAGATCAAACGTTCTGTGTCAGCCCCACAAGTGCTTGCTCGGTGTTATACATGCATCGCATTTCCGTTAAGTACACATGAACCTCCTTACAGGCCTGCTCTCTATAGTCCCAGCTCACTCTAGAAGAAACGGCTCCTCGTACAACGCCTTGGATAAGTGCTCCTTCCAGTCGAAGCTCTCCGTCCTTACTGGCCTCTCATACCTCTCATATTCATCTGGCTGATCTCCCTCCCCAGGCTCTTGCGTCGCCTTCGGTCGAAGGGGGCTGCTCCGTCCATCCCAGAAAACATCTATAGACGGAAGTCGTGGAAATCCGAGAGTTGAAGCGCGCGAGGGAGCCTTCGGACGTGGGCCGATCCCATCGTCAACGTGTGTAGATGGGAAGATTTCTATAATTTTCGCATTCCTCAATCAGCGTCATCCAATATTGAGGCAAAAACGAACCGTTGTGAGCCAGATCCGGTACAATCGGAGGCTGCCAGTGTACGTCCTTGTGATTGTCGTGTGAGCTAAGCCTGTGTGCTGACGTGAACCATCGAGGAGCAGGCTGATCAACAATCTGTGTTAGGGTCTTACGTGCAGCCATATGTTCGGTCTTATCAGCGGGCAGGGGCTCAGTCGTGTGGCGAGGCACGATCATGCCTTCCTCAGGGTGATTTTCCTTCTCGTTCTGTACCAGAGGAGCAGCAGGAGCAGCAGGTTTGACAGCATCTGACCGCTTAACCCGAGGTCTGACTTTCCGCGCAGACGGGGCGTGAGTCCGTTCCAACACCACTCCATCATCTTTATATGGGAAAGTTTTTAGCAGTGCTCTGGCCAGTTCCTCAATGGCAGGATTTGTCGGCTTGTCTGATTTCTGCGCTAGTTTCGACGTGTTGTTAACTTCTGTATCAGGGACTTCAATTGATTCGATAGGAGTAGTCAGTCGATCGACTTGGACCGGGTCTTCTGCTTCGACACTTTGCGACTGTCCCGTTCGAAGATCTGGAGGATGCGGAGGCTCAGTCGCAACAGTCGTCTCTTGCAATATTGAAAGCAACGAAGGCAGTTCTGTCTCCTCTTGACTGTCAGGCATCTGAAGGTTGGGCAGCTCGCTTTCAGCCTTGATCGACGGTTCGTCCGTAGGATCATCGGGTAGCTCAATCGGGTCCTCATGAATGCCAACAAGACGGCGTCCTACTTCCGCGCTTGGGAAAGGTCCGAAGGCCGCTGCATCCTCTATGTCACTCGCATGCCCAGTATTCTGGGGCTCTTCGTTCATTGGAATGGAGGAAGGAGGCGTGAACTGCTCGATGTCATCCTGCTGGAGCAGAGCAGATATGGATTCCAGTCGAGGAACACCATGACGGCGGCCTCTTCGAACGATCCGGGATGTATGGATCACTTCACCTCGCGGTCGCGTCAGGTCAACACATCTGGGGCGCATATCAAGTATGGGCTGAGCCCTTCTTGCACCACGGACATCGGCAGGACTGACGCCGTCATCCGTTTGTCGCCGTTCACGTCTTTGTTCTTCGGCGATCAATCTGTCACTGAAGCAAATGTCAGGCTACAACCCTGTCGATGTCTACCACTCCATGCAAACCTTCTTGCCTCCTGGGCCTTTCGCACATGAACGCTCAAGGGACCAAGCTCAAGTCTCACCGAACTTCCTTGCAGCGTGCTGGGGGCATGAATACGAGACACTAAAGTACTCAAGTGATGTGTGGCTCGATCTTGTGCAAGCACCCATTCAGGTCTTCGCGGTGGGAAATCAGGCTCGATCCATGAAAGACGACGAGGACGACGGGATGGTACCATGCGCTTCTTCCTTGATTCCGGAGCGCGGGGGGGTTGCCTCTCGTCTACCGGTTTCATGTTCAAGCAATTCGCAGGTTCCTCGTCATCCGACTCATACGTCTCAATGTTCACAGGCTCAGGGGAGGAAGTGTAATCCACATTTCGTCTTTTACGTCGTTTAGCGGAGCGCCCTTTATTTCGAGATGACTTTCGCTTCTGGGTTACTCGTGGAGATGACTGAGCATCTGAATCATTTGGTTCAAGACAAAAAGTAACGTCGTCGTCAGTAATATCGAGGTTACTGTCCGGAGCCGGCCCGTTACATCTCATGGATTTCTTCGAGTTCTTGTAAGTGCGCTTTGGCCGAGCCTTCGAGCTTGCAGTAACAGCGCCGCAGGATTGTTTTAGAAACTTTTCGACTGTAATCATACTGTTCGGTATATCCATTTCGTTGTCGCCCCCCGTGTCTCCCTGGATTGGCGTTGTGGGTTCAAAGTGAACGTCAAGATCCGTCACATAATCTGGAGGAGATGATGGTGGAAGGAAAGGCTCAGTAGAAGGTATGCGCGTTGTTGTTGACTGAAGGGGGAAAACAGCTTCCTCACAGGCCTGCATTGTACGTTCAGTTGGATGGTCACGGTGATTCTCGTCAATAGGAGTTGAAGACGGAAGTAGGGAAAGCCCTTCAGTCGGGAAGGTCGAAGGAATGATCCAAGTCGACACATCCGAGGGTTCCTCAGATCGTTGTACTCGAGATTCAGTTGGATTGTCACTGGAGTTCTCGTCGATGAGGGTCGAACACGGAAGTGGATCAAGCCCTTCAGCAGGGAAAGTGGAAGGAACAACCCGAGTTGAAGTATCGAAGGTTTTCTCAGATCCCTGCATCTGAGATGCAACCGGGGCAATTCGCTGACTTTGGTCGGTGAGGGTTGTAGACGAGGGGAGCATGGACAACTCTTCAGCAGGGAAACTCGAAGGTATCACCTCAGTCCGTGGGTGAGAGATAGTGCTAACTCCGCCCTTTGTAAGACATAGAGGAGGATATTCGATCAGAGCGCGTTGCAAGAACTCATCGTCACTCTCGTCCATCATTGGACTTGATAGGGGTGCATCTGCTTCGTCGCCATTATGGGTGTCAACTGTATGCGTCACTTTTGTACCCATTCGTGGCTCAGACTGCGAAGTTTGAGTCACTTTAAGATTCAATATGTTGTCAAGAGCAACCTGTGGAGATGGGAATGAAGGAAACCTGCTGAAATTGTACATTCCCGGACAGGGGTCCTCAGGAGGGAGTCTTCTCCGCCTGTGGTTTGCCTGACAGCATATAATATGCAATAAGTATCGGCGTATCAAGCCGAAGTCATAGTTAGAATATTTTCGATCTTACCATCGCATGTCTCTTCGAGGTAAACCTCTTCTTCCAAGTTGATAAAATGCTGTTCTTTGGTATATGATGATGGCGGTGAGGATCAGAAAGTGAGGATCACAGAGAACGGCAGAGACGAACGTGTTTGCCTCCGTCGATGTCACGCGTCTCGGCGAACTCATCTTTTCATAACTTGACCAACACTTGCAAGCGCTATGTAATTCGCCGCCTTACCTCCTGTGTTCTCGCTTCTCTGATACCCTTTCGCTGTTTGCCCTCTGTGCTTGATATTCTTTGGCTTTTCCTTCTTCATCTCGTCATATGTCGGAGACCCATCACGGTGCAGCTCGCACAGTTCATGCTCCTGGCCCGTCTGCAGGGCCGCCGCACTCCCACGTGTCTCTTCCCTCACGTAGTTCCGACGATCAGACTTTCGTACTGTCTGATGCTGCTGCAACGAGCGGCATTAAAAGGCTTGATCTCGAAGATCGGCCGCCGAAGGTCAGCATGTTCGCCGCATGACGGGCTGCAAACGGGCCCAAGGTGCCAACCGCTCGTTCTTCGAACCGTGCTAGATTCTGACAGTGGTAACCAGTGTGTGCCGCCGACGAAACTCCTATGTTCTACAAAATAATGACGAGTAGGGATAATTTCGTTGCCTTCGTGCATTACGGTAGACTTCGTGCTTATTCTGATAACCTCTATCCCTCGCGTCTCTTCATATAATTTTCCCCATCGATCTTCTGATAATGGCTACAGTGTATATGTTGCGCCTCCGCATGCTACAATAGATGCGGAAGGAAACTTTGACGAGCGGCAATTATGGCGTGCACGAATACTCGACTTGCGCTGCCCTGACATTCATCACCCTGCCCAGGGAAGAGATAAATACTCTCACATTAGTCACACACTGATCTTCTACTGATAAGGTATGGATGGAAATTGCTTGGTACTGGGCTCCGACGGAATTGGTCGACCTGAAGAGCAGCTTGTACGTTTCCTCACCGTTTGTCCAACACTGAGCTGATTGATTAGCAGCAATCCCCGCCTGTGTGGTCACCACGAAATCGTCAGTTCTCCTATCCATTCCCTGATGATGTTGCAATACGATTGTCATCGATGTCAGATCTATGTTCCCGATAAGCTCGACATTATAAGTTGCGCCACATTGAACGGGCGCGCTGAAGTACACGCCTATGATGACACCGATCACCTGCAATTAGTGCGGATTCGAACTCAGGACTACTACTTCCGGTCATCAGATTTCCTCGCCGTGATGATCTGGATACTAAGACGGCACCAGGTTTGAATACAGCGAGGAAAAGAAGAAGTTCCTGGTGAGCATCAGGGGTAGAACACTTGCGTCTCCCGCATTGACAAAGCACTTCATTCTACAGAAGAGGCCCGGTCGGTCTTGTGTATGCCACTCCAATTCTTCTTTGGATAACCTATTTGCGACTTACAGTACGCCAGCTATGCAGCAAGTCATATATTCCCGACGATGATGAAACGATGAGGCTCTGCCCACGTTCTGAATGCAAGGCCTGTGAGTCCTTTCTGGATATATGTTAGTCTTTTCACTGTGCCCAATCCCCAGGGTACCACACAAGCTGCCTGGAGAAGGCGGGAAATCTATGTTCGCCTTGCGAATCTTCCCATCTGGAAGCTATATGGGCGTCTACACAGGACGAAACATCCTATACCACATTCTCTGATGAGCTGCAAGCGTGTTGGGACTCGAACTCGGAAGAAGTTGATCCCCAGGCCATCCAAGAACAGCTCCACGAGTTGAAATTACTTGCGCATAGGCCATGTTTGCGCGGTGGTTCATATGGCATCGTAAGCAATGCTGGCGTTGTACTCCGAGCACGATATTTGCATGACCTGGTGCAGCACGGCGAGCAGCTGGGGAAGGCGTGGAGGGATTTTGTCTGGGGCGAAGATGGAAGGTGGAGCATGCCGAGGTTCACGCTCACCGTAGTACGTGACGGGATACAGGATGGTATGGTTGTAACATATGTCTGTCCAGGGTGTAAAACTCCGATCTAGAGATGTACGTCCCTTTATCCTCACGTGCTTGCCTACAACATATTGATCCGCAAGCATAGAATATGGAGAATAAAAATGCCAAATAACGTGCAGTCGAAAATGCGCTGTTGCAAGCATTAGTACTGGTGTATGTATGCACGACGTGTGTTTCAGTACACATAATGGTTTTTCTCAGACGAACGTGGAGCCGTAGCTCGAGTCGTCAGACGATGTTGGCAAAAAAAAACATCATCATCAGAGAATTGACAAGACAAGGTACTTACTGTGCATGTTTAATACGCAGACCATAGATATTTTATGCGCAAAATATATACTGTAACATTTTCTTTTACTGCTACCCAAATACGGCAATATTCCTCCCCGACAACTCGCCGACCACGCGTCGCACTTGACACGGAATGTGACTCAGGGTCTCAGCACGCCAACGATGATGTCAAAGAGGTCGAATCATGTCGAGTCGTATTAACTCGACTTGACTCGACCCAGCACCAAGTTGACCAATCCATCGTGACCAAACCAGCACCAACTGATCTATATTCCTGCGTCTGATGGTTGAGGAGGTTTGATGAATGCACTTGAATGGGAGCGACCCACTTTCTCTCCGCGCATGGCATACATTGAAGGTTCACACTTCCGGGGCTATGACAAGAGCGCCCAGAGAAGGCGAGCCTATTCACAGTATTATATTACTACGTAGCCCAGCTGGGTGTTCTTGGTGACCTTTCCCACCGCTTCCCCAAACGCATTCTGAATCGACGTGAAAGTATGAACTTACCGAAGCCCGCCGAGGCAGGCAGGGGCCTGCATATGGGCACTAGTAAGTATTCGTAATCAATACATGAGCATTCTGATACGCCCATGCGTGCATTAGGTGACCTTACAGGCTCCCACCGCAAGCCCTGGAGTCAAGAGCTGGAATTGGTGGATCCCTCCCCGGTAGTGAGTACCATGTGCACTGCTGCCGAACTTTTTGGAGAGGGTTGAGTCCTTGGATTTATATATCATTGATATAGGCCAAACAATGCTGTTTGGCTTGAACCATGCAAGCCCCTGGCGGGAACGGCGGACTTAGAGGGGGAGCGGATGACTTAGAGGGGGAGCGGAAAACCGGAAACAATCAGGCCAGTGATGCATCACCATGGCCATCGGACGCGTGTGTTTTTTCCTGCGAAAAAAATGCATGCGTCTGACCCCAGTCCTTCAGCTCACTGTCCTCTTCCCTCCTTCCATCCACCACCTTACCTCAATCCAGAAATCTATTCTCTCCAAACAGCTTTTGTCTGTGATACGATGATCCAGAGCAGGACGAACAGTACGTCCTTTCCGTATAATCCAAGGATACATAGTGACCTCTGAAGACTCAGTGGTCTTTGCTGGACGTGCGGACCATCGACATGACGCGCCTTCCTCGGCACCTCCCTCCCCAAGTCGACCTACCAGTACCACCCGCAATCGTGCTGCCCGAACGTCTGCTGGAACTGATGTTTTGCGCCACGCTGCCCGAAAGACAGTTGGTCCTTACCCTCCCCGCAGTCCGTCGCCTCCTCCCCGGTCCAAGGCACTCGTACAGCAGCGTCGGAGGGAGAAAGAGAAGGCAACTGCGAAGGGACGTCGAGTTCTGGACAAGGAAAGAGACACAAGTCAAGGTGTCATTCTCCCAAAAGATTTCTCCGGTCTTCCGGGAAAGCTAGAGACACAAACCGATACACCTAGTTTAGACCAGCTGATGAAGATGATGCAGGTGATGCGGATCAGATGTAAGTTTAGATGAGAATTTTTGTCTTAGCCGACACTGATTTGGATGAACAGATAGGTCGCCCAAGGCGAAAACATGGGTGACTTATGCGGTCGGCGACAAGTGCGTGACATCTCTTTCTCTTATCAACTAACTACTAGAATCTGACAAATTGCGGAATTAGTGTTCTTTTCGTCCCTCCCGGAGAGGAAGTCACGGCGAATGCAAGATTTGGAATAAAAGACACGGATCTTTGGCGTGCCAGGATCCTGGAAATTCGCATCCCTAACGATGGCTGCATCACTGGTGCCAGCAATACGGATAGCGAGAGCGATGGTAGCAGTGTGGATGTCAGTGACTCGGAGAACAGCACCAGCGAGGGCAGTGGCAACTTCGCCATCACAGAAACAGACGGTGGGCCTGTCATCCCTGTCAAGCATGTGAGTGTTTTACTTGTCATGCTCCTTGACTGCTGACAGTTGTCTAGTCTTACGTGAAGATTGCTTGGTACTATTCTCCATCATATTATGATACTCTTTCTGTTCCGGCGCGATTGAGAGGCTAGTAAGTTTCTTGATAACGCGCGTCTTAAGGTTCACATCCTAACTCACGACAGCCAGCCTAGCGACTTTGGGGAACGTGAACTAGTAAGTCACCTCCGTCACGTCGACACCTGTGGCTTACTCGGAACAGATATGCACTCCTGATCACTTCGATATCCAGCATGTCTGCACTCTCAACGGTAAGCTGCCTTTCCTGGGTACATGTAAAGATCCATGGCTGACCGAGAATTAGGACACGAGGAAATATATCCTTTCAACGAAAGGACTTGCGAGGTTGAGGACGTTCCGGATGGTGCCTATTATTACCGGTGCGTTCACTGAATTATTCACACCGTCAACTGCTAATATAGTTGCTGTAGATCATCCTTCCTCACTCGTGAGCGCGAATGGAAGGTGCGTTTTCTCTGATATCCTTACTTTCCTGAAACTCATCTGTGACTAAGATCGATCCGCCGAAATATCATTGCGTTCGTATTATTTCTTCTCATTCGTTGATAGTGGACTGACCTTACTATGACTGCAGATTTGTGCACAGACGTACAAGTTATACGACGACAAGGCGATGCACTACTGCCCTCGCCCTGGGTGCCACACATGTAAGCTCGCACCTAAGAGAAAATACAAGGTATACTGATGAAACCGGTCGTAGGGTACCACGAGGGCTGCCTCAAATCCCACTCAAACCGAAGTTATCATTCCGCTCTCTCCGATCTTGAAGAGCAGTGGGAGATGGCGATCGACGCTACCCGACTCAAACCTATGAGGGAGGAGCTCGAGGCTGCCATTGATTCTTCTCTGCCTGAGCGCAACCCAATCTCCGAAGACATGATTGCAGAGGTGCGTAGACTCGCGAGGCAACCGATCGTCCGCGGGCCTCCACATAGCACGATCGGGAATGGCCCAATTGTGCTCCGCGCGAGGTTCGTGCTGCGCCAGCTGCGTGAAAAGCTGGAGATGCCGGACAAACTCGATTTTGTCAAACGCAAAATGGTGAAGCGGCATCTTCCTGGAGGGGGTACGAGCAGCATGATGAGGAAGAGGTGCAAGATGGAAAAGTTCGAAGCTAAGAAGCTCAAGTCGGGTGAGGGTTATAAGTACTGGGCTTACAAATGCCCGAAATGCAATGGGCCAATCTGATCGTGGTAATCAAGATTATCTCTGAGTTTTTTCCCTACTGTTCTGAACACCTGTACGATTAGCCGTGTTGATAATTACAAAATCCAACTTCATCAATCATGTTGCGAAAGGTTTTGCTATCACACACGTGACATTGAGTTGAACAGTCACCAAGGCCTTCGCTGTTGACCTCTCGCACGCCCTATTGAGCGCATACATCTACCATGCCTCCTCCTCACCCGCCCACCACCTCCCACAGGAACAAACGCGTCCATCCATCGACATCTACCCCGTTGCTACGTCCATCGCCGCTCTCTCAAGTACTACGAGCTGACGACAGAGAGGCCGAGGACGCGTCGAACCAGCAGGGCGACGATGACGACGGGGGACGCACACCGACAATAGCACGCAGGGCACTACCTCAGCCTCATGGTGGTCCTCAAAATCCACACGCGCATGAGCATGCTGTCCATTCGCAGTCGCATGCTCATTCGCGAGCGGTGCAACGCTCGCACCCACACCCTCGGGCTTCCTCTGGTCCGACTAGCGCGCCTTCGACACCTGGAGCAGGTGGAGCAGGTGGGGCAGCTCAACCTCGACCCATAATAACCCCTTCGCAGCGCCGTCCCCTGACAGCGCGCTCTTACTTTCAGCAATCGCAGCTCTCTCCCCTCTCCCCGCTCGCACCTGGCCAACGTGACCCGTTTGCCCTCGCTCCTTTAGGCATGTCCGACGCATACTCCGGTCTTATGGGGTCAGGCCAAGTTAACTACCTCAATGGTGGTGCCGCCTGGGGTATCCCTCAGGCGTCCCCGATGAATACACCCTTCCCCATATCGAAGCCTAAGACAAGAGGGAGGTCGCACACCGTTACATCCGCACACCCCTCATCATCCTCGCCAACCAGCTCTTCTTCCCCATCGACGTCACCCGACACATCCACCGCATCCCCACCTATTACCAGCGTGCTGCGTCAAACCTCTGGGGGACGTCGCCGCGCCTGTCCGCCGAGTCTGATGTACTGGTCCCGTGCACCTATCATCCCACCGTACCCCACGCATGCGCACGCCCATACTCCGAAAGGCGTTCGCAGCGCATCCTGTACCGTGATGGATACAGCGATCTGGTTCTTTGGTGGGTACGACTCGAAAGAGACAGTGGAGGATGTGTGGGTGTTGGATACGGAGACAAGGGAGTGGGAGAGGGTCGAGATGCGCGGTGAAGGGCCGGGACCATTGAGAGCACATACCGCAGTAGGGGATGAGAGGTATATATTTGTGTTTGGTGGTGGGAGCGGGGACGAATTCTCCGACGAGCTCTGGGCGCTTGACACGTGTATGTTCTGTCTTGCCATCTTGAATTCGCGCGATCCTCAGCTGACTCTTGGTACGATCAGTTGAGCAGACATGGCACCTGCTTCCCTGTTCTGCCCCTTCCCCTGTCCCCCGGCGCGCGCATAACTCTTTTATCTACGACGAGCATTTATACGTCTATGGCGGAGGATCAGGACACGACGCCCTCTCCGATCTATGGAGGATTGACGTCTCGTGGGCTGCGCTCGCTCGATCGAAAGATGAGCCACTGGTATGGGAAGAGCTCCAAACAAGCGGTTCCGCTCCCTCGGATATGCCTGTTCCCGGTGAGGAGGGGTCACCAGAGGAGAACACGCCTAGAGCGAGAGGGTATACGAGCGCTACGCTCGTCGGAAACGTGCTTGTTGTGCTTGGAGGACAGAGTGGGAGGGATGGGGACGGGGAGGGACCGTGGGGGGACTGTTGGGTGTTAAACCTTGGTAAGTTCACCCCTGCTACAGTGGGGTTCTTGTCGCGAAAGTTCTGATTTGGTGTTATTGGTAGACGACCTGCATTGGGAAGAGAAGCATCTTAACCCTCCCATTCCACTCGCCAGTCATACGGCGACCCTCGTCGGGATGTACTTGTTCATCTTCGGCGGTAATGACGGTTCGAGGTACTGTAATGATCTGAGGTTACTGAATCTGAGTACGTCCAAGTTCTGGCTACCCGTTGTCGATTATGTTTAGACGCTGATCGCGGGAATAGTAACAATGCAATGGGAAACCCCCAAGATCCGAGGACATCCCCCTCCCGAGCGTGCTCAACATCAGGCCGTCTTAGTCGACGCCCGTCTGTGGATCTTCGGCGGCTTTGATGGAAGAAGATACTTCGAGGAGCCCTATGTGCTCGATTTGGCGGCGAGCAGCTGGTTGATGGGAGTCACGGAATTTGGGGTTGGGGAGGAGGAGGAGGGCTGGGATTAGGTGCCTGATCCCAGCATGATAAGAAAGGGATGGTGCGTGGTGGACTTGTTCGGTAAAGATGTCGGGAGACCAGTTGGCTTCCAGAGATGGTACGTCCTTCACGCGGTCACGGTACCTACTTTCCCTTTGCGTCAATCTGATTTCGCTTGCAATACCCGGGAACAATCGTTTTCAGATCATTGGACTAAGATTGTAAAAGTTCGACAACCCTTTGGCCTTCCAGACCCGGTATCCGCTTCTTATAACCATACCTTCGCATCATCCGATACTTGTTCGCCATGCGTCATCTCCTCTGGAACCACCCGTCTCCCATCAGTACCGTGCGGCGAGCGCTTGCTGCCTGGCGCCTGTAGCCATCAGTTAATACATATTTAAGGCGGTCAATTCAGTTTTACCTGAAAGGAGGGGATGTGGCGCCTTTGGCGAGGGCCGGGCATGGTGCGTAACTGCATGGTTTTGCAGGGAGAAGACCGTGACAGCCCGCATTGATGAAAAGTCGTCAAGACATCGTGCAGCACCCCTTCGGCTCTTCTTCGCTGTAATGAGTGATAATAGGCACCATCCGGAACGTCCTCAACCTCGCAGGTCCTTTCGTTGAAAGGATATATTTCCTCGTGTCCTAATTCTCGGTCAGCCGTGGATCTGCACGTGTACCCAGGGAAGGCAGCTTACCGTTGAGAGTGCAGACATGCTAGGTATCGAAGCGATCAGGAGTGTAGATCTGTTTCGCATAAGCCATGTACAGGGATGTGACGTTATTGCAGGTTACTTACTAGTTCACGTTCGCCAAAGTCCCTCGGCTGGCTGTTGTGGGTTAGGATGTGAACCTCAATATACACGTTATCAATAGACTTACTAGCCTCTCAATCGCGCCGAGAAAGACTATCATAATATGCCGGAGAATAGTACCAAGCAAAGCCTAGACAACTGTCAGTGATCAAGTAGCATGACAAGTCACATGCTTCAGGGACAACAAGCGCCCACGTGCACCGTCTGTTTCGGTGACAGCGAAGTGGCCACTGCCCTCGCTTGTCCTGTTCTCCAAATCACTACCAGTGTCATCACTGTCCACACTGCCTTCATTGCTCTTGCTGCTGCTATCAGTATTACTGGCACCAGTGATGCGGCCATTGTTAGGAAAAGGCAACTGCAAAGGGACATCAAATTCTGGACAAGGAAAGAGACACAAGTGAAGGCATCATATCCCCGAAGGAATTCTCGGGTCTGATGAGGAAGTCACGATGAATGAACAATGGTCATCAAGGACACGGTTCTTGAAGATCCGTGTCCTTGATACCAAATCGTTCATTTGTCGTGACTTCCTCTCTGGGAGAGACAAAAAGAACACTAATTCCGCAATTTATCAGATTCTAGTAGCATCACCTCGACCCTGCGGCTTATGCGAAACAGATCCACACTCCCGATCACTTCGATATCCAGCATGTCTGCACTATCAACGGTAAGCTGCCTTTCCTGGGTACATATGCAGATCCACGGCTGACCGAGAACTAGGACACGAGGAAATATATCCTTTCAACGAAAGGACCTGCGAGGTTGAGGACGTTCCGGATGGTGCCTATTATTACGGGTGAGTTCATTGAATTATTCACACCGTCAACTGCTAATATAGTTGCTACAGATCATCCTTCCTCACTCGTGAGCGCGAATGGAAGGTGCGATTTCTCGAATATCCTTCCTTCCCTGAAACTCATCTGTTACTAAGATCGATCCGCCGAAGATTCATTGTGTTCATATTGTTTCTTCTCATTCGTTGATAGTGGACTGACCTCACTATGACTGCAGATTTGTGCACAGACGTACAAGTTGTATGATGACAATGTGATGCACTACTGCCCTCGCCCTGGGTGCCACACTTGTAAGCTCGCACCTAAGAGGTATACTGATGAAACCGGTTTTAGGGTACCACGAGGGCTGCCTCAAATCTCACTCAAACCGAAGTTATCATTTCAATCTCTCCGATACAGCGATCTCGTTCTTTGGTGGGTACGACTCGAAAGAGACGGTGGAGGACGTGTGGGTGTTGGATACGGAGATGAGGGAGTGGGAGAGGGTCGAGATGCGCGGTGAAGGGCCGGGACCATTGAGAGCACATACCGCAGTCGGGGATGAGAGGTATATATTTGTGTTTGGCGGTGGGAGCGGGGACGAATCCTCCGACGAGCTCTGGGCGCGTGACACGTGTATGTTCTGTCTTGCCAACTTGAATTCGCGCGATCCTGAGCTGACTCTTGGTACGATCAGTTGAGCAGACGTGGCACCTATTTCCCTGTTCTACCACTTCCCCTGTCCCCCGGCGCGCGCATAACTCTTTTATCTACGACGAGCATTTATACGTCTATGGCGGAGGATCAGGACACGACGCCCTCTCCGATCTATGGAGGATTGACGTCTCGTGGGCTGCGCTCGCTCGATCGAAAGATGAGCCACTGGTATGGGAAGAGCTCCAAACAAGCGGTTCCGCTCCCTCGGATATGCCTGTTCCCGGCGAAGAGGGGTCACCAGAGGAGAGCAAGCCTAGAGCGAAAGGGTGTACGAGCGCTACGCTCGTCGGGAACGTGCTTGTTGTGCTTGGAGGACAGAGTGGAAGGGATGGGGACGGGGAGGGACCGTGGGGGGACTGTTGGGTGTTAAACCTTGGTAAGTTCACCCCTGCTACAGTGGGGTTCTTGTCGCGAAAGTTCTGATTTGGTGTTATTGGTAGACGACCTGCATTGGGAAGAGAAGCATCTTAACCCTCCCATTCCACTCGCCAGTCATACGGCGACCCTCGTTGGGACGTACCTGTTCATCTTCGGCGGTAATGACGGTTCGAGGTACTGTAATGAATTGAATATGAGTACGTCCGAACTCTGGCTGCCCGTTGCCGATTATGTTTAGACGCTGATCGCGGGAATAGTAACAAAGCAATGGGAAACCCCCAAGATCCGAGGACATCGGAGGAGGAGGAGGGGTGGGATTAGGTACCTGATCCCAGCATGGTAAGAAAGGGTCGGTGCGTGGTGGACTTGTCCGGTAAAGATATCGGGAGACCAGCTGGCTTCCAGAGATGGGACGGCCTTCACGCGGTCTTTCCCTTTCCGTCAATCTGATTTCGCTTGCGATACCCGGGAACAATCGCTTTCAGATCATTGGACTAAGATTGTAAAAGTTCGGCAACCCTTTGCCTTCCAGATATTATAACCATGACTTCGCATCATCCGATACTTATTCGCCATGCGTCATCTCCTCTGGAACCACGCATCTCTCATCAGCATTGTGCGGCGAGCGCTTGCTGCCTGGCGCCTGTAACCATCAGACCCTCTCTCCTCCATGACAGCACCTGATCGGCCAGGGACCAGAGCCGCGGTCCCCGCCAAATTGTATGCCACGTCAATACATATTTGAGGCGGTCAATTCAGTTTCCCCTGAGGGGATAGGGTGTGGCGCCTTTGGCAATCCGGAGGGGCCGGCACCGTGCATAAATGCATGGTTTTGCAGGGAGAAGACCGTGACAGCGTGCATTGATGAGAGGTGCGTGCTATCTTATTAGAAGATCAGCTCGATTTGTCATGGCCCTGGCAGTCGTAGTGCGCAGTTCGTGAGACGAACGATCGAAACACGGGACAGGAATACCATGAATGCTCGTGAGCCATTAGTGCACGCTCTGGGGGATATCTAGCTATGCTGTCCTATAGGAGCGGTGAGATATAAAAAACCAAAAGACATAAAACAGTCCATGCCCAATGACGCACGATCGTCGCCCGTTACATCCCATGTTTGTTTGATATATATATGATACCGAGTTCGAACTTGAGGTGCCTGCAAGCCTCCATGTACGAGAAGGAAAAGTCGTCAAGAAATCGTGCAGCACCCCTTCGGCTCTTCTTCGCCGTAATGAGTTCGCTCGGGTCCGTCCTCGCCCGCCAGCAAGTCTGCCGTGCGGTCCAGTATGTTTTTCTGCCCAGGCGCAATCAGAATGTCAGCGTGAGCAAAACGAACTTCCTGAATGGGGACAGAGCCTACATGGTTGTACTTGCGCACCGCACGTACTACCGCATGGAATGCTTCGTCGATATTTTCCCGGAATTTGGCGGAGCACTCCATAAACCCGCACTTCATACGTCGTGCAAGCTCTTCGCCCTCTATAATGACAGTCAGAATCACGCACAGCTCGTTCAGAACATTTCCAAGAAAGTTGGAAGATCATCCCACCTGAAGTCTTGACTTGTCGCCGATCAGCAAGATCGGCCTTGTTGCCGAGTAATATTATCGCCGGGTATGTAGCCAGGTCCTTTGCCTGGCAAATCTCGTCGTGAAATCGAGAGACGTCGTTGAACGACACTCTTGATGTAATGTCATAGACGAGGAGAAAACCTTGTGCCGATCGAAGGTAACCTGGACGCATCAATCTGCGAACATTTTTCATCAGTGCCCGACGGTCAAATCAAGCCGAGGACAATTGAATACCGATATTCTTCTTGGCCTGCCGTGTCTATTATAGCGAGCATGACTTCTTGTCGGTCAACTACCGCCGGCTTTCGGTAGGTGTCTGGGCGGCCTGCGTCAGCCAGATCTTCTCAAAGCAAATTTTCCACAGAGGGGGTCACCTTCGATTGTCGGATCCCAGCCCATTTCGAAACGACTTTGGACGTATTGGATTGTAATGGCGGACTTGCCCACACCTAGAAACTTCATCAATGAATGAGGGATACCTTGTCAGGCTAATGACGTCACCTCCGCCTCCCAGGACGACCAGCTCGTGCTCTGGTATACGCTTGCGGGATGTTGACATTATGGAATGCCAGGAAAAGCCAGAAGGGAGCAGCAAGAGAAAGTAGCGGAGGGACACAGGAGAGTAGATCAAAGACGGCTGGAGACCCTATATAGTGGTTGACAACTGAGGATTCGCCATTCTTACGAGAAGTCCGGGACAGGAACCATCCCTCATGATCGGATGTAGGCCCCTCTTTTGGCTCCGCGGGATTCCCTGCTTCGTACCTTCACATTATCCACCTATTTCTGCTCCCATCAGTATCGTTCCGTCTTCCTTTTTCTCACTCTTGCGTATCCCGTTGACGCCCAGCGAGCTCTCTGATAATCATTTCTTGACTGCGGTGATCGCGGATTGTTTGGAAGCTCAGCCGAGACCGCTCGGGCCGTCATCCTCGCGAGTTACACCTCGAGGAGGTCAACCACACTCAATCACCCGGCATGCGGGGATGTCACCCCGCTACCTCATGGTGACTACCTTCATCAGTTGCTAAGACTTTCAACAATTGTCTATTTAGCTCGGATCCTCCAACTATCTTATATGGTACCCTGGTTACGAGGCTGGCCCCTCTTTCCATCCGAATCCTTTTGCACCGGTTCTTTCTCCCGTGCATCGTGCAATCTTCCAATCCCAGTAGTCTACGCTCAAGCATCACGGATCATATTCCGGATTTTATTTCTGTGCTCACGGCATAGACCTACGCAAATAGAGAAAGCTCGCATTCACGGCCAGCCAGCACTTCTTGACAGCACTCAATCAGCGGCGGTGTTGGCACCCGGATGCCATTATCGCACCCGCGTGCCTCGACCTTCGGCGATATGAGCTCGACAGCGCATCATTACTTATCGCGATTCTGCGTGAGGCTCATATATTTCCATGTAAAGGGTGAGCAAATAGGAAACACTGGTCTACCCAAGGTTTTGGTCGTGTGACCATTGCAAAACCAAGCCTTGTTATGTGAAGCGCATTGTGACAATAAACCTCTGTCCAGGATCTGACGGGCATGCCAACAGCCATCTGAATGTGTACAATGGACCGGGCCGTCCGGAAGCGGATCTAGATCTGAACCATCGAATCCCCGACCCCAGAAGACCAGAACCCACCATGCCAGGCTTCTTGGCAGGCTTCCTTTTTGGGGTATGGCCGCCTCTCGATGCCAGGAAATACGAAAATTTCACACCCGCGGCGACATATCACTCATATGGATCTTCTGCCTTCGGAAACTCGAGATCCTGTTGCGAATGTCACAGAAGTAACATGCTTCGGCGATGCACTTTGCGATCGGCGGCATCGGTCACATGATAACACTTTATATAGCAAAGTACGAGTGCTGATGGAGCAAAATCCAACGTCCGGAATGATGCGCAATTTCCCTATGGTACTAGTACTTGGCACATTTTCCTGATTTTCGAGTGCATGGCCCGCATGCTCATTAAATGGGCATGAAAGCTCGTTGTGGAGAGGAGTGCTCTCAGCCGCATGGTCCCAAGTACACGATCGTGCAACAAATTTGTATTTCCATCCTGCCAGCGTGAGAGACCAGTTTGCAGGCGCTTTAATTCCAACCCAAACATCATACGTACACCACGTGCAGGGATTTTTCCGTGAGCTTCTTTTCCGACATCACACCATCCTCGGACACCCGGGAAATGAGACAGCGAAAGAATTGTTCAGTTGCTATTTCCGGCTTTCAGCTTTAATTTCCATGCGGCATGATTATGCTGCCTTATGAGATGTTACGCCATAAATAGATAGTTCCTCGAGTGAGTCACGTGTTGGCACCTCGCCTATGTGTTGAACCCCGTGGCTCATAAGACATTGATGTCGATTCTCATGTTGCACATGGATCATTTTCCATCCGAGCGGACTACCAAGTAAGCCACGACCGTACGGTACCGCTCACCCCAGAGATCGGCAACCGAACAAGCCGTCGGATCTACACCTGGCGTATTTAGCCACATGCATCCCAACATTGTACTCTTGCACGAGACAACCTTGTGAGAAGAAAGAAAGTTCGCCGAGCACGGAAGATAAAGAGCCCTTTGCGCCCACACTGATGCAGATTCAGTTCTCCTTTCTTGCACGTCGTCGAACCCGTGATACCACCTGATGCGCGGCATCAGATAGTTAGGCGCCGACACACGTCACATCATGTTCGCTGTTTAACCCATGCGCCTGGTGTGTGGGTCCCGCTGAATCCGAGAGATTCCTCGTGCAACGAGACGGATTGTATGTTGCAGCGAAAGAGAATCAATACGGTACGTGATTTTGTGGTGCAATCAGCGGAAAAGCTGCCGTAGAGGTCGTACTCTAGATGAAAAGTTGATGGCCGTGTAGTTCCACGTTGGCGCCCGCTTCTAAGCTCAGGGTTGTACCTAGGTTGCCACGCGGTCAAACATGTAACACGTGGAAAGGCCCCTGGCAGCACCTGGGTTGGAGTGCCTGTGCTCTTGCAATTTCTATCACGTCTGTAATCTGTATGCTTGAGCGGTCATCTTACAGTATCGTCGGAGAAATAAAGACATCACTTAGGGGAGAGAGCCACACGCTGCGATTTCTTCAGGCAGCACGCGGAGAACCGGCTCCCGGCTCACAATGATGGCACTGCATTCATGGAGCTCAAACCCAGCGCGTGCTTGGCAACGGCTCAAACCGGACAGTTGCTGCGAACAAAGACCAGCCACAAAGACTCGCATATAGACACAAGACGCATGTCGAACTCAATCTGCACGTCTGCATATTGCACATCTGCTGGACGACCACACAGCGATACCAGATGCCAACCGTTCAGTGCGTGCGACGCATGGTTTCTACAATCGCGCCGTCAGTGCGATCGGAGATTCTCGAAACAATAGGATCGCATGTCAGAGGATCGAGCTTCCCGAGTTTGCGTATGTATTTTGTTCCCCCATCGCACAATTCATCATCAAGTGCACTGGCGCAGATGAATCCGATGAAGATCAGCTTTCGTTTCCCGAATGCGTACAGCGCTCAAAGCTCCAACACGCTTATCTACAAGGTTGACTACGTCGTTCATATTTCGTCCTCCCCTGCGTTGGCCTGAGACTGTGAATCGGACATACGGTGAAAGTTCTTATATCCGAGAGTTCAAATTCACTCGCTCACCGCACACAGTAGTCTTCACCTCATGACGACCATCTTTAACACTCGTTCTGGATGTCTATGCTGTGCAAATACATGATATACCGGTTTCATGTGGGACTTACTGCTTCCCCTTCGCCAAGTCGGCGTTGTACAGCAATGCTCTGTCTATGAAAGGTATCGGGGAAGCTGATGTTAAGCACTGGGCATACGCATGACCGAGTCGCTATACTTCGCCGACCCACTTGCACATGAATCCTTGAGGTTGACATGCAGCTTGCCCCGATCAATTTTCTCTTGACGATCTCGGCTGCAGCATACTTTCAGTGAAAGTGTCACCAACTATTTCCGCGCAGGTGCAGTTAAATGGCCCGAATATGGAAGACCGAGATGTCACACGAGTACTTCACCGACAACTGGCGGAGACAAGGTCAGGATGAATACTCAGACTTCTCCTACCATGTGTCTCTTATCTATCTTGATAGGTCTCAAATCGCACACCTGGATCTATCAAACAACGATGCGCTTCTTTGCGTTCAGTGTCTTGCTAGTCCTGGCGAGCGCTATCCAAATCCCGCTCTGTGGCGCCTCCTCTTACAGCAACCCTTAGCCCACCATGTCCCATGTGTCCAACTTCCCCAGGGTAACCGTGTATGTATGCAGAGGGCCGCTCGCTATCTGCCCGTCTTGGCAACAGAGATCGTGGACCAGAACAAGCACGCGTGCGCCCTCGGCCTGCAGGAGATAAACCTCAAGCGCATCCTCATGGGGAACGGATTACCGCCTCGCCCAGCATACTCCCAGGATATTATGAGATGATGTGAACGGGAGTGAGCGTCCCGCCGATTCTGGTGAGTGTTGCGTTGGAGTTTTGAGCTTGCATGCTTTACAGTTGTCGTGGCAGGGCATCAGCCATGTGTGAGGATGAAACGCCCTGTAAGCCTTTTTTCCTCAGGCTAACCCGATCCATCTCCCTCGCTGCATGGAAACGACCCAAGCCGCCTGCGTGGACACCTCCGATCTTCTCGCCTGCGTGGACATCTCCGATCTTCTCGCTTGCACGGCGGCGAACCTCTTCTGCATCTCGGAGATCGACTCGCCATTCCTCAGCTCCGGGCGGAATCCGTACGATGTTTCACGGGAATGTTGACTGTCCTTCGGAACACCGAGCTATTCCGCCGCTCTGTTATCCTATCATAGAAGACATCGTGCGCTACTTGAATCCGAATAGTACACGCCAGATCCTGGGAGTGGATCGTAAAGTGAGCAAGATCGAGGGTTGCTCGAACGGGGTAAACCATACCTGTGCGTTACTACATGCTACCGATCCTCTCGCTCGCGGCTGATACCTCATAGTCGATCAAACACTGGACGTCATTCTCCCCAGACCGATGTACGTCGCCGCCCTGCTCGAAGGGGGCGCAGCGTCCTCGTCTATGCAGGCACGTACGACTGGCTCTGTAACTGGGTCGCGCACCTGCGGTGGGTCGAGCCGCTCGACTGGGATCGCGGGAAGGAGTTCAAACAAGCGTCTATGTGGGAATGGGCCCCAGGGGCAGCAATACCCAGCTGCTCACTACTTCACGTGCAGCATGGAGCGCTCGCAGCGCTAACTTCTCCGGCCAGCGGTTCACCTTCTCCAGCGCCTCTACCGGTTCGTCTTTCGGCACCTCAGGTTTCCCAATACTTCAGCCCTACCCACCACCTACACACAGAAAAGCACTCGCCAGATGCCCCGCACCCTCAACAGCAGCGTTCGTAATCCCCTTCAAGGCTTTCATGAACCTGACTTGCAAGTTTATTAGGTGGTGCCTGCAGTCAGTTGTGTAAGCATTGTACTTAACATACGTTTCACACAGATATTTGACACGGGATGTAGGATGCAAAAGCCTTCAACATCCCAGGAGCGTATGTTGAGAAAAGACCTCACGTGAAGAAACCCACAGCTACAGTATCAACGCAGACCATCGACGGACAGTGACGCACATGTCTCGATCACCTCGATCACCTCGATCAACCCGGCTTGATCGCCGCTATCATTTCATCCCTTACGTGTTCCCGAAACGGAATCCTATCCCTTCCTGTTGATGTCCGATTCACCTGTTCCTAACGAACACACGAGGAGATAACAGCACGATGTGCAGCATGCAACCTGCAAAGTACTTGCAGGGATAAAACGAGCCGTTCCATACACATGCTATCTAAAATGTGTGAAACTTGTTCCAAAGGAGCGTCGACTGGTCTCTTCTGTCCTGCAGTACTTCCTCCGTGTTCGTCCCATCCGCCCTCCTGGGTTTAGTTCGCTGTTCCTAGTTCCTAGCTCACTCCACTTGCTGAATCCCCGGCACTGGCGGAGAGCAGGAGGGAGAGATCAAGGAAGGAAGGACGTTGGTACGACAAGCAGCGGAAGGCAAGGGAGGGCGCAGGCGCGAGTAACAGCAGGAGGAACAGGAAAGAGGGAAAGAGAGAGAGCACGATAGGAAGACTACATACATACCTTACAAAGCTTGCAAATAAACGAGAAAAGAAGGGTGATCGTGTAAATTTGTGAAAGATGGACATGAACGTGGACTAGACTGTCGGGTGTGGTGTGTGGTGTTGTGTCAGGGCTGGGGGTGTGGGTATGTCGATCGGAGGATAGTAGGTGGTGACAAGGGAGATGGGGAGGAAGTAGGTGGGTCGGTTGCAGGTGTATGGTGGGGGAAAGGGTTCCAACGGTGAGGTGAGGGGTGTGTAGGTGCAGTTCTACATAACCACACAAGCACAACACCCACCACCATGCTTCTCATCATCTCCACGACTGACGCCCATAGCCTGCCTCTGCCCTGCCCCGCCCGTAAACCCAGCCACCGCCTGACCAGCAGAGTTGTACCTCCTGATCTCGCGGACAAGGGTTGCGAAGGCGTCGTCAACGTTGAGCCGCTGCTTGGCGGAGGTTTCGATGAACTTGCAGCCGTAGTGTTGTGCTAGTTGACGGCCCTCTGCGCGACGGAACACAAAGGTAGAAGACACTGCGTAAGCAGAAGGGAAGCAAGGGGAAGGGAGGGACGAACCGTGAGCCCCAACCTGCCTCTCATACTCTAGATCGCACTTGTTCGCAACGATCACGACGGGGAAGCTTTCCGCATCCTTGACCCTCAAGATCTGCTCCATGAACTCTGTGATCTCCTCGAACGAGGAACGGGAGTTGATACTGTAGACGAGGAGGAAGCCTTCAGCGGGAAGCATGTAGGTTTCGCGCATCGCCCTGTGTAGGAATGAGCGGAGATGAACGGAGATGAGTGAAGAGGGGAAGAAAAAGGGAGCGTACCGGTATTCTTCTTGCCCTGCTGTATCGAGCACGTCGACATATGCGACCTCTCCGTCAATCAGACATTGTTTTCTATACGAATCTGTTCCTGTGAGTTAGTCTCGTGTTCAACCATAGGGAAATGGCATGGACGCACCCTCGATAGTGGGATCCCACTCGTCTACGAACCTGCTCTGGATGAACTGGATGGTGAGAGCTGACTTTCCGACGGCACCACCGCCGACGACGACGAGCTTGTACTCTCTGAGATATCCGCCTGGTTGGTTAGGTTGGGGTGAGGCCATTGTTAGTTGATGGAGGAGGAGAGAGGAGGGAGTGATGAGGAGAGTCTGATGTCGGTAAGAGGAACAGACCGCGAGAGAGAGGGGAAGGAAGGGGTTCGATGGCGGTGCACGGACCTTGTCGACGAGAAAAGGAGAAGGAATGGGAATAGCGGAGAATGTGAATCCAAAAGAGGCAAAAACGGAGGCGGAGAAGCACACACTCTTTCCAAAACAGGAAACAAAGGGGGATGTTACGCCGGAGGTATTGTCATGTCTAAGATCCCTGGGTGTCAGCGAATGGATTAACCGTCATAATCATCATCATCAATGGCAACAATTCACTATCCCAAACAAACCAACTGAAATCGGAAACACAACAAGCCGCGATCAGCAACAGCCTTCCTATCGCCGATCGGCCGCAAAGCAAGCCATCCTGTCCAGATCGTCATCGTCCATCGCCTGCCTCACTCCTGACCGCGAGCTTATTGCAACTAGGGCGATGCAGGTGTTCGTGTCGCGTGACCTCGAGAGGAATGAGTGCTCCTGATGACGGACTGAAGGATATTGTCATCCCATGCAAATATTAGTCTATTCCAATCAAGCAATTACAGATACCACCGAGTCTCCCACATCACACACAGCTATAGCCCTCACAGAGCCATCTTGTCCAACCAACGGTTCACCATCTCCAGCGCCTCCACAGGTTTATCAAGCGGTACCTGCGTCTCGTCAGCCCTCCTCTAAGCACAAAGCACAAGGACGAACCATATGTCCCGCCCCCTCAACAGTGGCATAAGTCAGCCCTTTCCACCCTTTCGTAATTCCCGCCCTCCCACCACTGACCTGCCATTCTCCCATCGGAACCGCTTCGAACCCCTGTGCTCCGCCCCACTGGAGCGCCTCTACCCACGCGAGGTTGCCGACCCAGTTACAGATCCAGTCCAGCGTACCGACGTAGATTAGCACGTTGATGCCTCGTTCGAGCAGGGCGGTGATATATATCGGTCCGGGTGCGACCATGTCCATCTTTTGACTGACTGCGTTAAGCATAAGTGGGTGCAGAGTCAGACTAGAGAAGCAAGAGACTCACAAGCGGTCCCAACTTCGGCCGAGCATCCTGCAAACCTCCTTACCTTGTCGTCCACCCCCAAGGTCTTACGCGTACTGTTCAAATTCAGATACCTTTCAATAACCCTCACGATCGGGTAACAGAGCGTCTCCTCAATCGGGCCATCACATTCCTGGGAAATATCATACGGGTTCATCCCGGAGGCGAAGAAGGGATCTTCGAGCTCGGAGCTGCAGAAGAGCTCGGCTGCTGTGCATGCCAGGTTGTCGAAGATGTCCACGCAGGAGGATTGGGCCATTTGCTGGCAGCGCGGGAGCTGGGAAACGTTAGCGTGCGAAAACCTGATTGGGAGGCAGGAGGGCTTACAGCGCGCTTCATCCTCACGCACTGGCTGATATCCTACCCAACATATCAGCTCATACTGTAGCTCCATCTGGGAAAGAGGACATACGAGGATAGGCGGCACACTCGCCCCCGTGCACGCCATCTCATAATAAGCAGGGATCATGGTCATAAAGTCCGTGATCCCGTTACCGATCAGGACGCTCTTGAGGTTTATCTCCTGCAGCCCTAGGGCGGGGGCACGTTTATTCCGGTCCACGATCTCTGAAGCGAAGACGGGGAGGTAGCGTCCCTATATATGCGGTAAGTTGCCGTCAGAAGAGTGAGGCGAGGAAACCTACAGCATACGACTCCCCAGCCATATGGAATTCCCTGCCGTTGAATTGCACAAACGTTTCTACAAAAATCGACACAAACGCCGCAACGTCCTTCGCCGCATCTTCCGTGTTGTCCACGCCCTCATAGTCCGCGTAGGAGAAACCGACGCCCACGGGCTGGTCGAGGAAGAACACGTTCGCTTGCTCGTTCCACGCATATGGGTGGGGGACGGTCTCGTTCCCCGAGGGGGAGAGGCGGCAGGGACCGAGCTCCATGAATAGCCCGAGGGAGGAGGAGCAGCCTGGGCCGCCGTTGATCCACATTAGCAGTGGGTCAGTGGAGGGTGAGCGGCGGGATTCGAAGAACTGCCAGTGGGTGAGTTATGTCCATTGAGCGGTAGGAGAGAGGACATACGTAGAAAAACAAATGCTTCGCCCCGCCCCCGACGTCTAAGTACCCAGACCAGCTTCGGACATTGGGATCGCACCAACCTGTCGTCTGGCGGATGCGGACCGCATACCCCGGGAATTGGGTGTGCGTGAGGGTAGTGTACTCTTCAGACGAGAGTGCGGAGAGCGACTGCTCGGGAGCTGGGAAGTCCTGCAAGGGAGATACGGGGGCAGTGGGATGGCTCCCGTAGGACTGGGGGAAACGGAGTGGGAGTTGGAGGGCGCTGGTTAGGGCTGGCAGGAGGAGCGCGAGGAGACGCATCGCTGCTCGTTAGAATTGCACGGGTTGACACTGGCTACTAAGATGTATCAAAGAAAGCAGACAGTCAAGGAAAGCAGGTCGGTGCGAGCTGGGTATTTATCCTCAGCTTTATATATCACTCGGTCGGCGATGACAGCGAACACGGTCACCCTCGAATGCGGTAATCAATATATTGTGCACGAGTCCCTGGGCCGTTCTCGAACGTGCAACAAGAACGCGGTATATTGCACATTTGGTTGCACAGCAGCACATGCATAAAGGGAAATGCAGAGTATATATAGTCAGACAACAGCGAAGGGCGAAAACCGAGCACTAAGTAAGCAATCCATATCCATATCCATATCCAAATCCGACCGTATCTTCGAAACTGTCCAGGTGAATGTGGAAATAGGTCACATAACCACACAAGCACCGCAACAACCCCCTTCTCTCTGCTTCTCCTCCTCGTGCCCGTACCCCTGGCCGTACGCATACGGCACAGGATGCTCGTCGTACCCTGTCGTACTTGGCATCCGGGGTGTAGGCTGGTGCAGGTGCGAGTGGGATGCTGTGAGCGGGTGTGGGTGGCCGAAGATGTTCTGCGACGGTTTGGCGGTTGGCGGTGGGGGGGCGGGCTGTTGACCAGAGTTAAATTAGCATGAATGGACGATATGCGCGAGTGGAAGGACACACCCGTTGATACTTCCGGATCTCCCGGACGAGCGCTGTGAACGCCTCGTCAACATTTACGCGATGTTTTGCTGACGACTCGATAAACGGTGCGCCGAAGTGTCTTGCCAGATCACGGCCCTCTGCCACCTAGTCAGCCTGGCTTTCCTAACAAGCTGGATGGATGATGTGACGTACCATGTCCCCCGACCTGCCTCTCATACTCCAAATCGCATTTGTTAGCTACGATCACCACGGGAAAGTTGTCCGCGTCCTTCACCCGCAGGATCTGCTGATGCAGCGCTGTGAGCTCCTCAAATGACGTCCGGCTGTTGATAGCGTAGACGATGAGGAACCCTTCCCCAGTGCGCATATACTGTTCCCGCATCGCCCTTCAAACCGATGAGTATATGCACCTAGCGGGAAGTGGTGGGACGTACCCGTACTCTTCCTGCCCTGCTGTGTCTAGCACATCTAGCAGGGCGACTTCGTCGTCCACCACCACCTGTTTCCTGTACGAATCTACACACAGGGTCAGCGTTTGCTCTGACGCTTGGGGTAAAACGCACCCTCGATAGTCGGGTCGTACTCATCCACAAAATGGCTTTGGATGAACTGGATCGTCAGAGCGCTCTTGCCCACCCCTACCAAGGACGTCGGCGAGCGCTAACACAGGTAGGAGAGAGACGCACCTCCGTCACCGACCACGACCAGCTTGTACTCTTTCATAAATTCCGACATGATCCTTCAGAGCAGAATGCCGTAAGCCTTCGCACTTCTTCTCGGTATGCGTGCCTCTCAATCCCGGAATGCTCGAGCAAGAGCTTGCCGACAGTACAGTGAGATGCCCAAAGACGTGGCTCAGACCGGTACGTCCAAAGAAGACAGAAGCGGGGTTTGACGTAAAGCAGGAGTGTGCCGAGCAAGCAGGCTTTTGGGCTACGCAAGTGAGGCGGGCTAGCGGCTGGCGAGGTGCTGTCGGTGGTGGCAGGCTGGTGGTGGGAAGGAGGCGGGGGGGGATGAAGAACGGGGATGAGCAAGCGGTGGCTGGCCTCACAGCTCCTTACTAGTACTCCTCAGTGTATGAGCACATAGCATAGTCTAAAGTCGTTTATTTCTCACCGGCGATTGCTTGTCCGTCCTTCTCTTTTCCTTTTTATCCTTTTACCCTTTGCCCTCCACGATTTATGATACACATCGGCAGCAGTCGTAGTCTGCCTACCCACGCCCATGTCCAGGGCTGCGAGTCAAATTTCCTGACATGTTTACGCGATAATGTCAACGTCCTTCAGGGAATGTGCACAGGTTAATCAGGCACTCACAGGGTCTGCAAGGACAAGACAGAATACAAGAAACAGGGGCTACAATCATTTCCCCTTCTCATTTCCAACTCTTTCCTGCAATATTGGCCCGCCAATCACCACTCACCGGGCCGAACGGTGACCGTATGGGAAGGCACGAATATTGGGCAGAATGATTAGTTTACACGTGGGGAGGGGTTGCTACGAAGGGAACAGTTGTTATCAGGAACACTTCCATTCTTTCCATCCATTGTTTCTGGACACTCAGGATTGTAAACATTTACTTTGATATGGCCTGATAGGTAATACGGCTCTTCTAATGAAGAATAGTTTCACGCGTTTCTAGTCACTCAGTTCCATGGCATTTGATCTCCTTAGTTCAGTGCTTATTTACTTCTCCGTCAGGTGGTGACGTCCTATGTCCGTTGTATTGTTGCCCGCAGCTCCATATGGTCCTATACATTTCATACAGAGCTACGCCCCCGGGTAGTTAATAACCATCCTGCCGAAGCGAACAAGGCGGTTCCGGTCTGAACGGCCAGAGTCCGACCAACCCCGTCGTGAGAACGTTAAGTGCTGGAAGACTTCTGTGCAAAGAGTAGTAAATCTGGATGAATGGGTAGACAGACCGTGTAAAAATGAAAAGAACGAGAAATACATGCAGGATCGTAGTGGGACATTGCGAGAGCTGGCAAGAATTGGAGGTAAGGAATGGACAGGGTACTGGGGTAAAAATGGGATGTTCGAGGGCAGGGTACAGGACTGGATGGGGTGGAAGGCAGTCGACAGGGTGAGGGAGGGGAGCGCCTCGAGAGCGCCGTGGGCTGGAAGCACGTGAGTTGACCAGCCGATGGTAGGGGAACGAGTAATGAGCCTGTCCAAGCTCATCACAGAGGGAACGGGTGGGAGTTTGCTGTCTCCTCCCTTGCGTAGATCCAGTCCAAAACCGTGGCGAGCGCAACGAACAGAATCGGGAGGAGGATGGGAAGTCACCCGAGACGGAACAAGTTGCCCGCATTGACGATCCGCACGCCTCCTCGAGGTACCCCTTGGGCGCGCTGCAACGGTGGCTGCTGGCCCTGCTGTTGTTGCGCTGCCCGAGATGCCGAAATCGAGTCCCCAGCAGGTCCGCCGACCACACCCGGGGGCGGGATAATGGTGATGGTTGGGGCGGGAGTCGGAGTTGGCGTGGGAGCAATGAACGGCGCCCCCACAGGTCGATTTGCAGCATCGGGTTCGGGAATAGGAACAAGTGCATGTGGCGCTGTGGCCAGGCCATCTTGGACACCAGGAGTACGGCCCGCGGGGACCGTCGAGCTCCCCTCGCCATTATTATCATCTCGCTGATTGCACCAGAACCTATGGCCCTCTGCCCAAGCGCGGCTTTGGCACTCCTTCCCGCAGTACTTTGCCTTCCTGCAGCGACGGCACTTGGCGAATTCGCGCGGGAATTCCTCCCACCGTCCACAGGACATGTTCGCACACTGCCGGATTCCGCCACGCGACTCGTCCTTCCGGCACGCATTGCGCATGATCACACCCGCCCAGTACTGGATATCCTTCGGCAGAGCGGGAAGATTCGGTTCAGACGGGGAAGGGCGGAAGGTGAACCTCTCGACAAGAGAGAATACGTTTTGCGTAGTGGACAAGGATGAGCGCAACGGTAAGTTGGACGATTCGCCAGGCTGTGGTGGGCCAGAAACAGCGGGCCTTGTGACCTTCGAGCCATTGGACTGCTTGGCTGGTGTGACCTTGCGTGGGCGCCGGGGCTCATCTACAGTACTCGCAACTTCGACATCCTCGTTCCCTTCTTGTGGCTTGGGCTCTTCAGTGGGCGGTGCAGGGTAGTATGGGTCGCGCGGTCTATAGAATGCTTGACGGACGTGTGGGTATTTGCTGAGGTATGCTAGGAGTTGCAGGGCGATCAACACGTCGTCGTCACGGTATTTGACTGGTTCGGGTTTCCCGTCTGCGTTGATGGTACTCTGGTTAGTCAGACTCTCCAGGGTGCGCTGGACGGTCCCACCGCGGTTCAAGGGATTGGTTGGCGGCTGCGCAAAGATGCGCTGTTGCACGCGCACGTTTGGTAAGTTGAGGAACGCCGCTCGAGGCGTCATGTCTTCCCATTGACGGGGTACGTTGTCATTGGTCATCGGCATGGTGATGAGCGGTGTTGGTGTATGAGCACCAGGAGCACCGGGGGGAGCTCCCATGGCCAGGTCGTCATTCGGTTCTAACGTGACGAAGCCTTGGGCGACCCCTGCCCCGGGAATGTCCATACCAGGGGAAAGCATCATGTTCATGCCTTCCTCTCCGATATCGACGATCCCGACGGCGCGGGTATGCTGGGAATTGGCAGTGGGTGGCTCCGCCTCGCTCTCCACATCCATCGCATCGTTGTCATCTTCCTCTTCCTCCGTCCTCCTACTGCGCCTTCGCCTTCCCTCTGGCTGCTCTGAAACAGAAGGAATCGAATCCCACGTTGGTCGACCAACGACTGTGCCGCTCCTATCTCGTCCACTGACAAGGACTGACGCCGTGGGCGTTCTTGACCGCACAGGTGTACTCTCAGCGCTCGTTTCGGTCGAAGCTGCAGAATGCGGGCGGGAATCGGGCTCTGGGTCGTGCATCGGTCGCGCGAGCTGCATTGACGGTGGACGGGATCCAGCAATAAGAGGGATCGGGCGTATCGGCTCGTCTCGTCCTGGGATCGAGTCCACCATCTCTTCATCCCCGTCTGCGTCAGCGCTCCCTGCCTCATCACCGCTCGTCATGGCACTATGACTCCCAGCGCTTGTTGGCTCCTCGACGATAGCAGCATGGAACATGTTGGCGACGGCAGGCAAATTGACATTCATCGATGGGCTTGGACTGAACAAGAGTGCTTGCTGAGGGGCCTGGTTTGCTATCGTAAGAACAGCCGGGTGGATGGTCCGTCCCGCGATAAGGTGGCTCTGGATCGCCAACCTGAGCTCCCTTGCTTGTAGCTCTCGTTCTCGAGCAGCGCGCCTCGCCTGACGCTGTTCTCGCGTCTCCCTCGGTGCACCACTGCCAGTGGGGCTGGGCCCCAGCGCGAACCCTTTGCTTTTCAGCCATGTTTCCAGCACGCTGGCAACAACATCCAACATCCCCGCCTGAACGACTCGTGATCGAATTATCTCCGACCCACGAACACCGATATTGACCACACACTGGAACGCGAGGCTAAATTGGTACGTCTTGGCTCGGTCAACATTGGGTCCAGATGCAGCGGTTAAAATCGGTTGCCCTGGTTTGCGCTCTTGAATATCGACGGCCGAGCATACCAGGTGGTAAATTTGTAAACCAGGAGATGGGGATACGGGGTTTGCACAATACTGGCGGAGAACACGAACGAGACGCTCTAACCCTCCGTCGAGGGTGAGAATCTCGCGTATTCGGGGTGAAGTGGAGGTTAAATAAGTGAGATGCGTGAGGGAATTGAGGAGTGGTAATGCGGCATTGGTGTCGAGTGCTGCATAGACACGTGTCAGTAGATATGGCATGAATTTTCTCATCTTTAGCTGCGTACCTCGGCGGTCGTAAAGCTGTGACGTTATGCATACACAGGCTCGGTTCTGGGACGGGAACGAGAAGTTGCTTTCACGCATTCTCGATGTCTATAGATACAGCGTAAAATCGACACTGAGGTCGATAGATGTCGGTATATAGGTGCGCGGGGCTGCGTATGGTGACAGAGGCAAAGCTGAGTGTCGCCTAGTGTTCGTGACAATGTGCAAGGTCGCGTGCCAAAGACAACGAGGCTGACTAAGACGACTCTGGCGTGGATCAATATGCCATCAAAATTACCCCGAGAATACATACCTGTGTAGTGATTGCTGTTTGCTTGCTGTCCGAGCTGTAAACAATGACCAGACGAGAGGGAGACAGCGAGGAGGATGAGGAGAGGACGACGGACGGTAGGAGGGGACAACCTCGCTCAATGATGGACGGAGACAAACCCGACGCCAGGGGGGCTGTGACACCACACCCCGCAGAAACCGGCAACAGAGGCCATTTCTCATCTCTTTCTGCCTCTTTGTCTATTCACTTCAAGTAACGTAGATTATCAGTTGGCGGATCAAATGGGTTAGCGGGTCACCATATAAAACATAGTAACTTCCGGTCCTGATTACACCACAACACACTTAAAAATGCCCTTGTACTTTTGGACTCACTATATAACTATGAGGCAGGCTGCCTCTCAGTGGTATTTCAATATCTCAAAAATAGCCATCTTTCTGTCATACTGTGCTTGGGCTCCAAATTTGCTTCCGTTTTTCCAGTTCGGTGCAATAACAATTATTTGAGCATTTTCAAACAGTGAGCAGTGAAGCCCTGGTCATAGTTTTATAGCAAGGCCGAAATTACAAGGGCAATTTTTAAGTGTGTTGTGGTGTAATCAGGACTGGAAGTTACTATGTTTTATATGGTGACCTGCTAACCCATTTGATCCGCCAACTGATAATCTACGTTATGCATTTATTATTCACAGAAATACTCTGCTCTTTGTTCCGCAAACACCTAACAACTGTACTTCGCAAAATGACTTTGCAAGCCGATTCGCGACATCGACATGTCCTTGACCTCGACGGTCCTCAGCCTCTTCTGACAATCACACGGCAGTCCTCGAAATGGTCGTACATGCTGACACCCTCTTTCTGTATCTTTCTGCCAGTCACGGCCAGCACGGGTCTGCCAGTCATGTGCACGACCGAGACGTGTCAGGCATTGGCGCGCACCCCATCTCGTTGGTTTTCCAGCCAGTCGCCGATGACGTGTAGCCGAGTTGATGTGCGGTGTGCGGTGATTGGTCAAGCGCCCCGGCCACCATATTTAACATTTTAAGCCCATATTAAATGAATATTCTCCAAGAGAAATGAGCGAAGATTTTGACAAGAGCGTCAGAGCACGGGAAGTTGACGCTCATTGGGCGCAATGCACTGTCTATGTCAGACGCCACATGTGTAAACTTCATTTGACAATATTAAAAGTTGGAGGTGTATGGAGATACGAAACAACCCCCTGCGGAGCTTGGTGCATAGCAATTATCGCCGAAATCGTCAATGTTGAAGCACCGAGCAGAGTCTTATTATTAGCTCTCAAATATTCATTTCCCTACTATCTCGTATATTTTGCACTCCGAGAATATATATTTTTTCATTCAACAATTAGTGCCACTTATACCCTTTTAAGGACCTTACGTCTTATCCACGCTCGCACCGGCATCAGCTTCTGGCGTCCCTTGATGGCAGTTTCGGCTCATGGCATATTACCCGGTCCGCATCTCCAGCGCTGGATTTGACCTCACGGCTCCAGCAGTGTGGCTTACTTCTTATCGACCTTCTCTCAGCCTCATGTTCGGTACTTTCCTGCTAAATATCTCGAATCACCACGTTCCCCTTCAATGAGGCGACAATATGGCTCAGGTCGCCTCTCATCTCCAATCCGCGTCAGGCACGCAGCAAAGGCCGTCGTCACGGCCAGACACGCCTACACCAGCCTCCTCAGATTCTTTGGCCATATCTATACAACACGACCTGGAGGCACACATCTACCCCCTACAGACTGAGCTTGGCCTCCCTAGCCTGCATGACCTCAGCACTCACATAGCCTCACAAAGCGACGATGAAGCCGATACCGGCACTAACACGGCCGATAGTGCTTCCGAGAGCGGACAAACGGATCTGGAGAGCGCACCTTCCATCTACTCGTACAGGAGCTCGAGAGACGGTTTTTTCATGAAGGTCGAGGCGCACGGACGTATGGTTAATGGGCAGACTGATGTGAGCGCAGAAGGTGTAAGGGTCGGGGCGGAGACGCGGCTCATTTCATTCAATTCAGTTGTACGCCCTACCAGCTGATGAGGAGGAGCATGCGGTAAGACATACTCAACCTTTGGCTATTGCCGCCTTTTGCTCATAGAGGAGAACGTCTAGCGACTGGATACCCAGCATGTGATGCTTCTGACCGCTTTGGACGGTCAACTTTACCCTGATCGGAAGCGGGTCGAAGCAGCCCTAGCCCCGACTCCGGACCACGTACGGCAGATCCTGGATGTCGGCAGCGGCGCCGGGGTATGGACGATCCAGATGGCATACCGGTACCCGCACGCTGAGGTGATTGGCGTTGATCTTGTCCTACCTGCGGGGTGAGATTGTTGCTTGATCTGGTAGAGATCGCTGCTGATCAGATGGCTTCCACAGTGATCGCCCACCTCCTGACAACTGCAGGTTCGAAGCTGACGATGTCAGCCTTGGGATGTCTCATTATCAGTCGATGTTCGACCTCGTACACTGTCGTGCTATATCCCACGGGGTACATTGCTAACAATCGCAGATCGGATTACGGTTGACTGACGTTCGGATCAGGTTCCAGATATGGAGGCCTTCCTCGATGATATCGCAGACACCGTCCGTCCTGGTGGAGTCATCATACTTGTGGACGGCATGATGCAGCTGTTCCGAGAGGACAAGTCCCTCATGGATGCGTCCGAGTCATATTTCCAGAAAGTGCTCTTTCACGGGTACAACGCGCTGAAAGCCCGCGGATCCGGTGTAGACACCTGCCTTCTCCTTCGCCGTATGATGGAGAATAACCCGAAGCTGAAGAACCTCGGTTACAAGGAAATCTTCATTCCTATCGGATCATGGTACGACGGTGATGGTACGTTGGAGGACAGACGCAAGTGGCACGAGATGGGAGAGTTGCTCAGGCACGACTGCCATGGGTTTGCGAATGCTTTGAGGCCGCTTCTACTTGGTGAGGGCTACAAGCAAGAATGGGTGGACGAGTGGCTTGCGGAGGCGCATCGCGAGCTGGATGAGAATCGCGTACGTTGTACCGGAGCGAAGATGTCCTTTTCTTACTGATCCGATGTGGCCAGATTCGTGGATGGGCTGTATGGGTGTATTTCTGGGCAGATCGAGAGGATCACGAGATCGCGCCTGTCGACCCTCCCCCTTCGCCACGCGAACGAGCTACAACCGAGGCGACTGGAGAAGTTGACAGTATAGACGAGGTAGTGTCGGGGCTGTCTGAGACCCATCTTGAAGAAAATGACAAAGCCAGCTTGGAGGAGAGGCGCGCTAGAGGAGACTTGGTTCAACTATGGCTTGAACACAGCGAAGATGACGATGAGCACGACCCGAACGAGCATGAAGCCGATGGACCAGAACCGCAAGAGGCTGAGCAGGAGGGCAAGGCTGTTTCTAGCCTCGTTGGGGCTGCGAGTTCTACTGAACCTGTGGTCTCGGGTTTGCCCACAGGAAATCCGGAGAACAAGGAAGATGCAGAAGGAAGTGCTCCTATCTTTGCATTCTCTGTCTGACGCGTCAAGTGTGGTTACCCCTGGAATGGATTTATGACTGGAACGCTTGCGGAGCTTGTATAAAGGAAACGATCTGTAGCAACAATAACAATGATTGAGTATGTCCCATCGAAACGCTATTGTGTAACACTGGAGAGCACAGAGCGGTGATAGTCCACGTTGAAAATTGCCTTTGTCACGCGCCTTGAGACGTTTGGGGGCGGGATCAAGTCATAGTGTGAAAAACGGAAGCAAATTGCAGTGCATCCGGGTTTTTGACACGCGGGGCCCTTCCAGCTGGTCGCCTCACCGCTGTACCACCACCACCACCCACCAGCCTCCACGTCCAACCTCGACACTACCGCCAACATCCATCGACCCATAAGACAGCCACAACTAACAAAGGAGACGACGAGAACGATTTGCCCGTGCCGGTTCGTCGCCGTGCACAGTTTGGGTCAGACGACTTTGTCGACGAATGGCGGTTGCTGTCGCCAGTGTAGTCCCCTTCCCGTGTTCTGACTCACCCGCCGAGTATCGCGCTCCCCTCGCTCTTCCTCTTTTCCCCGCCCCGCCAGTGCGCGTGAGGAGGGATTCAGGCGTCATGGTTGCCCCTGCTGCCTTCTCTGTTCATAGAATGCATGGTGTCTCCTCTAAGGAGATGAACGCGATGTCAAAAACCGGACACGACGAGTCCACTAAGGAAGACATCCTGCCGCAGGATGCTGAACCCCAACCTGCGTCGATCATTGTTTCCAGGAAGCGATCGACGCGTGATGACGAAGATGAAGACGAGCAAGATGTGAGAGAGGAGAGAGAAACGAAGAAGGTATGCAAACTCCCCCTCCCGTATGGGTAGGGTGGTCAGCTGAACACGTGTGCTTCGTTGGCCTGCAGAGGCGCGTTGCAAGTGGTATTACCCTCGTTGATCTCAAAATCAATGTCGTCGTTCCTCCTATCGAGCCCAAGACAGCTCCGATAGTCGAGTTTGAACCCACTGCTGTCGATGATGCAGAAACCGCCGAATTCGACCGCCAAATCGAGGAGATTGAGAAGCAAATCGCTGAAGCGATGCAGAAGCTCGAATCAGCCGAATCGCACACCTCGTCCCGCTCTGCGCCTCCCGCATGCTCTGTTTCTCCATCCTCTCCGCCGGTCGTAAGTGGGGGAAACAGACCTGTGCGCCCGTCCCCTTTGAAAGCATTTGCTGTGACCAAACCCCACGTGCAGCTTTCAAAGATGGCCTCAGTAGAATCTCCTGTCGCACGCCTGTCATCCCCGCCCCCGTCTCTCATCGTTCCACCATCCCTTCCCTCTCCAGCAGTTGACCGACAAGCCAACGGTGGTAAATCAACGCGCGGAGGTGCTAACTCGAGCGCTCCACTTCGACGGTCTCGCAGGCTTAGCTCCCTCCCTCCCCTCACCACCAAAGTCAGGCGGGTCTCCCCCCCGCCCCGTGACAGTCTATACCGTCAGGTGCTTATCAACCAGATGCGCATAGCATCAATGGCTGATGACTTCGGGTCTCCGAGCTTCTCGCCTCCGACCCCTACTACTTCGCTTCCCTCAACGAACGACGATGACGTCGATATGGAACGTGTGGACACCCACGCAAATACGGTCACCCCGACGCCTGAGCCGATCGATCCGCGCCTGTTTCCCCGACAAGGCTGCTTGAAGCAGATGAAGGCCGAACATGAAAGACGAAGAATGGAGAAGGAGTTCGACTGCGAGCTCGCTTGGTTCGCAGCCAAGCTCCAGTGGGAAATGATGAACAAGAAGACCGGTAACAATCGACGTGACCGAGGTTCTTGACCTAGCAATGTTGTTGCCGGTGGGCGGGATTGGTGTTTCCGGATGTGAACAGTTTCGGTGTTTTATGGTGTATTTTCCTCTCTCAAGTGGGCGCGTTTGTAAACACGCCGAGTCAGCTTCATCAAGCGCCTCACTCCCTAAGTACGTTCCAACCTCTCAACTTCATTCTTCTCTCCGTTTCTGTTTTCTCCTGGAGACACATTGTATCTTTCCTGCTGCACTTTGATGTGTGCAAGCAGCTTGCGCGTCATCTGGGTCGTGATAACTGGTATCTGATGTAGTTGTTGATGGTGCAACAATCGAAAACATTAAAATCCAAATTATGTGCGGGTCAAAACGCATCTCGGAATGTTTGGGAATACGTCCACGAGACCGTTTTACCTCCGCTTTATATGGCATAGACGGCTTGGTCTTCACCTCTCATGTTCTCTATCCTTCCTTTATTCGAATACTGCTTTTGTTCAGTGGCGACTGTTTAGACATCGTTCATCATCCTGCTGCTTTAAGGAGACGTATTAGCTTCTGGGGAAGAGACCCGATTGACTCCTTCCGGCCTGCCCGGTGATCATACCAGTTAGCCTTTTTCTGCCGCGCCTTTGCCTTTTTCCACAACCTCCATCTCTATCACTCGTCACGATTACGTGTGCAGCGACTCACAACCCAACGGTAATAATCCGAACCAGTCGTTCCAGTAAGCTTGGTTTTGCCTCCCGTCTAATCACTTCTGCTCAAAGCAACAGACAGGTCCACCTCGAGTGACTCATTAACCAACTCTTCACCCGATCCCGACTCAAATGGCTCGTACAAAAGCAACATCGAAGTCCGCTCGTACAAGTCCAGTGAAGGCCGCGAGAATGACTGCAAGCAAACGTAAATATCTCTCCCCATCTCCGCGTCCTAGTGTCCACGAGTCGCTCATTGACCAATCATTCACCAGATAACGAAATGGCTCGTACAAAAGCAGCAATGAAGGCTGGTCTTAAGCCAAGAATGGCCGCGAGAATGACTTGTAGTCGTCCTTCCCCGTCCCCGCGTCCTAGTCCTGTCGCGAAATCGCGTCGCATAACTGCCGGCTACTCAGGACTCAGTGGAGATCTCACAGAACAAGACGACGTTCCTAGCCAAGCTTGATTATCCAAGATGGACAGCGTCGAAAAGATTGATTGTATGTATTTCATAACATTTGAGAGGAAGCGCATCAACTGAGCCGAGACCAGGGGAAACGCGTGGAACCGGCGAGGTCACCACATATGAAGTTGGAGAGGAGTACGTATGAAATTTGTCTACGCATGATCATGACAAACAGGTGAATATCTACCCAGTGTTGTGGTTGTACCCCTCAGCAAAGCAATTGGCAAACGAAGTCGACATGACCTGACTGAAGTCGAGTTGTGGAGAGGACGAATTCTGGAGATCCGCATTCCCAAGCCTAAATCTGGATCTTCGAATGAGAAGAAACAACCAAAGTATGTGAGTGCTCAAGCGTGATTGTATGCTGGACGAGTTTGATGACGCTTCTAGGCGTGGGTGGTGCTCGCTTGGTACTATTCCCCCCTGACGTATAATACCATGGGAGCGCCACAAGACTTGAAAGGATAGTACGTCTGCCTTCGTGAGGTACACAACACGATGCTCAACGAATTTAGCCGAAAGAATGACTTCGGAACTTATGAACTGGTAAGCAGTCGCCATTCCAGGCGCATATTGTCATCACTGATCCAATTTCAGATCTATGCCCCTACACATACCGACCCGGTACACATCGAAACCCTGAATGGTTGGTGCTTTCAGCCCCCACGACCGTCATATTTCCTAATGCTAATTGGGCTAGGGAAGGAAGAGATCTACCAGTACGGCGAGGGAGATCATGATGCAGACGAGATCCCGACAGACGCTTTCTATACTAGGTATAAATGCGAGGAACTGAGTTATAACAGCGTTGGCTTGACAACACGTTGACAGATCCGAGTTCCATACTGATGTTAATAAATGGGTGGTATGTAATATGGTTCATTTCATAACCTCTATTCAGATTCCCAACAGGAAGGACCACCTCCTCGTGAATGTGTACGAAACTTGCACGATCTTGAGTCCGAGCCGAGTGGCTTGCTTACGTGTCATGCAGGTGTGCAAGCAGACGTACAAGCTGTACGAAGATGAGGTCATGTACTACTGCCCGCGTTCCGCGTGTCGCACCTGTACGACCGCGTTCTCCCTTTCTATCGAGAAGTTCTGAGTCTTATACAGGGTATCACCAGTCATGCTTAGATAAAGGAAATTACCGCATGCGCGTACCCGACATATCTAAACTCGAGGATGAATAGGAATCTACGCTGGATGAAGAAGTCGTCGATCAAATTCGGAAGGAAGTCGAAAAGCTGCCGCGAGGCGATAGCACCGAGGTCCCGGAACGCCTTGCTAGTTACGCTCGTCGCCCGATCATGAAAGGTGGAGAAGTCGGTACAAGCGGCAACTTTGGTACTGCAATGCGTGCTCGCTGGTTGATCCAACAAGCCCGGAAAGGCATTTCACTTCCGATGGAGTGGAGGGACGTTTGCAAGTACAAACATCAAGATCACCATGGCCGCAACAGCACAATCAGGAAGCGACGTTCGATGATGCCTCATTTTGAGCTGGAGAGGCAGGGCCCAATCTGTTATCCTACATCTGTCCCAAGTGCAAAAAGGCTGTCTAAAGGAGCGATTGCTTTCCCTTCCTTGATGTAGATACACACTGCATTGTGGCATCTTCAGCACTTCGCACAGAGTCTCATGATCTGCCTGTTCGTCAAGAATCTTTTTTGTTTCTCCCTTCCGTGTACACGATGATTTCTTTCGCAAGCCAGAATATGCACTGTCATTGACCATACACTCCAGAATCAAATAGACGATCTGAGAATGCGGCGCGTATCTGGCGACGCGCGCTTGACGTCCATCCTCTCCATTAATCCTCAAACTTCCAAAGCTCCCGAAAACATGCGAAGGAACCAGAACCCATCCGTCTCTCATCACTCGCTGGCTGATTGTCCTTCTTGCTGGCAGTCCGCCACTGGATTTTTGTCACATCTGCAGCTCTCGAGCTCCGCACTGTCCGGTTTGACTTGCCAAACAAATAACGAGTAAGTGCAGCAGCTTGTGAGAGGGAACTTCGCTTCTTGAATGCCGTCTTTATTCAAGAACCTATAGGCGTTATGCCGCGTCGCACGATCGGACATCTCGAGAAGAAGAAGAGAACAGAGGGAGCCGAAATATCTTCGAGCACGCCTGCTAGCAAGGTTGTCAAGAAGTCTCGGAGGGAGCTTTCTGGTGTGAAAGGAGATCTGAAACACCAGTCCGTGGCACCTAGTCCTGAAGTCTTCGCAGCAATGGAGCATTATGACAAGGTTCACTGTACGTGATTTACTCTTGAAACCCTGGAAAAATATGACTGAGATAACTCCAGGGATGACCAGTGAAGAAGACCAGACTACATACAAGATAAATCAAGAGTTCGTAATCGGAACATAGCATACATGATAAGGACTGATTCATCGGAACGTTAGTGTCATGATCGTGCCGAACAGCAAGGACATTAGACATAACAAAAAGAACGCTCCAGCAGAATTAGGATGGGAAGACTTATGGTATGGTCGTATTCTTGATATCAGGGGAGATGGAGAAGTCGACCCGGAGGTCAGTCCTGTAGACCGCTGTTAGTCTTTCACTAATACGAGGGCACAGGTTTGGTTTCATATTGCATGGTATTATTCCCCTAAATGGTTCATGACCGTGAAAGCCAAAGAGACGTGAGAGAATTTGGTTTCTTGACAACATCCATCTTGACTTTTTCCACAGCCGGTTGAAAGACTTGGGCCGACTCGAGATGGTAGAGAGATTTTCCTCTCTGGGTATCATCCATTCATCTGATGGCATATTATAGATCTTTGCACCGGAACATCAGGACATAATCCACGCGCATACATTGAATGGCAAGTTGACCACGCCTACATACACAAGTTGTACTCAAATCTATTGGAAATAGGAGTGGAGATCGTGTATAAATTCAAGGAAGAAGACTTCGACGCCGAGGATATACCTAACGAAAGTTTCTACACAAGGTGCGGCTTCAATACCTTAGTCGATGAACCATGGTCATCGAGTTTGGCTAGGTCTACATATGATACAACCAAGAGAATCTGGCTTGTCAGTTACAATTTACGGGTGGAACTTGTATTAGATACTGACAGTTTGAAGGACCCGCCTCCTAAGCGTCATTGTGTGAGCACAGATTGACTTCCGAGCTGAGTTTGTTCAGTGAGTTCTGACACTAAACAGTTATGCCTCGAGACTTTCAAATTATGGGAGAAGCAGAAGCGCGTTCTTCATTATTGCCCTCGACAGGGATGTCACAAATGTAAGTGCTTTTGCATCCGACAGTACTTGGGCTGAAGACGGGGAAGGGTATCATGAAAGCTGTCTGAAGGAGTCTAAGCTCTATCAGACTCATGATAGAGTCGACCTATTCGAGAAAGAGTGGCAGGTTTCTTTCGATGAGGACCAGTTCGAGAAGATCGTTACAGAGGTTGCCGGTCTTCCTCGAGAAGCTGGCGTCTACACAGCCAAGTACGAGGGGTTGAGCCCCGTGGTACTTGCATATGCCCGACAGCCGATTGTGAAAGGAGGCGACCATCGGGTACACGGAAACATGGGCGCAGTTCTTCGAGCGCGATGGATAGTTCATCAAGCCGTCCGTCGCGGAGTCATGCCGCCCACTGATTACGAGAAGTATGTCGAGTATCGCCCAGAACCAGAGGATTGGGACTCCGACTCTGACTCTGACGCCGAGTCGGAAGGGAGCGCTGTTGAGACTGCGATAGACGAGAACGAGCAGCATGAACATATCGATCCTCTTCCCGGAAAGAAGAGGAAGAGACCAAGTGAGTCGAGCGTACAAGGGCCGACCAGCATGGAGACAGAATTGCCGCTGGAGCCAAGAGTGAGCGGCATCAAGTATGAGCATACCATGGACGGTCGCCAGTATCTGGCATACAAGTGCCCCAATTGTAGGGAAATCATTTGATGTCGAGAAGCTGGGTGCTTGATTGTAGCGATACATACTGTCATGAATAACCACAACAGAATAGGAGGTCGGATCTGGAATAGCATGTAAAGTTTGCGTTATTTGATTGAGTGGAGTCACAGTAATTGAAGGGCGTCTTGAGTTCGACAGTCTTCCGGGAAGCTCGGCAGCCATCAATGGAGGGCGTCTCCTTCCGACCTACGCCGTAAAAACAAATTCAGAGGCGTTTCCCTATTTCAAACCACATTTTTCGTGGTCGCTCTCCCTCCCATTCCGCCTTGCAAACTCCGCCTATAACATTTTCTTCTTCTTCCAATCACTTGATCGATAGGTACGAAATATCTCGTTCCAACTCATCAAACCAACATGGCGTGCTAACCAAGGGGGGGTAAAAAAGAGGAACAGAGCAGAGGCATTCGCAGCGACCTTGAATGCAATTATTATGTCCCTTCTATGCAAGAAGCGTTAGCTATAGAGGAACTTAAAAGGCTGAAGCGTACGCTGTCTTCACTCGTATCACGCTCTCGAAGCCTCATCATCCACACAGTATCAAAACATGGACGGACTGTGATGGAATTGAAGGCCGGTGACAAGTACGTTTGATAGCCGCGAGAGTGTCACACGATATTAACACGCACCCCGCAGCCTCGTCGTTATTCTTTCCAGAGTGGAAAATAACCTGCCCCTCTACCTCAACGACCTACAGACTTGGAAGTGCAAATTGATCAGCATCAGAAGAGATCCATACGGGGAAGAAGTGAAGACGCACGGTATATGGTGATATCGGTTGGCTTACTTTTGCAAAGCGGTGGCTTATCGTGGCCTGGTATTATTCCCCTTCTGAATTCCAGGACCTACATGCTACGGACAGGCGAGTAATGTTGTTCACCGCCAATGTTTCGTTGACTGACAAGCGAATGTTCAGTCGAGAAAGCGACTTCGGGAGCAGAGAACTGGTACTTACTACACTTCTTCTTGTGTATTGAAAGGGACACACAATACGCAGGTTTTCGTGCCAGCCCATTTGAACGTGCTTCATTGGGCGTCAGTGCAGAGTGAGACCTTCCTCGAGCCTTCGCATAAGCATCGTTGCTCAAATGACATATACCAAGGCTACGCACAGATCATGGTATACAACGAAGACGATTTCGATCATAATGCTATTCCGAAGACGTTCTTCTACTGCAGGTGGAAGCATCCGACTTTCTCATAATTTTCGTTTCTTAATCGCCTTGCAGGGGAGTCTGGGATATTCAGAACAGAAAGTGGCTTGTACGTCCCTACGTCAGATGAGCGATCCAGTAGCTGAGATTTCTTGCAGAAAAAGAGGCCTGCTGCGACATGCGTAAGCAGTTGCGAGACACCGATGGCACAAACTTACCATTGCAAGGTCTGTGGGGAGCGCTACAAACCGCACGAATCCACTCTCATGCATTACTGCCCTCGTCCCTCCTGTCACAAGTGTATGCGCCTTCTCATGCTTCCCTGCACTGCTGACCTACCAGTCAGGGTATCACGCCTCCTGCTTGGGGAAACGCACCGGGATCGAGTCGGCCCTCATTCCGCTGGAAATTGAGTTGCAATGGGAGCTCTCGATGGATCTTGACGACAAGCACTTCGAGCTGGACGAGGCTATCCCCCATAGCCCGCTGCGTCAAGAAACCGTTTACAGCGATCCATCGGATCCGTATGGCTACATTCAGGATGAGCTGCTCGTACTGGCCAGGCAGCCGATCCTGCGAGGAGATCCTTACGGGGAGATCGGGAGTGCAGGAGTGGTATTGCGCGCCAGGGTGATAGTGGATCGCGTCGCTAGGCAGGGCGAGGAGGTCCCCGAGGACTGGAATAATCTGGTCTGGATGAGAGAGAAGTCGTTCGAATTTCTCACGAAGACGAGCGATGGGAGGCAGAGAATTGTCAGAGAGACGAGGAGCGTTCGGAGACATTCGATTCCGGAGTTTTCACACGGGGTCAACAAGCACGGAGAAGAGGTTGCGTTCAAGTGCCCAGGTTGTGCGAAAGTGATTTGATGCGGCGCTCAGAGGATTGCTACCGCGAGAGCAGATATCACATATGCAGTTCAAGGTGCTTTTGCCGTCGTTCTGACCACGTTTGAATACATTTCATTCAGGCCCACGGCCCGCTCATTCGATCCAAGAAGTTATCTAGAAGCTCGTTCAGAGTAGAAAGCACAACAAAGACATAAAGATATAGGCACCGTTTCGTTCGTCCCTATCAGAGGACCATCAACGCTCGTAACCCTCCCATCGCCTGCACCTTCCCCAATAGCACCATACCCAACACACCGAGCACAATACCCAAAAGTACGGCATCCCTCAACCCCCACATCATCCTCATCCAAGCGACCATCTCTCCCAGAGGGAGCCACTTCCCCCCTTCCCGTCGCGCCTGTCGAAGGCCAGTGAGCCCATCGTGCGACCGCACGTTCCATTCTGTGCGATACTTGGTTAGTCCATTCTTCGCCACCAGCTTGGTGACGAAGTCGTCCATCGTAGGACGCTCGGAGAAGGTACCATCGAACAAGGGGACTCCGTATCTTATGATCGAATAAGACGTGGAGAAAGCAACAGGGGAGAAAACACCCACCCGCAAGACGTCCCGCATCTGAAAACTTCGAGCACCACGATAGCTCTCACGCCGTCCGCCTGTTCTCCATAACCCAGGTCAACACCCAGTCGTTTCTGTACGGCTTTGATCTTCCTCATCAGATCGTCAAACTCTTTCGTCTGCACTTCCACCACTCTGCCCTTACACCAGATCCTCATGATCCTAGGGCCTTTCTCAAACGAGCACCAACCGAGGGTGATCCTACCATTCTCGTACAGATGAGCAGCGGTCTCTGCTCCTGAGCCTGTATGGTCCAGGTAGGCAGCGAGGTTAGGCCCGAGGACTGCGAATGTCGCGTAGCCTTTGGGGGAGAGGTTGATGTGTTGGCCTGCTCGAGGAGCGGAGGCGACCCAGAAGAGAGGCTGTCGCATTGCCCATTCTCCAAGCTCTTCCGGTATAGAGGGATAGTACGTTGGCATCGTGAGCGTGTCGTCAGGCAGACGAAATAAATGTATACAATGAAAGGAAGAAAGGTCGTATGGTGACCGACGTGGCAAGACGCACGCCGACAACCAGGGATCCTTCCAACGTCGTCCGGTCTGAAGCCGTAGTTGACTATCAAGACGGCGAGCACGCAACTGTCATTCCAAATGGCTAATCTTTAATTCGACTCTATTCTGGGACTAATAGATCCTGATACTTCTCTCAGATAAGGTATAAAATATGCTTACAACTAGTGTGCTGTTGACATCTTCCTCCCGACCCCACGATGGAGAAGCATAACGTTCTCCCCGTGTCTGCTGATGTTGCTCTCGCTCCTCCCACTCGCGGGAGCTGGAGGCGTGCGATCCTAGTCGGTGCCCTTCTGCTGTTGAACCTGCCTCTGGCATACCACTATATGCCCACGTTCTCCAGCTACCTGCCCAGCTGTCTTCACCGTACCAGTTCCCTCGTGCCCTATGTGGGGGAGACGTGCGCCCAGCTGGACCCGCTCTTCCCATCGTCCAATGCAGAACTATGGGAACAGGCACAGGCTAAGTATGCCGCTCCTGGATACCTGGAGGAGGCAGCGGAGTTTCTCGGTGGTCTCGTGAGGATCGATACGACTGTGTTTGATAACTGGGGCCCGCCAGCATCAGACGGCCGGTGGGAGAAGTTTGTGCAGGTGCAGGAGTGGTTGGAGAAGAAATTCCCCTTAGTGTGCGTCGTCTCTGCATCCCAGCTTATCTCGTCTCATGCATATGCAGGTACAAGCACCTCCGTCTCACGCTGGTGAACAAGTATGGCCTCGTCTACCAATGGGCGGGAAGCGACCCCACGCTCAAGCCGCTCATGCTCACAGCGCACCAAGACGTCGTCCCCATCGATCCCATCACCGCCTCCCAATGGATCCACCCTCCTTTCTCAGGATACTTCGATGGCGAGTGGATCTGGGGTCGCGGATCTGGTGACCAGAAGTCCGGACTTGTCGGTATCCTCCTGGCAGTGGAGACGCTGCTCTCCCAGGGGTTCGCCCCGAATCGGGGTGTCATTCTCGCCTTTGGATTCGACGAGGAGGCGTCGGGAAAATGGGGCGCAGAGAGCATCTCCCGTTACCTGATGACTACGTACGGCCTGGACAGCGTCGCCCTGTTGATCGATGAGGGCGGAGGGTTGCAAGTGCAGGGCGAGCAGCTGTTTGCGATGCCTTGCGTGGGCGAGAAGGGGTCAGTGAACGTGATGCTTGAGGTGTGTGGCATGGACTGACTCATGTGAAGATATGTTGATGTGCGTGTGGAGGTCACCACTCCCGGCGGTCATAGCAGCGTTCCCGAGCCCCATACCGTACGTCCTTTCACTCTGCTATTCCAATAATGTTGACACGTTAGCAGGGTATTGGCTACCTCTCAGCATTGATCACGACCCTTGAGTCCAACCCCAACCCCACTATCCTCACCCGGACCAACCCGTACTACGAGAACCTCGTCTGCGCCGCAACATACAGCAGCCTCCCCAATGCCTACGCAGACGATATCATCCGTTCCCGCACGGACGACGCCGCACTCAAGCGGGTCGAGGCGGTCGTGGCTAGCACAAAGCAAGGGAGGGCCATGATCGGCACGACCCAGGCGACGGACCTGATCGGCGGGGGAAGTGTGAAAGTTAACGCGCTCCCTGAACAGGTCTGGGCGGTCGTCAACCATCGTATCTCTGTCGATAGGTACGTTATCCACCTCTATACCCAGCGGATCGGTGAACTGATAGCATATAGCTCGGTTGAGGAGGTCAAGAATCGCTTTGTTGACCTCCTTCATCCGTATGCCGTAGCAAACAACCTGGGATTCACGGCTTTCGGGCTCAACTTCACCTCTGCACCGAATGGCACCGTCAATGGCCAGATTACACTCTCCCAAGCGTGGAATCCCAGTACTCAGCTTGAGCCGGCGCCGGTTAGCCCTCATACGAAGGGCGAGCGCGTGTGGGATGTCTTGGCGGGGACTATCAGGGCTTGCTGGGATGATGTTGAGGGAGGTGCTGTTGTCAGCCCAAGTGTTACTGGTGTAAGTTTTTATTGCACGGCACGAAAGGTTGTGTTTATTTTTGTGTAGGGGAATACGGACACACGATACTACTGGAAGTTGACGCGTGCGATTTACCGGTACGGAGGGATGAAGGGCACTGACAGTTACAATGGTGCTCACACCGGTGCGTGTTCTCAGCTTTGACAGGCATACACCGACTGATCTCGCTGTAGTTAACGAGGCTATCCGTGCAACTGGGTTTGTCGATCGGATCAAGTTCTACACGGCGATCATCCTTAACGCGGATGAATACGAGGTGTGAGAACATAGGGGCAGAATTTGGAAATGGCAACAGCGTTGTTGATAGGATATACTTGGGGGTTGAAGACCGACAAAAATTACAATGTGGTAGTGCATAGGTATATATAGTATCATGAGAACGATTGGATGAGTCCAGCACCTGACCCCAGTGGTTATCTGGCGTGTCTTTCGGAATGCAGGTTGGTGTTGAGATGCGACAGCAGTGTAATTATGCATTGTTGAACCAGATTGGAACAGAAGGAGCAGGTGCCGTAGGCGTGATCCATTCTACATCGTTGTCGTGCAATTTCTGACGGCGTTCATGTCCGGGTGTTTGGATCCATTCTTCTTTCACTTGAATCTTGCAGGGAGCCACGTGCGGCACGGTGAGAAATAATAGGTCATCGAGGATGGTGGAAACTCCACGACACCTCGTAAAGTCGAGTCTGGTAATCGAAAAGGAACTTTCGTCAATGACTGTATAGTTTCCAGGGGGTTTCAGCAGAAACCAACGATCGCTAAACTCGACGCAGTGTAGGGGAAGCAGCTGGAGCAGCAGGGCAGCAATATGCAGTGCTGTTACACAAATGGTCTTCACAATGAGAGTGTGAAGCTTTGGAAAGCGCAGCCTGAGAGACTCGATCACATCAGGAATCATGAATATCTGGATGCCGAATTCGTCGGTGGTGCGTTCGGTGCAACCCAAAATCCATTCCTCGACCAAGGGAAGACTCAGGTGTTCGATAAGGTGAAGGTGTGACTCACCCATTGACGTGAGATGTCGAAGTGAACGAAGCGTATAAATTTTTCCATCGTTTTCTGGGGCGTACCAAGTGCCACAGGAGAGTACAAGCGTTTCGAGAAATTCGCAGCTCTGCAGAGCGACAAGCAACAACGTTATGCGGTCTGGTGGGAGCTCAATTTGGAAGATGGAAAGAAAGCGTAAACCAGGGCATAGCTGAAATGTGAGCAGTCCAGCCGGGACGCGGTAGCCATCAGTCCATCTCCCTTCAAGAGTGAGGCGCTCGCATCTCGGATAAACTCTTCGGCATATGGCATCAGACACAGTCTGGAGATCCTTGTGAAACATATCAAGAAGCAAGGTATCTATATCAATAACAACATGCACGGGTTCTGCCAAAGAGCGCGTCATGAGCGTGCGCATCTGGTGCATCAATGCAGGGCCGGGTAAACGTGCGTGAATAGACAAGTACGTCCATAGCTTCGGGATGGATAAAACGACATTCCTCCAGCGACGAACGACGTGAGACAGAGTTACAGCAGAGCGTAACTCGAGGTCTTTGGAGGGGTTGGTGCAAAAGAATATGAAAATCATGCGGAGGATTTCGTCAGGAAGCTTGTATATTGGTGCCAGGAGGGCGTCCCAGCAAGCATGTAGTTTCTTCAGAGTGAGCTCCTTATGTCGGGTCAGACGCGCTTTCGTGGTTTGATCGATCATCTTCGATATCATGTATGCGTCGAGTTCAGCCTGCGTTCCAAAGTGCAGGATGCTATCGGCTGACGAACGGTTTCCTAGAGGGCGAGCAAGACCTGGGGTTCGAATCGGCATTTCGAAGGACGGCAAATGTTAGGCACTTCGGCCGAAATCCAACAACTTTCATCGAACTACCTTTTGACAATGTAACAGAATATCGAGGTGAGTTCCTTCCACTTCTGAAGTCGTAGCGGTAAAAGTGCAAGATATGCTCATGGTTCGAGTCAGACTTTTAGAGGCTTCCGGAAGCATTCTCAGGCACCGCCACTGGCACTCCGCCATAAAGTTGCTTGGGTCGAGCGACCCTGCCAACGCCTGTTGTGTTGTAATTCGCTTGCTCTACTAGACATTTAGACCTGTCCAATAGTTTGTCCATATCACTCATTCATACAGAAATCATGGACAAGACAATCAGAGAAGAAGATGGGTTGTTGATGCGAAAATTCACTCCAGGAGAGGAAGTGTGAGTTGCTCGACCCTGAAACGCTGGACTGTGTGTATGCTGAAATGTGTGCAAGACTTCCTGTTGCTGGAGAGGATAACATCCTCATCACATCTGCTTTGCCGTATTGCAACAATGTTCCTCATTTAGGTCTGCTGCGTTCTTTCCAAGGTTGAACAACGCTGACAAATACCTAAGGCAACATCATCGGCAGCACACTGAGTGCGGATTGCTTCGCAAGGTTCGCTCTCATCACCGTTCGCAGTAGCGTTATATTGAAATCGACTGTCTCAGATATTGCCGTATGCTTCAAATTGCCATTGATGCGACAAATTGCTCACCCACTTGTAGGGTCTCAAAATCGCATAACGGCCTATGTGTGCGGCACCGACGAGTACGGTACCGCTACAGAAACGCAGGCTCTGAAAGAGGGAATTACACCACGGCAACTTTGCGACAAGTACTATTTGCTTCATAAGGAAACATACGACTGGTTTGAATTGAGGTGTGCATGCTCGTGTCATACAATTGGTACTAATGCTGATATTGCTCCTAGCTTCAACCACTTCGGCCGTACCTCTACACCACAACATACCGTGTAGTGCCATTTCCGATTTGATTGACCCACCTAATCGATTCCTAGGATCTCCCAAGATATCTACTTGAATCTGTACAAGAATGATCTCCTGGAGAAGGAGACCAACAAGCAATTGTATTGTTTGAATGACGAGAAGTGCGCACCACCCATGTTCCCGATTCTCTGTAATTGACAGACCGCCCAGATTCCTTGCTGATCGTTTTGTGGAGGGTACATGCCCGTATTGTGGGTACGAAGATGCACGTGGCGACCAGTGCGACAATTGCACGAGGCCGCTCGACCCAATCGAATTGATAAATCCACGATGCAAGATCGACAAGAGCCATACCGTCACCACCCGGACTTCCGACCATATGTACATTGAGCTGAATAAGCTGCAGCCGCAGTTGGAAGTTTGGATTAAGGAGTCATGGAAGAAGGGGAAATGGTCGTCGAATTCGGTCATCAATTCCGAAGGTCAATTCATCGATGCTCGTTTGAAGCAGGGTTTGCGCCCAAGTCCGGTGACTCGTGATCTCCAGTGGGGTGTTCCTGTACCGGAGGCTCCTGGCCATGATGATGGCATGAAGGGAAAAGTGCTTTGTATGCTCGCTCTGCTCATAAATGCTGTCTTCGTGGACTGACAGGGTCCTAGATGTGTGGTTCGATGCCCCTGTCGGATACCCGAGTATCACCTCAACCTGGATCAACGACAACTGGAAAAAATGGTGGTTCAAGCCAGATGATGTCAAGTTGTATCAGTTCATGGGCAAAGACAACGTGTATTTCCATATCGTCCTCTTCCCCAGCATGCTGATTGGCGATGGTCGTCCATGGACTAAACTGCACCACATTTCCACAACAGGTTTGCGCAGTCTTTTAAACCTGAAGAATGGCCTTTCGGCTCACTTGTCTTCCAGAATATCTCAACTATGAGGGTGGCAAGTTCTCCAAGTCGAGAGGTGTCGGTGTGTTTGGGCCAGATGCCAGGAAAACGGGCTTGCCCGCCTCAATCTTCCGCTATTACCTGCTGTCAGCCCGTCCCGAAACTGGCGATACCATGTTCTCTTGGGGTGATCTGGTGGGTCATTTGTCAATTGCACTGTTCTCGTAGCTCACGTTTCTAGATCGCTGCGAACAACAACACGCTTATCAAGAATTTTGGCAACTTCATCAACCGTGTGCTAAAGTTTGTAGCCGGAAAGAACTACGGTGGAGTCCTTCCCGATTCCAAGGATCAGCCTGGTCCCCTATCAGTGGAGACGGACGTCGATGCCGCATTCGTCAAGGACATCAACGCTCTGTTCACAGTTTACATCGAAACGATGGACTCTGTCAAGCTGCGGCAAGGTCTGGCACTCGCCATGCAAATCTCAAGCCGAGGCAACCAGTACCTCCAAGACTCAGGGCTTGACAACACACTATTCAACACTCAACCCGAGCGCTGCGCTCAGGTCATCCTCAGGGCTGTCAACCTCATCTACGCCATCTCCGCCATCATATTCCCCTTCATGCCCGCCATCTCCGCTACCATCCTGGAGCAAATGAACGCCCCCGCCCGAACAGTCGCGAAACAGCTCAGCATCGACATCCTCCCCGGGCACCAGATTGGCAAGCCTAGCCCGCTGTTCAAGCTGATCGACGAGAAGAAAGCCGACGAGTGGCGGAACATGTTCGGGGGAACGCGTACGCCTGCGCACGCCCCTCCCCCAGAGCCTGGCGTGTCGAAACGCAAAGCCGCGAGTGGGAAGAAAGCCGCCACGGTGAAGACCGACGGGCCCAAGTCGCCGGAACTGGTCGAGCTAGAGGGCAAGAGGGACAAGCAGGCCCAGCTCGTCAGGGAGATCAAGGCTGGCAAGGGCCCTGAAGGGGTAGACTTACAGGAGGCACTGGCACAGCTCTTGCGCTTGAAAGCGAGTATCACTGAGGTCGAAGTGGCGAATTAGGTAGATTCTGGGTTGAGGTGTATCAGTAATGGAAGAATGGACGAATTGTTGTCCTTCGATGTCCTAGGGCTGCGTGTCTTGACCGAAAGCTGGAAGATGGGGATGTTCACCGTGCGCACACTGACTGGGTATCCTATGTCCATTGTTCACCGCATACATGTATACATGCACACTCGCACACAGTCCAAACAAGAGGAGATACTTGTTGCAGAGAGGTATACGAAATAAGAGAAGAGAAGAGAAGAGAAGAGAAGAGGAGAGGAGAAGAGAAGAGGGGAGAAAAGGAGAAAAGAGGGGGGAAGACGCTCCAGTACTGTACCCCAGTCATCGATCAACTACGCATACGCACTTCTTCCTTCCTCATCACAAAGCAATTACATATACAACATTTCCCACACTTCCCTGCCGCGCTCCCGAGCTCAGCGTTCAACCATCACGTAACTGCACACCTCTCCTCGCCCCCCCCGAACCAGGACCACGGTTAGTCATAACCGGGAAAGGCGCGTCCGGCCCCTGAGGCAGCGGCGCGGGCGCAGGGGGAGGGGGAGGGATAGCCAGCACTGGTGGAGTCTGAGCCTGGGCATACTGCGGTTGGGGCACGACGATCCCCTTCCCCTTCCCCCCCCCCGCCCCCGCCCCCGCCCCCGCCCCCGCCTGAGTCGGACCAGCCGGCAGTGGCGGCGGCGGCGGCGGCGTATACGCATGATGGTCTTCAAAAGGGTTGTCCACCATCTGGGAGTGCGTTTGTGCAGATGTAGGAGCCAGATACTGACTCTGACTCTGGGTCTGGGGCGCAGAGTAGTACCCCTGATCTAGCGTTCCAGGTGCAGGACTTAACGGCTCCATCCCCACCAGGTCATCCTGCTGCCGGTTTTGGAAATACGTCTGACTCGGAGGTGCGTATTTCCCGCTTGCGGCTAGTGGTGTAGCTCTTCCTGGCTGTGACTGAGACTGCGAATATGGGTTCACAGACACAGACACGGGCGCTGCCGCGCCCGGGGGTAGGTCGGTATTCGAGCTCATAGGGCGGAAGAGCGAGTCCCCGGGGGAAGAGAGGTAAGGGTTATTGTACGGCTTGACAGTGACCGAGGCGTTAGACTTATCGTTCTTGGAAGGGTCGGTAAGTGTCATATCGCTCGCGTTAAACTCCGAGTTCCAGAGGTTCTCCTGACTTCCCCCACGCTCCTCCCCTGCCTTGTATGCGGAGAACGTCTGCTCCCGACCACGCCCAGCGAGCCGTTTCGCCCGGCGCATCTCGCGCATCACTTGCGGTTTCACTTGCTGCATCTTGTGCCATATGTACCAGGCTGCGAAGATGGTGATCAGGACGGAGATAGCGACGATAACGTCGGAGATTATCTTGCTTGATTCGGGCTGTTGGACGCCGGAGCCGGACTCTTCGAGCAGGTAGCCGAGGTAGACGGTGACGAATTGTTTCGGGAGGGAGAGGGCGGCTGCGAGGCAGAATATCCAGATGTTCATACCGCATGTAGCGAATATGGCGGTGGTGACTGGTTGTCAGATGGCAGATGGGGTTAGGCGCATATATCCAGTCTAGGGAAAGGGGGACATACAATGGCCTGGGATGGCGGATAACCGGGTGATGAAGGCGATCTTGAATCCTCCTTCTCTGACGACGCGCGCCATACAAGCATACCACGGAGTGCTCTTCTCGTGTTTCTCGCTCCTGGAGTGACAGAGGTACTTGAACGCGTAAAAGTTGCCGACTTCACCTAGGAACGTGCCTAGCGCGACGATGGCGAACCCGATCCAGAGACCCCAGACGACACCACATAGGATCGCGACGATCTCGTGCCCGAAGAGAGGGGGGAAGGAGATGACGAACAGGATTGCGACGGGGATGAGCCAACCTGCGGGGAGACTATGAAACGGAAATGATCACGGTTAGCGGTCAGCGGGCGCCGGTTTCCTTTGGGAAGAGGAACGCACTCTCGCATCCAGGTCGCGGCGGGTTTCATCCAATTCACGATTTGCGTATGGAATACCGTCATCAGGATCGTCGAAACGACCAACACGATGACAATAAGATACCAGGCTATGCGCACATGTACGTCAGCGGCGCCCGCTATGAAATTTAACACAAGAAGAGGACGCACGTATCCATTCCTTCCTGAGCCAGAACCTCCAGCTCATCATCTTCTTAAAATCGATCAGACTGGCAGAATCCTCGTCCAGGTCGTCGTCCTCTGGGCTCAAGTCCTCAGGGCGGCTGACGTCCATCGAGGACTCGGCACCGGGTCCGGCATAGGGGGTGTTGTATAGCCGAGGGTCGTATTGTGCGCCGTTGGCTGGAGAGCGGGAGGGGGAGAGACCTTGCCTCTGGCTTTGGCCTTGTTGAGATTGGGATTGTGAGGGCTCGTAGGGTTGCACGGGCTGGAAGGAGGAGGGAGAGGTGCGGTCATACGGTGTTGCGTATTCTGAACGGTATGACGGTGGGTAAGGGGAAGTCATCGTCAAGTAAACTGAAGTGAGGGAAGGAGGGAACGGTAGTCCGGGAGAGTGTTATTAATATATCAAGAGCTCCAGGCCAGTGCGATCGGTTGATATGAACGGAAACCCGTGCTGTGCGTGATGGCTGGTTCGGCGGTGATGGTGAGCGGCAGAGATGAGTGATGTGCGCAGTGGGTTGCTAGTATGAGATGGTGGTATGAGAGCAAGGTGGACGTTGGGAGGGCTGTGCACTGAGAGGGAGGAGGATGGGGAAGAGAGTGGGCGTTGCTGTGGGCAGCGGTGAGTGTATATATGGGTCGGGTGAGCGAAGTGTGAGGTGTTCGTGTGGCGATGCTCTGTATGACAACTCTTTTTCGGCTTGGCGTACACAGCACCCTCATGTCAGGCCGGATTCCATCCGTTTCACCAACTAGGGTCCGTCCCGGTCCTCCTCCCATTTATTGCCTGTTGTCCCTATGGATTTTTAAGGTTCTGTGCATGGATCCTGCCAAATTCCATGCACCCAACCTATTGACATTTACCCTGCCGCATCAGCTTGCATTCTGCCATATATTATCACTATTCATGATAATAATATATATGCTGCTTCATGCATTTGATAATAGACAATAGCCATATGCATATTAAACAATCAATAACATAAGTAATATCAGGATAATCCACCTCTTCCCTATGCAGTAAAGAGTTGCATTGAACTCCCACTCCCTCCTCCCCTCCTTCAGCTTCACCACTCTTACCCCACTCAATCTGCTCCCTCCAGCACATCCTCTCCTCTGACACCCACTTTCTCTGCAGCCCATTGCCAAAGGGGTGTTACATCTGTAGCTCTGCTCAGACAATTTGATCTATTTGGTTTTTACTCCAGATCATGGTTTAGAACACAAGTGAACACACTATTCAGATATCAGTTCTTGGAGGACACCACTTAACAGGGTGTTCAAGGCTCACTCATGGATGCAAACTTGGTCATTCCCAAACCTTGAGGCCATCCCTGTAATGCACTGGTCCAGATATGGCCAGTAGTCCTTTGGCATCTTCTCCCCCTCTGCCTCTTCACTCCCCCCTGGCTCTGTGCAAGTGTTGTGCTCCTTCCTCTGGGGCAATATGAGAACTGTATCAACAGCATTGATAGAGCTTACCATGAATGCAAACTGAGCCCAGTGATTGATGGTGAACTTGAATGGATATGTTGAGATTGCCAACTGCTCTTGCAGTATGTGTAATGGCTGGTCCAGTGTACTTCTCAACTGTATATAGGGTGAACATACATCAAACCATCTTAAAACACATTGCTTCTTCAGCATCCAGCTGTGGCATTCTCCCAAGAGGTGAGCTACCTCCTTCTTGAGTACCCAGTGCTTGACAGTTACTTGAAACACTTCAGGATCCAGTTGTAAACATACAGCATGTTGATCAATGTGGGTCTGCCTTCATGTTAGTTTGTGATCTGCCTCAAACATTTCACATACCATCATGCTCACTGTAGTTGTCATCATGTAGCTCAGACAGCCATGGCTGAGCAAGTAAGCATAAATCTCCTTTGTGATCTTGCCCTGTGTCAGACCAAGTCAAGTCAGCAATATGAACCTCTGAAGGAGATATTAGAGTGGGGTAAGGGTGGTGAAGCCACAAAGCAGTGGTGTTGTTGATAGAGTGGGGTAAGAGTCATGAAACCATGAAGCAGCAGTGTTGTTTGAGTGTGGTTCGAGCGGTGAAGCCACCCCCTCAACATGAACTTACCAAGGGCTCTGCAGGCAGCACCCATTGTTGATTCATGCTAGATGTGATCAAGGGAGTTGCATATTGCAATACAGTTCAAGAATGCAAGAATTGCATGAACTCTAACATCCCATTGGTTACAAGTCAGTCATAGCATGGCTGCTGTACTATTACCACTGGCATACCTCTTGTGCAAAGACCAACAGCTCGTCCATCTGTTCTTGGGTGAGCTTGCATTTGGTGGCAATGCTCAAAGCTACAGCATTGTAATCCTTCATGTTTGAGCCTCTTTTGACTCCTGCTTGGGTTTCATCCTGCTCTTCCAGACCACCATGATGAAGACTCATAGCATCGGCTATTGATGGGAGAGGTTCACTGCCTTTTACAGATGTCACAGGTGTAGTTGGGTCATCATCGTCTTCAAACAGTATTTCCCAAAATGGCCATTGTCTGGGCAGTACAGCCTGACCAGGTTCAGCCTGTGTCATGGGTCTTGCCATGCAGATATACAATGTGGAGTGGATAAAGGAAGCATATTAGGAATTTGGGGTAAGAGTGGTGAGGCTGAAGGAGGGGGTTAGATTTATGAATGGTAAGAGAGAAGAGGGAAGGCAATGCACATCCAGTCTTGCCTTTTATGATAAAAAGAACACCTAAAAGGGGGCATTGCCTGATGCAAATTTTTTCACTTGGTAATGAAAGTTTGGTCTTCTTTCCATCAGCTTCTCTCATCACGTGCTGATTAAATGGTGAGAGACAAAATGCACATACCATAATACACAGGAATAATAATACTTCATGTACAAGTCTTGTCAGAAGTGCCAAGATCAGGTGTTGTTCTCTTTCCAGTTTGTAACTGGAAGTCAATGTGCCACTTCTCATTGAAGATCCATGGCTTGATCTTGGCTCAGTTTGATTAAGCCACAGGTCAGACACCAGGGGATGATTGACTTTATCCACAAGGCATTGTGGAGGGAAAAAAAACATTGAGCAGAAACTTGTCATCTTCATGGTGAGCAATGCATGTACAGGTTCCCTTGGCCTCCAGTTGCTCTTGCCATCTGGGGACCTGAACATGTCTTGTACATAGCCTGGTCATGCAGTCATGCTGCACATTGACACAGCCAATGACAGACTTTTGATTGCATCAGTGGTTATTGCATCTCAAGCCTTCTCTAACATACCTGATCCTCCATGAGCTTGTATTGCTGCTCATGAATGAGCTGTGGACATGCAATCTGAGGATGTGGTGGTCCAATTGCAAAACACAGAAGTAAGACCCAGCTCAGAGGTGAGCAGGTCCATTGGGAGGCCAGTATGGTCACAATCTCCTCGATTCAACCCAAAGCCAACTGAACTTGTTGAGCTACAAGTCCTGTCCCAATCATGTATTTAGCATACCTTCAATTCTTTCTCAAACATGACAAAACTGCCAACTGCTGCCCTGTCTCCACTTCATGTCAGGATGCTCAAAACTTGTTGTGTGGTTTCTGAATACCACTTGTCATTGCTTAGGAGAGTTTGTCCCAATTTTGTTGTCTTGAATGGCATTGGCTGCAATCCCCGCATAAGCAGAGGCCAAACACCTTGGGACATTGTTAGCACTCAGCACACCAATCAAGAATGGTGCACTCACATCTCCCCTCTTTCAATGCTGGTAAACCGGTGAGTGCACAAAGCTGAGGATACTCAGCTAATGCAGTTAGTACATCCACACTGGCCCTGACATATTCCTTGTGCTCTTGATTGAACCACCAGCCACCAGCCACAATATGCTTAACATGAGCAAAATGGGCAAATGCTGTTGCTATATCCCTGCTCGGTGCTTGTTGATTGCTCAGAACTGAGCATTGTCGGAAAACACTGTTGTAGGACTCATATCATTCAGTAGAGAAGAGCAATGCTGGCCTGTTGCAATGTATATGCTGCACTATATGGTGCAATATGTGCAGCTTGCTCTTGGACATGATCTTGATTGGGTCTATGCACACAAAGGCATGAACCACTGTGGCAAGATGCTTATCCAGACTCTCCTATTAGTAATGCATCAGTTGAGCTATATGCACATTCCAGGATCAGATGCACCAGATACAAGTCTGGTTCCTGGATGTCTGTCCACCATAACTGAACTGCAGCCAAGCCCAACATGACCCATGCTTCCAGAACTTCTCCATCAACAAGATCTTCAATCAAGAAGGGCATTGTTTGAATAAGTAGGCAAAAATGTTTGCTGATCAGGGAGTATTTGTACTGCACGATGTATGCCGATGGTATTAATGGGATGTTCAAGCCATCCTTGCTTAGTGCATCCATCCTCATCTGAACAAGGGCCATTGGCATACATGCCTTTGGTCACTGGGCATGACCAGCTTTGGTATTTGGTTTCTTCTCTAGGATCTTGACTGTGTGGCCCCATAGATACTTGCAGATGCCAAGCAGAAAAGTGTGAAGAAGCTCCACCAGTGTAGATTCATGAGGATCTAAGCCTTGAGTGGGGTAAGAGTGGTGAAGCCAATAAGGCTGACTGTCACTCACTGTCCACCATGAATAGTGGGTTGATGAAGGCATGGCTGTCGAGTTCTGTCATGGCCTTGTGCAATTTGTCTTCAGGGCTCTTGTTGCTTTGCTTTGCCTCAGTCCCCTTGTCATGCAAACCTTGATCACATGCTCAGCATACCTGTCTTTAACTCCCATCTGTTGGCCAAGTAAATCTACCACCATTGTCTTGCAAACTTGACAGGCCAGTTCTACCATCTCATGTAAAGTCTTCAGAGTCATTGCTTTTGAGCAAGGATTGTCCTAACTGGGTGGACATTAGTGGTGTTATGGCTTAATGAATGTATAGTGTACCTCGAAGAGGGTTGGGTACATGTCAACACTCCATTTCTCAGCTCTAGTTCCGCCTGCATCACACATGTGGCAGTATTTATTGGCCAATCCTCCTTGGTGGCTTGCAAGTTTGTTTTGAAGAGGGTTGTCACCAGCAAGTATACCCACCCACACATTGACCAGAATGGAGGAGCTGGTAGTGATATTGTAGGCTTCGAAGCCAATCTGGTTGATATCCCTGCATATGCAAGTAAGCTTATACCACAGGATGTTAGAGTGGGGTAAGAGTGGTGCTTACTTGACCATCTGCATCAACCCCTCCATTAACTCCAACGGTGAGGCATGAGGGGAGGTACAGACAAAGTTCATGTTGTACTTGTGGTTGAGGTGGGTTCTCGGAAGGGAGAGGTTGGATATGACTGCATAGTAGTGGCAATTCCATTGTTCGCTCACATTGCCTGACATGTCATTGTACCATATCAGCAAAGGACAAGACATGCAACCATTGGCTCATGCATGCCAAGGGTTTGGCATCTTCTCCTCTAAGTCCTTGTACATCAATGCAAACCATAGGTGGTTTGCTCATAGGAAAGGTCTCAGTTCTAGTAGATTGTGCCTGAAGGAAGAGACAGGATGCAAAGTGCATGTCATGGCTATGTGCAAGGAGCCCTAAGACAGGTTGAACCAGGGTGTACTATCCAATTTGCATGACCTTGCCTCACAGATTGAAACCTCTCTCCCCATAGCCCAGAGTGATTCCCCCTCATTCCCTCTTGTGAACCAGCAGTTCAGAATGAACAAGGTTCCATCCTTGCACTCCAGAAGCTCATTGATGTACCAATCTTGCCTGTCCAACTGAATCATTGGTGTGAGCCACGCCAAGGGGACAGGTTGCTGACTTTACTGGATGCATGGCTCAGATTGAAGGAATGGTTTCCCAGATCTATACTCTGATGAACCAGAAGACCACCCCACAGAACCAACCAGCTGCTCAGCAGAGCTCCTATGGACAGCCCTCCCAAAATACCTACAGCAACAACACACCAGCTACTGGCCCAAATCAGGTTCCTGTCCCAGCGGAGAACTACCTGAATCAAAACAGATATGGCCCCCAGAATACAGAACACTCACTTTGCCACTTTGACGGTGTATCTACCAGTTGCATGGACAAGATTGTGACATGCCCAGGAGCCTGGAAATACTTGGAAGAAGGTCTCCTTGAGAAAGATGGTCCATATCATGTCCTTGCTGGCAGCCAATTTATCCCCTGTCATTGGCCTGGTCAGGATCTTAAGGAAAAAGTTGATGGCTACTACAAGGACCACCCGGAACACTGGCTGAAATCGCAGCCTACCCCTCTTGTTGCCTTTCACAACATGATCACTGGCTCGGACTCTGAATTTGAGGTTACAGTGGATCATTTGGTGCTGCACATCCTCACCAAAAAACAGGACAATATGGTTGAATGGAATGATGAGGAGATTAAGGTATTAATGGCCAAAGCAGACTGACTCAGGAAAAGGTGCATGGCATCCATGGGAAAATTGGCCAAGGTCTCCAAAGTCTACACACTGGCAGCCAGAAAGGAGAAATTGGAAGTGTGCATGCATCACAGCACTGCACACTTTGCCAGCATACAAGTGGACAAACTGGAGAAACTGGATGCTATACCAGACCTGCCAAAACCCTGTGCCAGACAGCCCAAAAATGTGGAAGATGAGATGGTTTTATGGGCACTCTGTTAGGGCAACACAGGCTGACTAAGTCTGCTCACCTAAGAGTGCCAAGAGTCTAAGCAGGCAACAAGGAAGTGGAGTAGACCTGATGACTAAGACCTATCTACAGTATAGGTACCTGTGGATGATCCTAAGAGACCAAGTCTGAAGAGACAGTCCCAGGCAGAGTA